GGGGCTGGCGGGGCTGGGTTTTGCTGCGGGGCTCTGGGGCTTGGCGGGGTTGGTGAGGCTTGGTGGTCCTCTGCTTGCGGAATTTGCTGTGCAAGCCACTCTTCTCGATCATCAACAGCGGCTTGAAGGCAGCATTTCCGATAGAGAAAGGTAGAGGCTGGCTTACTCCCACTATCATAGGGGAGTGCTGAAGGTGTTGCGGTCACCTGTTTTCCGAGGTCGATAAAAACGCGCGTGGGGTCTAATGTCTCGTCGTCAAGGCACTTCGCCCAGGATTCGAGGAACTGCTGGCCGACACGTGGGAGTGCTCCAGATGGTGGCGAGGAGTGGTCGAGGTTATCGGATGCCATAAACTGCAGCTTGGTGTTCTTACAGTTAAAATAGAGTACAAAGTCTCGAAAGATCTGACATTCCGGGTTATCCTCTATCCGTTTCCGGATGAAATCGGTTAATCGTTGCGTGGTAGAGGCTCCAATGAGGGTTGTGACCATCTGGCGTCGAGAGGTGGTGCTCTCGGTACTTTGTTTCGAGGTTCGAGCTGCATGCTCAGTGGGTGCCGATGTGTTGTAGGCTGCTGCTTGGCGTGATGGGGGGAGATGTTGTAGGACGTTGGCGTCTGGAACAAGGTTTCCATTCTCGTCTTTAACGCTACAAGCGTCTGCAATTGCGGGGAGAACGACGGCATCAACCCAGAGAGAATACTGATCGCCAGATAGTAGGGTAAGTTCGAGGGGTTTGCTCTGTCGATGGGCGTCCTTATAGAGGCGAGGGAAGAAGATGTGGACGATCATCGTATCCCAACCAGACACTTGGCCAAAAGCGTAATGTGGGATCGTATGGAGAGGGACAGTCCGCCATCGAGTATCCGTAGAGGTTACCTCTGGGGGTACCGATAGGCCAAGGTGGACGTTGGCGGTAATGTTGAGATGGGTGTACATATCGCCAAACCATCGGATTCCCTGGCGGCAGGAAGCAAGAGTGTCGCTAAAGGCACAGATACTATCGATATCGAAAGATGTAAAGAATGGCTCTGTTGTCTGAGTTGTTCGGCTGTGCTGAGTTGACATGCAAAGTCGAGGTGGGGTAGTGTCTGGGACCCGGGAGTCAAACCCTTCAAATGCGGTACGACAGTCGAGGTTTGGTGGATACTCTGCAAGGCCAAGACGTCCCGAGTCTAGGACGTTTGGGAGAGTTCGGGGCTCGGGGTCGATATTGTCTCCTAGATTAGAGCGGCTTGGCTGGCTCCAGAGATGGTTGGCGATAGTATGAAGTGACCCGCAAGTTTGTGAAACTCCATCCTTGTGGTGCAATGCCAGATGGGCCGGAGTTAGACTATCAGTCTCGTGATGTTTAATGAGTTGACATGCTGGAAATCGTTTGAGGCGTTGGATGAGAAAAGTAGGAAGGGGTAGACCAACACCAGCTGCGGGGCTCTGGCTCTGGATCCGGGATCTGGCTGCGGGGCTCTGGCTCTGGATCCGGGATCTGGCTGCGGGGCTCTGGCTCTGGATCCGGGATCTGGCTGCGGGGCTCTGGCTCTGGATCCGGGATCTGGCTGCAGGGCTCTGGGTCCGGGATCTGGCTGCAAGGCTCTGGGTCCGGGATCTGGCTGCGAGGCTCTGGGCCCGGGATCCGGCTGCGGGGCTCTGGGCCCGGGATCCGGCTGCGGGGCTCTGGGCCCGGGATCCGGCTGCGGGGCTCTGGGCCCGGGAGCTAGCTGCGGAGCTCTGGGCTGGGGAGCCGATACCGGCTATAGGGCTAGAGGGTAACAACCCAAGGACTCCAGTTGCACTTCCTAGGCTTGGACGTTGTAGAGGGCGAATTGGGGAACTCGCTGTTTGTTGGCTTCGAGGTGATGGCTGTCGATTAAACATTGATCGAATATCGCGAGATCCTTGAGCTGCTTTTTGAAGCTGTCGGGAGCGTGAGGTTGGTGTCCGAGAGATTGGTGGTTGAGGTATGCTTTGACCTTGTGTTTCTTGTTGCCCTTCGTTTGGAGAAATTATTGCAAGCTGTTGTTCAACAAGTTCGGCAAGTTCATCGTCCATTCGCTGTCGTTCTTGCATAAGTTGTTCGAGGTCTGTATGCTGCTCTGGAAGGATTGGAAATATATCATCGAGATATAGATCCTGAAGGCCGATGTTGATGTGGGTTTCTGGTTGCATCTGGCCTGATTGTGTTTGTTGCGGTGTGGGCGCCGGCGGTCCGGGAGCGGGCGGTACGGTGCCAAACTGCGGATGGATGGGGGCTTGTCGCTGTGCGGGAGCCGGCGGTCCGGGAGCGGGCGGTGCGGCGCCAAACTGCGGATGGATGGGGGCTTGTCGCTGTGCGGGACCCGGCGGTCCGGGAGCGGGCGGTGCGGCGCCAAACTGCGGATGGATGGGGGCTTGTCGCTGTGCGGGACCCGGCGGTCCGGGAGCGGGCGGTGCGGCGCCAAACTGCGGATGGATGGGGGCTTGTCGCTGTGCGGGACCCGGCGGTCCGGGAGCGGGCGGTGCGGCGCCAAACTGCGGATGGATGGGGGCTTGTCGCTGTGCGGGACCCGGCGGTCCGGGAGCGGGCGGTACGGCGCCAAACTGCGGATGGATGGGGGCTTGTCGCTGTGCGGGACCCGGCGGTCCAGGAGCGGGCGGTACGGCGCCAAACTGCGGATGGATGGGGGCTTGTCGCTGTGCGGGACCCGGCGGTCCAGGAGCGGGCGGTGCGGTGCCAAACTGCGGATGGATGGGGGCTTGTCGCTGTGCGGGACCCGGCGGTCCGGGAGCGGGCGGTGCGGTGCTAAACTGCGGATGGATGGGGGCTTGTAGCTATAGAAAAGGTATTAGGAAGAAGAACTTAATTCAACGTTTATTATAGAATCACTGGTTGGATTTCTTACAGGTATTAGGTCCTCACTGTTATAATCTACAGCGTGAAACCCAAATGGTGTAAATTGTTGAGCTTGGCTAGAGGATAACGGTTCATGAGGAGGCTCAGGAAGCGTAATGTCGTTGTTAACGGCAAGTCCAACCCGAGGGTTTATCACATTGATCTGAGTTTGCGGGGGGACAGGTTGATAGTAACAGAATTGAAGTCCTGGATTTGGAGCTGTACGTATTGGGCGACGTAACTCCGCTTTACGGTCTTGCTCGCGTTTAGCAAGTTTAGCATCGCTAGGATTCAGGTATTTCCTCGGTCGGCCCATCTTAGATACTGGTGATCTGAAAAAGGTATGTTTGTTTGAGTGATTTCTCTAATTCCTGAGAGATTAAGGGTAGCATATATCGGTGAGGAAGAGGTTTCCCCGCTTCTTGAAATTCTTACATAAGATATCGGGATACTATCTAATTGGGTGCATCGAGATGTTGTGGGCCAGTTCGCTCGTCTCGGTTTTTTCTGGGAGAGGATGCTATCTAATTGGGTGCATCGAGATGTTGTAGGCCAGTTCACTCGTCTCGGTTTTTTCTGGGAGAGGATGCTATCTAATTGGGTGCATCGAGATGTTGTGGGCCGGTTTGCTCGTCTCGGTTTTTTCTGGGAGAGAATGCCATCTAATTGGGTGCATCGAGATATTATAGGATAGCTAACTTATTTAGGTTTTTTCTGGGTGGGGCTGTGGGGCAGCTAACTAGTTTAGGTTTTTTCTGGGAGAGGATGCTATCTAATTGGGTGCATCGAGATGTTGTGGGCCAGTTCGCTCGTCTCGGTTTTTTCTGGGAGAGGATGCCATCTAATTGGGTGCATCGAGATGTTGTGGGCCAGTTCGCTTGTCTCGGTTTTTTCTGGGAGAGGATACCGTCTAATTGGGTGCATCAAGATGTTGCGGGACAGCTAACTAGTTTAGGTTTTTTCTGGGTGGGGTTGTGGGGCAGCTAACTAGTTTAGGTTTTTTCTGGGTGGGGCTGTGGGGCGGCTAGCTAGTTTGGGTTTTTTCTGGGTAAAATGTGGACCTTGGATCTTGGCACACTGAAATCAACAAAATAAGGAAAGTATTTAGAAATATATAATTAAATAACCAAAATAGCTAGGAATATAGGGACTTCAGATCTATATAGATTAGATAAGGTATTATTTAGATAAATTAAAGTAACTTAGCTTTTAACTGTTTTGACCCTAACCTTAAGCCCTAAAGTGGTTATTGAGAACTCCAAGAAGCCTCGGGAGAGCATGCCGTTCGGGAAGTGTTCCTCATTTTGACGAGACGTCCGTCAAGAGTGTGATTTGCAACGGACTTGCCTTGCCCGGACTGGCCCAGCCCGGACCGAGCCAGTCTCACAGTGAACATACCACGCGAGGACGCGCTTCGTCCCCTACAATAGGTCTAGTTGTCAAGCCATTTGTGCGCACTGGCGCTGGAAATCGATGGTGAGGGATGGAACTGTAGCAACCTCAAGGCTCCCACAACAAAAGAACCAAGGTCTCGTTACAATACATGTCGTTTAGCCCGAGAATGTATGTACTATGTACATACCGCTGGTTCCCCGGGGCCCTTGTCCCCTGCTCGTTAGGCCTCCAAAAGCGGCTGGTCCGATCCCGACCTGCTGATTCTGTGGCACTTCCCCGCGTCAAACAAGACCCCGTCTCTATACTAAAACTAAAACTTAAATAGAAACAAGGTCCAAGAGCCAGGTCGACAAACTCGAGTCTGACACACAAAAGCTGAGACAAAAGACCCCAACCAGGTCTGCGAAACAGAAACATTAGCAGGTGAGAACAGGAGCAGGGTTACAGATTACAGGAAACCCTCTATCATTCCTAAACGGGGCCAAAAGTCAAAAACTAAAGCGCCGTTCAAAGCTGTAGTGCACGCTAAACAAAATGCGACTTTCCCTTCGCGGGGGTAGCCCGTTCACCGCAGTCTTGTAGGAGAGGTGCAGGGCTGATGCCAAGTAGTCTAGATCACCACATCGCTGTCTAAGGTAGCTGATTGCCGCGCCCATTGCCGTACTGACTCCCGTCTTGCTGTACTCATCCCTGTGCATTATCTTCAGCCTGGTTCGAGGCTCTCGCCTGCGCCATCTTAAACCGGGCACCTCATACCTTGCCCCGGGATGGGGCCCCCGGACCGTTGGGGTCCAAATCGGAATTGCACCGTCGCAATTTATTGAATCAATGTCGGCTGGAGCCCTGCGCCTTTCTGGATAAAACCACCATGTCCCGTCCGTCGCAAATCTTACCTGTTTCTTACCACCCGCCGCCCCCATCATTCGCTTCCGCCTTCTAGCTTCCCTGCTCGCTCCCCCATTCGTCATGAAGTTCTCGCAGGCGCTTGTGGCCCTCGCCGCGCTCTCCGCCGGCGTGATTGCCCAGGATGATTCTTATGACTACGTGAGTACAAGCCGTGTAGTCTGCGTGCGCCGGGAAGCGTCCAGTTTCGCTTACAATGCCCTAGATCATCGTCGGTGGCGGTACTGCTGGCACCGCCCTTGCCACGCGCCTGAGTCTGGGCCTTCCCAAGTCCAAGATCCTGCTCATCGAGGCCGGTCCCGCCGCTGCGGATGACCTGAGGATCAACGTCCCCGGTCTCCGTGGGTCCATCTTGGGTTCCAGCCTCGACTGGAACTTCACTACGGTGCCACAGTCATCTCTCGATGGCCGATCTATCGATGTCAACCGCGGCAAGGTGCTGGGCGGCTCGTCCGCCATGAACTACCTATGCTACGACCGTGCGTCGGCCCCCGAGTACGAGGCTTGGGGCGAGCTCGGCAACCCGGGCTGGGGTTGGAACACGATGATCAACGCCATGACCAAGTCGGAGAACTTCACCGGCACAGACAACGACAGGCATGGCTACACGGGGCCCATTCGGAACTACTACAACCGCGTCATCTATCCCGTCCTACAATTTTGGCAGCCCGCTATGAGCAAGCTGGGCGTCAATGTCAATGACAACAACAATATGGGCGGCGAGCCGATCGGTGTGATGTTCCAGCCCACCAACATCGACACGACAAAGCACACCCGCTCCTACTCCGCCAGTAGTTACCTGCCCTTGGCTGGCAGCAACCTGGTGGTCAAGACCAGCACTCGGGTAGCCAAGGTCAACATGGTCAAGTGCAGGGGCTCGGTGTACCGGGCGACAGGTGTGACTCTGCCTGGCGGCCAGATCATCAGGGCTAAGAAGGAGGTCATCGTGTCCGCCGGCTCCGTTCAGAGCCCCGGCCTCCTCGAGCTTTCGGGTGTTGGCCAGCCCGCGGTGCTCGAGGCTGCCGGTGTCACCCCGCTCGTCGACCTCGCGGGCGTCGGCGAGAACTACCAGGACCACATCCGCATGTCCAACACGTACCAGCTCAAGGACGGCATCGACTCGTTTGACAACCTCATCTTTGACAACGCCGGCGCCAACGCCACGGGAGAGATGCAGAAGTGGCTAAACGGCGAGCGGTCGCTGTACGAGTATACGACCGCGGCCTATAGCTTCGTAAACTGGGAGCAGCTCAGCTTGGGCACCCAGATGAAGAGCCTCGCCCACAGCATCTTCGGGTCCAGCGCCAACGTCATCGACGACAAGAAGCTCCAGTTCCTCGACAACGCCAGGGTGCCGTCGGTTGAGTACATCTACGAGGCGAACTTTGTCGGCGCCTTGGGCTACACGGGCGGCAAGTTCATCACCCTCATCTCGACCGTCATGCACCCCTTCTCGCGCGGCAGCGTTCATATTGATAGCAAACACCCCCACGGCAAGCCCGTCATTGACCCCAACTTCATGAACAACGAGTACGACCACAAGGCGCTCGTCGAGGCCGCCAAGTTCGCGCGCCAGATCGCCAACACCGAGCCCATCAAGTCGGTCTGGAAGGCCGAGACGGAGCCTGGCGAGACCGTCCAGACCGACGAACAGTGGCTTGCTTACGCCAAGAAGACCATGGGCAGCTTCTACCACCCTGTCGGGACCTGCGCCATGCTGCCCCGCGACGACGGCGGTGTCGTCGACGCCGAGCTCCGCGTCTACGGCACGACCAACTTGCGCGTCGTCGACAACAGCATCATCCCTATCATCCCTTCCGCCCATATCCAGACCGCGGCGTACGGCATTGCCGAGGTCGCCGCGGCCAAGATTATCTCTAATGCATGAATGATAGCGGAAATGAGTGCTCGAGGAGCAGTGTGCGCAAGTAGACCTTTCGATTACGGGCTTCAAGTTGAGCTCTTCTACCAGCCATGTTGTCAGGCTCCCGCATCAGAGCCCAGCGTTAGACTTTAATGTTAGACAGCCTTGCGACGATGCTCACCCATCTCCTTTTTGTGTTCTCAATTGCTAACTGTGATGGCTCATGAGGTAGCTTATCAAGCCATCGAAGTGTGTGATACGGGACGCATGTCGTAAACGAACGGACCGGATCTCGGTCTTAATAATCTATTTATTCGGTCTATACTACTCTACAAAGAGGCAACATCTATTCGCTTGACAGCCCCAACAGCCGGTTCGAGAAGATAGGATTTGGGCAAGAGACGGGCGGAGGCATGCAGATGTGGTTTGAGCGTTGTAGGCGGCTCGGGATACAGCCCCGGTTTGTCGTTGCGTACCGCGCTTTCATCGACGCCCAAGTCTCCCGCAGCCAACATGGCGCCACTGAGGATGCTTTGTCCATTCTTTGATTGTGTTCCTGCCCTCGACATCCTCTGGCTGTGGAACATCCGTCATGCCCCATTATCCAATCCAACGTCTTCTCGTACGAAACATATTCCGGATCGGAAGACGACCTTGAAGAACCGACCCGGGATTCCGGAATGTCTCATGCGGAGAGAAGCTTGTTGCTCCTAGCGTGTCGCCAAGACCAGGTTAAAGGGGCCGGGGATAGCGGCAGTTGCAGGATGCCATTCCGAGAAAGGGGGGTTACTCTGCAAGGGGTAACAGTACTTATTCTTCGGGCTGACACCATCCATCCAAAGTAACCTTCTCTCTTGGCCACGATCGAAGCGAGGGCATTTTCACACCACCATGTTCGGCGTCGTTCTTCTTAGCATAGGGTTGGCTGTTGCCGTCTCGTATCTGGTGCTCGAGTTCCCCCGGGTAAGTATCTCCGCCAACAGGATCGAACACGCGGGGAGAGTGTGCTAACCCCTGAATCGCAACCACCAACCAGCTGCACCAAGGTTGGCGATTGTGGTCGCACCGCTCGCAACTCCCGCCAGGGCCCAAAACACTCAAAACCGGCATTCGAAAACCATGGTTATGGTTCCTCGAACTGAACAAGCAGTATGGCGACGTGGTCTACCTTCAGATGGGGCCAACCCCGACCATCATCCTAGGCTCGGCGCAGACTGCCTGGGATCTGCTCGAGAAGCGCGGCGCCATTTACTCGTCTCGGCCGCGCTTCATCATGGGTGGTGAGCTGTTGTCCAACGGCATGCGTGGGCTGATGGCCCCCTACTCCAACTTCTGGCGTCGCTGGCGGAAGTTGTTGCACAGCGGATTCATGCAGCGCCAGAGCGAGACGTACCGGCCAATCCAGGCCCTCGAGTCCAATGTGCTCATGCACGAGCTCCTGACCAACCCCAAGGGCTACCGGACGCATCTCGAACGATACGCCGCGTCGGTTGTTGTAACTGTGACGTATGGGCGCCGAGTTGAGGATGTCCGGACGGATGCTGTTGTGCAGATGAACGCCGAGGCAATGGAGCGGCTCACATCGGTGAAGTATGTTCTGGTGACCATCTCCCTAACCGACCCTTTGCTGACATGTGTGGCAGCATCCCTGGCAAGTATGCCGTCGAGCGTTACCCGGCGCTCAAATACGTCCCTACCATGTTTGCTCCGTGGAAGGCCCAGGTGCTGGAGCAGCGGAAGAAGGACATCCAAATGTACACGGGCCTCATGAACGACGTTAAAAAGAGGTTGGCAGCGGGTTCACTGCCGAACTGCTTTGCCAAGCATCTCCTCGACGAGCAGCACAACCTCGGCATGACCGATCTGGAAGTAGCCTACACCGCCGGTACCCCCTTTTGGTGCGGGCGTGGAAACAGTGCGTCCTCCCCTGACCGGCTCTTCTCTCCTCTGTTACCGCATGGGACTGACACCTCACAGTCTGCCGGCTCGTTAGCGAGTTTTATCCTTGCGTGTGTTAAGTTCGGCGATAGCTTCATCCCCAAGGCCCAGGCGGAGGTCGACAAAGTGGCAGGTGATGACAGGTTGCCCACATTCGACGACTTGGCTTCTCTAGAGTATGTGCGAGCCATCGTCTCAGAGACCCTCCGATGGCGACCCGTCGCCGTCCTCGGTGGCACGCCACATGCGACCACGGCCGACGACGTGTATAACGGCATGTTTATTCCGAAAGGGAGCACCATCATCGCCCCATTGTGGAGCAGTAAGTGTCGATCAAAATGATCTATTCGTTGGGACATGTGGCGGAGGTAGGCTAACTTCCCTTTCAGTCCATTTGAACGACGCGGACTTCCCGGACCCGCATGAATTCCAACCGGAACGCTTCCTCGAACAGCGCGAGTATCCTGGTAACCTGGGGCACAGCGCATTTGGCTGGGGGCGTCGTATCTGCCCTGGCCTGCACCTCGGATCCGCTTCCGTGGCCATTAATATCGCCCGGATATTGTGGGCATTTGACGTTAAGCCTGCTCGGAATGCCAAGGGAGAAGTGGTTGATGTTGACATGTAAGTGGTCGATAAGGGACATGGTTGTTTCCGAACTTGTAGGAGCGTTACTGATAATATGATAGTTTTGCCTTCTCGGACGGGTTCAACTCAAGCCCCCTGCCATTCGAATGCTCCATCACGCCCCGTTCGGAAAGGCACGCACGTGTGGTTGAGAGAGAGTTCCAAGAAGCTCGCGGAGAGCTGCGGCAATACACAGCAGCGGCAAACTGAGTGTATGAACGGTGCCTCGTGGAATACAGCAAAGCACAATGTAACGCTGTCCACACAAGCGCTAGATCCAAATTATCAGAACTGTACAATGGTCAGTAGCCACGAATACCACATAGTGGCCACTATGACGGTTGAAATCCGCCCGTACCCTAGGTACCGATGGGTATTTAGCAAGTGATTATTCTGAGAAGGTTCGCTGGCAAGATTCCGTAAAGGCACCACGATCTGTAGAAGACGCCCTTTTCCTCGGCAGAAGGTTCGGGAAGCCAAGATCACTACTACGGGGGAATCAATGTTGACCTGAGCATGGCTTTTGACTATTTGTGTAGATACAGAACCGGGGTGTGCACTATGTACGACTGGAAACAAAACTCTTGGTCGCTTCACCAAAGCAGAACCTGCTGCGCTTAGGCCGCGTCGACGAGTCCCTGGATGAAGGTGAGCGCCTGCTGTCCGTACTTGGTGACGTACTGCTGGTGCGAGTTCGCATCGTTGCCGGTGCAGCAGTACGGGTCGGGCGAGTCGCAGTACGACTGGATGATGTCCGGGCTGGCCGGCGAGCACTGGAAGCCGCTGGGGCGGGCAGCGAACTGTTTGTATTGTTATTATTTATTTGTTCGCGATAAGAATCAGGCGTTGCTGGAACGGGAGCCGAATAACTTACGCCCTGGGCCTGGCATGTGCCGACGTTGTACGGGAGGCCGACAACGTTGTGCGGGTCGCCCATGAAGATGGCGGCCTTGACGGCGGCGAGAGGCTCACCGGTAAGGGTGGCACCGGCGCCTCCGCAAAGGGCATTGTCCATGATCTGACCGCCCTGCGAGTAGCCGATGAGAACAATCTTAGTGTCCGGGCAGCGCTGGTTGAAGCTCGTGACAGCCGAGACGACGGCCGACGTGCCTTGGCTCGCCGACTGGTCATAGCTGACGCCGCCGCACTGGGATTGACCACCACAGGCTGGGTAGTCGATGGCCTCGCTAGTGGCGCCGGAGTAGGCCTGCTTCACCATGTTGACGAGCCCTTCCGAGGTGCCGTAACCGGCGGGGGCGGTCGTCTCACGGGCTCCAAACACGTGGACCTCGGGGCATGACTGGCGAGCCTCGACCTCGACGGGGCCGGCGCTGACGAGGCCAGCGAGAACCGGGACGGCAACAGCGGAGACCTTCATGTTGGGTATTGTTGGGTTGTGGAGCTAAGACTCGAAGGGTGTGCTTGTCGGGTGGGGATGTGCAAAAAGCCGAGATGGTTCTGGAACATAGGCCGTTCTTATATCATGATCTCACTCCGTAGTGTTTCGTACCCTTACCCGGGTTCGGACGTACGGGTGGTCGAAAAAGGGAAGACGGAGAAAGGCTCGGCGGAAGGCCGCCGAATGCCACGCCGGAACCTTGTCTTAATTTTCAAGAGCCCTTCGGACATTATTGCAGCCTCCCTCGTCCTTGCAAGACCCCCCTTACTACGTAACACCGGGCAAGGGGTCCAAGCTAAAATAAGCCATGTCCCGGGGATATGGGACTCAACACCAACGAGATTCGTTCTAATTTTCTTCTAGAAGGTGTTTCGCCATCGCTGCCAGCGTTAAGGAAGGTAATGATCGACCAGAGGAGGCCGGGGGCAAACACAAGACGGTCGATCATCAAGCGGTGCGGCCCTCTTCCACTGTCAAGCATCTCCAGTGCTTCGTCATAGGGAGCATGATGGAATCCCATGCAAGTGTCGGGGGACTTCCCCGCAAAGTCGTATAGCCGATAGCACATGGGCCTGTCGATCAGCGCCGGGGCGAATCGAAGCCTTTGTTTCACGTATGTTGATGCTTGGCATAGTGTTGCTGTCACACGTTGTCAAGGCCTGAGCCGACGGCAATAGGCAATAAGCGCGGGTGAAATACCGAGAAGACGTCGTAATGTCGATGATCGGCATGCCCAGGCTGCCATTGATCTGTGGGGAATGCCTTTTGCCTAAATGTTGCCCATGGGGAAAGCAAGGCACATTCATGCTAAACCAACACCAATCTGGGGTTGAAGGCTGGCGTGAGACTCCATTGAGTGATGACGAACTTTACTTGTAAGCCTGAGCCACGGTGCTCTGTTGGAGTCTGGAGAGGACTCACCTGACTGATACTCTGAGAAACAGCACCTAGTGTTCCAATGACGACCCTAAGGATAGATGGGCTGGCATCTCTTGGCCGGGAGATGGTCCGATAAGATCGGGACTTGAATCCAGGGGAGTTACAGGTGAGTTAATATTGTGTACCTTTGCAAGGATCAAGCCCCGGCTGTTTGCAACATTCGCGAACCGGATAACAACCAGAAGTGAGCCAGGCATCAATTGAATTCCAGCTATCTGAATGGCGCTCACCACAAGCTGGAAGTAAAGGAATGTAAGGTGATCAACCCGTCTGCCTCCCTTTCCATCCTCATAGCCCATACCGTCCGTCCTCCGCCGTACCATACCATCCTCCGCAAACCCTGCGCGTAAGTAACTGAACCTACCCTCCCCCGCATGACATCCTTTCCCCCGAACTGTAATACCCCCTAGGCCACACAGAGCGCCTCGATGCCTTGGCTTCGATCTTAAGGGCAGGCCTGCCAGTTGGTGCGGAAGATGACGTGCATGCTTCCATCGAAAGCGTCCACCTAAGTGATTCATCGCGTTCGCCCTCACATTAGCCCATCTATTCCATTTTGTTTTCCTTTTGGTCTCTGCTTTTTCTTTTTTTCCATTTTCCTCCCCATGACCTTCTCCCTCTCCGTTTTGGGTAATAAAATAACAAATAATACAACAGGGCAACTCGAAACAAGGCAGTAACGACGTCAAACTCAACAACGGCGCCACTCCAGCAACACCTTGTAGGGGTTTCTCACAGTCATGGTCCCCCTGTTCGGGGTAGAGATGGGCGTGATGCGGATTTCCGAGTTGACGTTGAGGATGGCCGCCGTGCCGCCGCAGCGCGAGAAGGACTCGACGCCGACTCCGGCGATCATGTTGTAGTTGTCCTCGTACGGAGCCAGGAGGTTCTTCTGGAACACCACCTCCTGGGTGCTGTCGCCGGAGAAGGTGTAGCCGGCGCGGCAGGTGCCGGTCTGGCCCTCCGAAAGGCTAGCATAGCCGGTGAAGCGGGTCTCAATCACGGAAAACCTGTTATCCCGTGTCAGTATTCGACTTCTTCTTTTATCGGCTTCCTTTGGTTGCGTCTCTTGTCCGAGTCGGATGATACTTGGGACTCCATGATCTGCTCCGAGGCAGTCTCCGGGCTAGGCCTAGACTTGGACTCACTGGTATCCGGAGGGGAATTGGAGGTTGATGCTGATGCGGCAGTTCTTGCGGCTATCCGAAACGCTGCTGCCCGGGCCGGCGCTCACGATGTACTCGTCGAAGGCGACGTCGAAGATGGTGCCTGTAGCATCGACGTTGATGTAGGCGTGGCCAGCAGGGCAGCCCGAGCCGATAGCGGTGACGTTGATGATCTTGATCTCCCCGGGGGCAGGTGCCGTGAAGCCCAGAGATTCACTCGGCGTGATGACGGCAGCGGCGGCAGCGCCGGCAAAGAGGAAGCTGGTCAGACGCATTTTGAATGGCGGGGTTGCTCAGCTGCGAGACGTTAATGCAAGTGACCGGAAGGCTGCTGAATGTTGATGAGGAAGGTGGTGATCCTCTTTCTCAGGTTGGGTCTGTTGACGGTCCTTTTATAACCATCGACAACGCACCGAGCTACAGCGAGAAGGGGTTTACGAGACGGTCTTGGGATCCCGGACTTCGACTCCGCAATCCAAAAGCATCGCCCTGCCATCCCCAGCGTCGACCTGCAGAGGAGATGCCCCGAACCACGGAGAAAGGGAGTGATGACAATCGCCATATCAGCTACCACGTCGCAGCCAATGCTCCCATCCCCGCCCAACCAAGCCCGCGATGTGATGTTGGTGACGGCTCCTCAAGCAGCTAGCGCTCGAGTTATCGCCTTCGCTGTCGGGGGGACGTCGGGATAAGGTTGGACGGAAGGAAGGGATCCTTGAGTGGACCGTGAGAGGCACCCCCAGCATGGGAAAGAGTTTGGTTTCCGGCTTTCGTAGAGCTATTTTTGTCGACAGTCATATCGTGCCGCTATTAACTAGCAGCTTCATAGCGTCTCTGACCGGGTCGCTGGCATCCATTCATAACGCTTGCTATCTTCATGTGATCCGGGGGTGTGGTCCATGTTGGATCGTCCTGGAAAATAGCTATCGCGAGTGTCGGAGGTGTGGCCCCTGGGAGGCTGCCTACAGGTGCCGACCTAATTGTAGAAACCCCAGTGCAACAATGCCATCACTCTCGCGAGGTGCGTCTTCCCACACTAGCTAAGTGGTTGCTGTGAAACGCCATCGGCCCTCGAAAGGACGCCTGGGCTGCGCTGGTGGCGTGAAAGTGGCCAGTGATACCCCCGCGGCAGCAACACTAAGTCGCGGCTCCAAATTGGCCAACAGATTGTTACGGGAGCCCAACCCGGAACCTGAGCTGCCAAGGGATTCGGTCCAGATAGGGTCCCTGGGGCCGATTCACACGGTCACTGATGTCGCGACACAGGGGGCTGGCGATTGGTGGGGATCTGGTTGATACCAGGGAGGCGGTTACCCCGACCCCGTGCCTCGGGAGATTTGCAAGGGCACTGCGACCTTCTTCAGCCAGTCATAGAGGAATCCGAGTCTCCAGGAAGCTTATCCAGACTACAGACTACGTAGGTCAAGACCCTATGCGCATACCCCTGAGCACGTCGATCGCATACACGCCTGTGCGGTTCTGCGTTTGGTGATACCATCTCGCTCAGGGAGACGACGGGGAGTGAAATCGTAAAGATAAATTCTGGGCTCGGTGATGACCAGGATGTCAAAGCGGGAGGACCGGGTAGCTTATTGGCATCGCTTGCTGCCTATAGGGTACAAGTCGAAAGACTTCATATATGGATAAAGTGTCCACGGCTTGGCGCATCATTTGTCTGGTGATGCTCCGCACCCTCATGCATGGGCTGGATCCCAGATGAGAGAGAAAGCCTAGGCGCTGACCGCATCTTTCCGTGCGGGTACGGAAAGCAAATTCCTGGGGGACCGTCCGCCCGGTTCTTGCTCATCCGTCTTGTGTCGCCGGCGTGCGGCATCAGATTCGTCCACCCGAACAGCATCCGAAGACAGGGGTAGCGGCGGCGAGATTAAACCGTGTCTTATGTTGTCGCGGAACTTGCCTTTCAATGTTGCCCCTACTATCCACCGAGCCATTGGCGATTGCAGGAGTGAACCGGGGTGTCAAGGTCCTTGGCTAATATGTACGATGGGGCGATGAATGAAATTGGTCGAGAGCGGGTTGATTTCGCTACCTATGTCTGATTACCGCTCTCCTGGGATGACAGCAGATACTCCGTAACCTCGGTAAATTCATCCCGGAATTGCAGCAACTCCCTCCACCGCAGGGGGATAGCATTCACACCATCCCGCGCTCCAAGCAAGCCGCCGGCGATGGCGCCGTTCGTATCGGTATCCCGGCCGAACCTTACCACATCAATAAGGACTTCCTCCAATGCGCGGGGATCGAAGATGGCAGCAACACCCAAGGTCAGAGACTCGAGCACGTAGCCGGACGCCTTGAAGGGCAGAGCCTTGGTGGCGTTCGCAGCTCGTTTCGGTCCGTTCTCGGCGAGGTCCCGCACCTGGACTAGCGACTTGCCCGCGTCGATGGCCGCCTCGACGCTATTCGCCGCGCTCTCCAGCTTGGCCTTCCGAGTTGCCGTCGTCTCTGCCGCAGCCAGAAGGGCGACCGCCTGCGCCACCGCGTCCTTCCCCGCCTGCCAAGCCTCGTCGGCTGACATGCCTTCGACCAGTGTTCGTACCATGGCATTGTATGCCGCGCAGGAGATGGTACAATGGAAATCGTCGTGCGTGACGGCCGAAATCTCGAGCGACTCCGTGAGTGCCTTGGCCACATCGGACTGGAACAAGGCGGTGGGGATGCACCGCATGAGTGATCCGTTCCCCGCGCGGCCCTCTCCGGCCCCCGAAGTCCGCGGGTCGTTCGTTCTCTTGAACCTCGAGATGCCGGTTGCCGTAGCGCCGCCGACGTCGGCGGGCATCTCGCCTCGGGCGCGGTCGGGCCAGCGTCCATCGTACCAGTCGACCATGTATTCCGCGGCAACCTTGACCACATCTGGCGACTTGGGGGACTGGGATCGCCGTAGCTTTTCGACGTCCCGGTACGCGAGTAGAACGGCGCGGGTTAGGTCGGTGTCGTCTGTTGCATGCCCCGGCGTCCAGCCAAAGGGACCGCCGCCGACCATATCCCTCACGCCGCGTGGATAGTCGTTCTGAATGTATTCCCAGGCTTCGAATTCAACCGTGGAGCCGAGCGAGTCGCCAGCGTGCACACCAAGTAGCGCGCCGAGAGTGCGCTCATGGCGAGTCGCGGTGGGTGAGTTTGACATGATACTTGTCCCTCGAAATGATTTTTGGTGCCCAGAGTAGGTTGATATGAATGTCGACCCAAGTTGCCGTTGTGTTGGGCCAGTTGGATGATTTCGAGTCACAGCCCAGGCTGCACTCTCATTTCAGGCAGGCAAGTGGGTTAGGGTTTTTGGCCGCAACCTTTACCCTTTTCGACCCCAGCTCAGCCCCGGGAAAGTCTCGAAGCATCGCCCAGAGCATCGCCCCCCGGGCGCGGATTGCGCAAGCCGAAGCCCGTGGGCCGATGAATGGATCCAGTCTATCCCCGGTTGCCATGGTTGCGAGAGTGGAAAGACGATTATTGACAGGCAGCCCGCAGAAAAGACTAGGGTCGAGGAGAGATGGGCATGTGATTGTGAAGCTCAGTTGCCGCGCAAATTAACTTTTGATAAAACACGATGGTTCTGCGGCTGCGACTACTGGGACTACCGCGACCCCGTAACCTGGCCATCCGAGCCCCCGAGCTCGCTCTGTTCCTCGGCTTCGGTAAGCTTCAACGCCTCGTGAACATCATCCACAAAGTGGCGTTCCCCGCCAGCAAGCTCAATGATGCCGCTACGCCGCAGCAAGTGCCCGATTTTGGAATCGTGCCCCGGCCCCCGGCTGAAGAAGATACGGACACCTCGTTCCCGGTAATCCCGCACAATCTCCTCGAGCACCTGCGTTCCGCTGCCGTCGAGGGACGTCACGCCGTGGATGTCAAATATGATGTTACGGTTCCAGTTTTCCCTCATCAGCCGCGGCAGCGCTGGGTGAGCCATGCTTGAGCCGTACAGCTCCAACCGCCGCAGCCGTGTCTTCATCTCACCCGTGTTTGCAAATGTCAGTGGCTCGGGGATCTTGACAATCAGGCACCCCTCGATGAATTCGAGACGATCTAGATTCGCTTCGGCGTTCTCGAAGCGGTTGGTTCCGGGAATGCGGCCGAGAATCTGGATGCGTGGGCGTGTAGCGTGGCGGATGACCTGTAACAGAGAGAGGCCGACGCCGATAGCCATTCCGAAGGAAAGGGAAAAGAAGATGGTGGCAATCACGATGGCGGCCATGAGCCCGAGTTCTTGCCAAGCGCGGATCTTGAGGAAGAACGAGACGTCATGTGGGCATTCTTCAATCAACGACCAGGCTACAACACTAATGAGAGACGACAGGACGGGTTTCTGTAGGGGTCATGTTAGAGCTATGATGCCACGGACCGTAAAGAGGGGACAGGGGCGGCTAACCGGAAGGTAATAGAGGTACGGCAAAAGGAAGAGGATGCAAAGTAGCGTTAGTCCACTCAGGATGATGGAGCTCACGGGTGTGCGGCCGCCCGTAGATTTGTTCACCTTGCTCCTGCCATAACCCCCAAAGGAGGGTAGGCTCGAGAAGCAGGCGCCGACGAGGTTGGCCGTCCCCAGCGCGACCAGCTCGCGGTTGGGGCTCAACTGGATGCCGGCAAAGGCATTACCGCCGAGACTCTTGGCTGCAACCGACGACTCGAAGAAGCCGAGCAGGGCGATCAGAAACGAGGTGCTCATGGCCTCCCGCATGTATCCTATGTTGGCCGGCTGCAACGGCCAACGGAAGGTGAATAGGTGACCACTGGCCGCTTCGACTTTGCCGAGCACGGCAACGCCAGCCTTGTCCCACTCGTAATAGTAGGCGAGAAACGCGGACAACACCACGACGAGGAAGCGGTCCGGGATGTAGGCGACCCCGGGGTACCGAGGCTGCATGCGGCGCTTGATCTCACGGCATACCATGATAATGACGAAGCTCGTGGCGGCCACAGCCAAGGTCAGAGTGTGAACTTTGTCTAGGTTACGGAAGATAAAGGCGAGTTTGTCGACGCTGCTGGCGTGGCCGATGTGGGCTTGGTCGGCTAGCCGGTTGAGTCCGAGCTCGGGGATGAGCTGGTCGACGGCAACCACGACACCAATGGCGCTGATGAAGCCGCGGAGGAACGGACGCGAGAGCACGCTATCCAAAAACCCCACACGACCAACACCGGCAATGAGGACCATGGCACCAGACATTCCAGCGATAACGCCACAAAGCCTGGCCTGCAGTGTGGCGTCATCTTCACCACCACCACCGCCCCGGTCGACGATGGATTTGATGGCAGTCCCGACGAGAAGCGAGCCCGCCGCCTCGGGACCGACAATCATGGCGGGACAGCTGCCGAGAAGGGCGTAGATGAGCGGGTTGAAGACGAAGGCGTACAAGCCGTTCAGGGGAGGGACGTGAGCCAGATTATCGGCAAGGGAGAGCGCCATCGGCACGTACATGCCCGCCACGGTGAGAGCGCCGATAAAATCACCCTTGAAATAGGACCAGTTGTACTCTTTGGCCCAGACCATGACGGGGAGGTAGTATGAGAGGTACCTGAGAAGGGACTGGTTAATATCAATGGGCACTCGTCATGCACCTTGGGCATCTTGCGGACGCTTACATAAGGGCAGAGTCCTTCACGCCATGTTGTTCGGCGAGCGCGCTCGAGGTGCTCATCTTCTTGCTTCTCATCTTAGACGCCCATCGCTTTTTCCAGGTCCTGCGTCTCGAGCCCTCCGAGACGACCCCGTCAATGCCGGGGATCGAGGCTTCCGTCTCAGATTCGGAAGGGCTCGGCCAGTCGACCGGAAGACTTCCCGAGGGACTTGTAGGTCGCGGCGAGAAGGTGCCGTGATTGCAAGGTCCTTCGTGTGCTTCTTCCCCCAAGTCCACCGTGGCACCGAGTAGGGACGTGGACTCGGTGGGGTGTTGTCTGCTCGGCCCCGCTGCATGATGGCTCCCGGGGGCTGCATCGCGTCGCTCGGAAGCGGCGCGACCCGCGGCATCGTTACCGGAGCTGGACGAGGAAGCGGTGTAGGTCTGGCGGAGACCGCTGGGGTGCGCGGGTGCATGGTCTTGCCCTGGGCGCGGGGAATTCGGTTGGGAAGACATTGTTCGGTGCTGGTGTTGGTGTCGACGCGGGATCACCGAGAGCAACGCCGAGGCAGAAGCATCGATCGGATATTAGGTACAGATTACTGTGCAGAGAAGGGCGAGAAGCGGGATTCGCAGCAACAGCTGGTTGCTGGGAGATAAGACGGGGCCAATTGGGGTTCCCGTTCAAGCCCGGCTCGTCAACGTTAAATGTGAGGGTACAATGCAAAGCGTTTTTCTCTGTTTGCATCCGCAGCCATCAGGTAATGTAAGGTTGAGGGTGAGCGGTCAGAAACAATTCAGAATCACAAGTTAGATGGAAGTGGTGTCGCGGCTTCGGGGCGTCCCGCCGGCGATTTTTCTGGGCGGGCCTGGCAAGCATCGTTGGTGACAGGCACACAGGGTCCATCGAGGCTCGGGGGGATGGGCTTGGGAGATTCGAGGCTGGGCGATTGGAGGGATGCACAAACCATCACAACCCCGCGATCCACGTGACTCCACTTACCCCTGGCCAGCCAATTGCAGCATCAATCTTTGTTTCCGATTGCTCAGCTTCGCCGCAGCCCCACCAAGAATTGGGCTTGGGACGGATCCTGTTGGTCATGCCTCACTGCCTCTAGCACCGGATCCCAGACACTGCGAGGCGCGAGGCGCGAGGTTCGAGCAGTGTCGGATTTGGAGCAGCAGAGGAAGTGGAAGCAAGCGACGGGTTCATCAAATGCAGGAGACTGAAGACACAGGTTCAAATAAGTGTCATGTCTGTCAAAACATACATTTTCCGTCATGAATGCCTGGAACACGCCCGGGGTATCAACCGTGACTTCGTCTGCCAACCACCTCCCACCTAGGTATAGCCTCGGCCACTCGCAAACACCATATCAATCAAACATGTCACCAATTTCCTCGCCTTCGTCCGGCGTCACGGCGAGCTCCAGCAGCTCATGCGCCAACTCTACTGTTTCGGCGTCGATCCCGGCCTCCAGAACCAGATCTTCCTCAGCAAAGTTGAGCCTCGCGAGCGCCAGGAAGTAGCGTTGCGAGCCGCCGTGAGAAGCAGCCAGCTTCGCCGACGTGTTGGCGGCGTCTGATGTCCTGGGGTCCGTGACGATAAAATGGAGCAACCGTGTTGCCCGCGAGATGATGTTGTAGAGGAGGCTCATAGGGTCGGTTATCGCATCCAGTGCGGTCTCCTCCGTAACACCCAAGGCTTCGGCGTCTGGTTCGCCCCCATCTATTTTCATGTCCTCGGTGCCATCTAAATCTTGTTGATCCACGTCCATTTCATCGCCGCCGTCGGGCCGAGAGTTTCCCGTGTCCATCCGCTTCCCGGTCTGCAAGGGCAGGTCCGAGTCATACAGGCGATCGATAGCCCAGCACAACACCGTGACAAGACGAGGAATGGCAACGTCGCTCTCTGCGATTTGCAACGCGCCAAAGTGACTCGTAGCAAACGTTGTTAGGGTCTCGAGTGCGGCCCACCTGACGGCAACTTCTTTCGCAGACCCGTGAGCTGCCCATCGCGGCCCCTCGCATAAAAAGGAAGATACGCAGTCAATTACAGTGGCTGCAACTGCACGGGGGTTCCTTGTCTCAGAGCGGCCGCTCGGCGATTCGGTTGTCGACGAGGGGATGGGACCGATGCTGGTAGAGGTGACCGACGTCCGCAAGATGGACATCATGACCAACCAATCCGTTTCCGGATGTTTTGGGGAGAGCATCGTCAAGACGAAGTCGAATTCCATTGTCCTCCAGAATTCCAGCTGTGGGCAAGGTTGTGGCGCATCGGAGGCGTCAGAGACTTGGAGAGGGGCTGGCAGACAGGCTAGGGCGGCGAGGTAGAGGAGGGAAAGGCAATGAGTGACATCGATGTTCAGGCATAGCTGCCGGACTACCGCGTCTGGGTGCGCCGACAGATCGCCATCAACGCTGTTGAGCCGGGGAAGTGCCACAAGGCGGCATGTTGTTGCGCAGACCGGAATAAGTGATGAGATGATGTGCGGCGCGACTTCAGCCGCGTTGAGCTCGAGAGTGTACATGGTCAAGGCGACGAGGTGGTATATGGGCCCGTAGTATCTTTGCGCAAGACACTGGTGCCACATCTCGATCAGCATGTCCGCAAAGTCGACCAAGAGGGTTAATGGTTCGCCGGGAGTTCCCATTTGGGGAAGTTTCTGGAGGATTATCGATGCGAGCGAATGCTTTTGGTCCGCAGGGAAGGTGTAGTGCGAGAAGACATCGAACGTCGGGGGCTGATCGTGAATCGCGGTGTGATCTAGGAAGAGCCTCAAAAACTGCGAGACGGTTAGCGGTGCAACATGGACTTTCACGCCATGATAGGTAAGGTTAGAAAGGGCTTACATCCAGGGGTAACGGCCGCGGGACAGTCGACGAAGAGAAGGATGGTGCGTTGACGGCGTCGGCGCTATCGAACACCGAGTCTCCTCCGTCTGTTTCAAGAGCAAATGTTGGACTGTCAACAATCGGGCGCTTCCTTTTTCCTCTCGTTGGCGTGCGCTCGACGGCGGGAACAGCAGCAGGGCCAGAATCTTTTCGTCTCAAGTTCTGGGTTTTACTGGGACTGGAGAGGACCTCGATGCCGTCGAAACCATCGGCCATCCCCCATGTCCTATCCTTCCTAGGCGTTGCCGGACCGTCCTTCCGCTTGGACTTTGTGCGCCCCAGTCCCTCTCTAAGGTCCTGGCGGGCAAACTGCAGCTCGGTCGCAGTGCTACGCTCTGCTGCACGCGCTTGCTCGGCGATGCGCTCTTGCTCGGCAAGCTTCTCAGCGTTTTCTCGTTTTATACGCGCGATCTCCGTTTCGAACGTTACGCGGTCTTTGCCGCGTGCAGAACGAAGGATGGAATTTTCCCCGTTAGATGCCGTGAGGTGCGACTCCAACTCCGACACACGAGCTCGCAGTGTCGCGATGATCTCGTTCTGGCTTGCGGGGCCAGCGCCATGGTGGACTTGGGACGGTCGAGCCGCATATGTGTGGGGGATTGGCACAGGCGGCCGGGCAAATTGTGACTGTTGGGCCCCTTGTTGCGGGCGCGCTGATGCCACAGGAGGATGCCGTTGCGATGAACCAGCTGGGTACCGTTGCCGAGAGGGTAGAGGCGGAGGAACCGGTCGTGAGGGCGGCGCGTACTGCGGTCGTGCTGGATAAGCCAACCTCGAGGGCGGCAGGTGCTGGTTCCATCGCTGTGTGCCTGTCGTGGTATGGCGGGGTTGTTGGATCGGAACGGCAGTCTGCTGTGGCGCGGGGCGGGGCGGCGGGAGAGCGTGTTCGTCAATCACGACGGTATCATCGAGGTCGTCATCTTCGAACTCGTACTCGAAGGCATCGTTCTGCGCGGGCGGTGCAGCTTGCGATTGAGCTAGTTGTTGAGCCTGAGTAAATTGAATCGCATTATTTTCGAGCTCCTGCAGCACCGTGTCGTTCAGGTCGTCGAAGCCGTCGTCGGAAAAGTCATCCATGGCCGCAGCTGATTGCGTCCAATTTTAGACATGACCATGGCGTTGAAACCTCGCCAGAGCATGATAGGGCAATGTGCCCGCGCATAGAATGTGGCTTTGCCGGTGTGTGCGAGGTCGCGGGGTTGCGTCGTTGGGATGCGGTTTCAATTCGGCGTTTGACGCGTCGCGGCCAGCCGCGCTCGAGACGGCGCTGAGGCTAGCGGAGTTCCGGGACCTCAGGGTCCATCGAGCCTGAAAGGCCCTGGCCGGGTTTTCGGTGTGCAAGCACTCCGATGCGTGGAGTGAATGCTTGACATGTGATTCGCGACAGCTCTCTCCCTCTTGGGTCCATGCCAAGCCCCTCGATAGGTGGATGTGGTCAGTTCCATGTTTTCCAAAGTTAATCCTCAGATAGCAGGCTGTTAGCCACAGCGATATCATGCAGTTGCAAATTTGTCCGGCTTCTGCCCACCGTGTAACCATGTCGGACCAGAAGTTCATCTGATACATTTTTCGCTTGTTGCTGCTAATCCTGTCAGCGCTGTTGACCATCCCAATCGCTGGTTCTCAATCTGCCCCACTCTGCTCTTGCTGAGCTGAGGAGCCAAGGAGCCAAGGTCGGATTGACGTAGGGCCTCCAAACCTCGAAATTTCAGACGCCAATCCGCTTTGCGGCTGGTACATCTGTACTTCCGGGCACCCAGCATTTCCTTCTCCCAACTTCCAAGGTCGCGAGTTGACCCGAACCCAGCCCAACATTCGTTGCCCATCACCCCTAAGAATCAACGAGAGGACGCCGGGAATCCTCCTGTCCTTGCGCCGTTTCTCCGCAATCCTGCGACCAACCCGCGACCCCCGAATAAGCCAAGTCCCAGGCTTCCGATCGAGCTGAGCTGACGCGCGGTCTTGCATCCCCTTTGTTACCCGCCCTCCCTCCCACTCAGAGCTGGCTTCGATCAGACGACGACCTAGCAGCCCAGAAATCAACGGTCATTTTCCATCATGACGGGCAGATCGCGCCGGGGAGTCAAATTCTCCCATAACAACAAGCACTCGAACGGCCAAGAAGGACGTCGTTCGAGCTTCAGCGATGTGAGCGAAGAGGGGTCGCCGATCAAGGCCAGGTCCACTGGGACGCTGGAAAACATCCAGGAGGTGAGTTCCCCTTGTGATGGGTTGTTGAATGCAGGTTCGAGAGCTGACGATTATGGCCGCAGAAACCCCCTACCCCTGAGGAGCAACAACAATCCGACTACGAGAAGAAGAAGGCCAACTTCATCACGCGAACCTTTTGGACCTTTGTCATGATAGGCGGTTTCTTCGCCGCGCTGTTTATGGGTCACGTTTACATCTTGGTCATCATCACCGCAATCCAGATCGTCTCGTTCAAGGAGGTCATCGCCATCGCCAACGTGCCCAGTCGTGCCCGGGATCTACAGTCCACCAAGAGCCTAAATTGGTATTGGCTCGCGACCACTATGTACTTCTTGTACGGAGAAAGCGTGGTATATTACCTCAAACATATCGTCTTGGTGGACAAGGTGTTGCTGCCCCTGGCGACGCACCACCGCTTCATCAGTTTCATTCTCTACGTTTTCGGTATGGACCCCCGCCTGCTTGTTTCCTGCAAACCCTCGGGTTCCGAGATGCTGATTAAATGCCCCCCTTTACTTAGGCTTTGTCTTTTTCGTTGGCTCGCTCAAGACCGGTCACCTCAAGTTCCAGTTCTCCCAATTCGCCTGGACGCACATGGCTCTTTTCCTCATCGTTGTCCAGGCCCATTTCATCATGAACAACGTCCTCGAGGGCATGATCTGGTTCTTCATGCCGGCGGCGCTGGTCATCACGAACGACATCTTTGCCTACATCTGCGGCATCACCTTTGGCCGGACGCAGCTCATTAAGCTATCCCCCAAGAAGACGGTGGAGGGGTTCGTTGGCGCGTGGATCATGACTGTCCTGTTCGGCGTCGTCCTCACCAACATCCTGCTGCGCTCCAAGTACTTCATCTGCCCCGCGACGAACCTCGGCGCCAACATCTTCACCGGTCTAGACTGCGACCCGAACCCCGTCTTCATCCCCCGTACCTACTCGACGCCGCAGCTGTTCTTCCTCCCGCCCAACTACACCCTCAGCATCACGACGTCTCCCATGCAGATTCACACCTTCTTTTGGGCCAGTTTCGCCTCTCTCATCGCGCCGTTCGGCGGCTTCTTTGCCTCGGGATTGAAGCGGACGTTTAAGATCAAGGACTTTGGTGATTCGATCCCTGGCCACGGTGGCATGACGGACAGAATGGACTGCCAGTTCATCATGGGCCTCTTCGCCTTCATCTACTACCACACCTTCATCGCCTTCAAGCGGTCTTCGGTTACCCATGTCATGGAGCTCGCCATCATGGAGCTGACGGCCGACGAGCAGCTCGATGTGATCAAGGGCGTCTTGAAGTACCTCACAAACCAGGGCGTCGTCAAACCCGAGGTATGTCGCTTTGCCTTTTTCTTTTCTTTCTTTTTTCTTCATAAAACCTAGTGTTCCGCGGCTAATCAACATTTTCTTCAGACCCCGGCGTCGTTCGAGCAGTTCTTGTCGACCAGCCTTGAGGTATGAGCTGGGTGGTCGTGACTCGGTATCCGGGTCGCAATTGGGACGGTGCATTTCCCTGGCGTTCGGTTTCGACAAGCGGACTTATTCGGGTCCCGTGTATGTGTTACGAGACATTCTCACCCTTCATTTAGCATGGTCTCCAATGCTGGGTAGCACCGAGTAGTAGTACGAGGTTGTAGTTGGATTCTAATTGTATCTTGTTCGATGTTGTATGTGCACACATGCTCCCTTTGTCGCGGAGTCAATCGGGCTAAGGAAGGGGGCCCATCGAGGAACTAAATGCACAAAAGTATCGGGCCAGTGTCAAGGGAATCGTCTATTCCACAAAATGCGAGCCAATATTGCGCCAAAATTGTATACACATTACACACAGCAGTTTTCATCCCATCATCCCCCTCTCCCCGCCGCTCATTGCTCGTTCACAAACAGACCGGCCATGCCCATCCCCGTGCCGATGCACATGCTCGTCAACAAGATCTTTTTGCCGCTCTTCCGGCACTCGCTCAGGCCAGTCACGATCTGGCGGGCGCCGGTGGCTCCGAGCGGGTGGCCCAGCGCGATGGCGCCGCCGCGGGGGTTCATCTTGGCCCAGTCCAGGCCGAGGGTGTCGCGGCAGTAGACGGCCATGCTGGCAAAGGCCTCGTTGACCTCGACGACGTCGACGTCGGCGAGCGCGATGCCGTGCTGCGCGAGCAGCTTGGGGATGGCCACGGTCGGGCCGATGCCCATGATGCGCGGCGCCAGGCCGGCCACGGTCGAGCCGACGTACTTGGCCATGATCGGCTGGCCCAGCTTGATGGCCGTGGACCGCTTCATCAGGAGGATGGCGGCGGCTGTGTTAGGGCTGTTAGCCAAGCGTCGGGATGGGTGGGGGATACATGATAACGCTCAGAATCACTTACCTCCGTCGGTAACCTGGCTGGCGTTGCCGCCGGTGGTGGTGGGACCCCACTGCGGGAAGGCGACGCGGATCTTGGAGAGGCTTTCGGCGGTAGTGCCGGGCCGGATGCCGTCGTCCTTGGAAACAGTGATCTCCTTCCACTGGCCATCGGGGCCCTGGAAAGTGGTCCTGATGGGCACGATCTCGTCGTCAAACAGGCCGTCCTTTTGCGCTTGCTCGGCGCGGCGGAAGCTCTCGGCGGCGTACTTGTCCATCTCTTCGCGGGTGATGCCGAAGTCGCGGCTGACGTTCTCACTCGTCCAGCCCATGGGCTGCATGCAGTCGCTAGACTCCTGCGACCGGCTGGTGACCTTCTCATCGAAGGGTTTCTCGAGGGCGTCTCCGCCGACCGTCATCTGCTCGACGCCGATGGCAATGCCGATCTCGATGGATCCGCTTTCAATGGCGTGGGCGACATCGGCCACAGCCTTGAGGCCGGAGGAGCAGAAACGGTTCAGGCTAGAACAGGCCGTCGTGTTGGGGAACCCAGCGGCTAGCGCCGAGGCGCGCAACTTGTAGGCGGCCTTGCCGTCGGAAACCTGACATCCAGCGCATTAGCCTTCTGCATCTTCGTTGTACTCGGATATCGAGGGTCGCACATTTCCGAGGCAGATGTCTTCAACGAGCCCGGGGTCGATATTGCTCCGTTTGCGCACTTCGTCGAGGAGCGCGAAAGATATGTACTCGAGACTGCTGTCTTTCAGCCCGCCCTTCCTCGCTTTCGTCAGGGGCGTTCGGACGGCGAGGGTAATGACGATGTCGTCGGCATTCTTGGAGGTGCTATTGCGCGGGGCGTTATTAGACAATGGTAACCATAGAACAACTTCCGAACTGCCTAGGTAGGGTAGCGTACATATGCGAGAGCGAGTTGCTCGGAGAGAGGTGCTTGAGAATGGATCCGAGGCGTTCGACGGCCATTGTTGCGGTCTGCAGGTGGTATGGGGTTGGAAAGTGGTGTGTTTGGTCGGGGACGTTGTCGGTCGTAGACGGCGCAAAGATCGACAAACTGGTACCTCGTCAAATATAAAGGGCGACGTCGGCGTTGGAAAGCGACAAGATGGCAGCGTGGTCGCAACCGTTATTATGTGTGGGGTTCGGTTTGCCGAGGCATTCCTCGGTCTCCGTCACTGATCGATGGCCTGGCTGGGGTAAACTGACCCGAGCCGGATCTGCCCTGGTGCCGTCGCATCCCTGCGGGGAAACCCGTCGCTGTCCCCTAACCGCGGAAGGGTCGATGAACTTGCGGCTCCACTATCGGCAGTTCTGCTGCTTCGAACTGAGTGAACATTTAACACGATGGGCGATGGCAGACCTTAACACCGCCTTCCATCTTTTTTTCCTGCGCCCGCGACGGCCGTAAGCAATTTGAAAGAATATCAGCTAACCCCTCAATGACAAACGTCCCTACAGATTACCTACATATCAATGCAAGTCCATCCCGAATTTGGGACTCCTCGTCGGTGCACCTGTTACAGCCCTGCATGCGATCCCTCCATCGGGAGTCGGGAACTGAAGAAACACCGACAATCAACGTCTGCCGTTTGAACAGCGCCCTCGAAGTTTCGCGACAACTGATTCCGACACACGACGCACACCAAGCGACATCCCAGCCATTCTTTTCCTTTTTCTTCGCCACTGCCGGTAGAATACTTCGAGCCCCAGGAAGCCAAGTTACATTGCAACCTCATGTACGCACAGGGTAACGAACCCCCAAATACCACTAACTTGCTGGGACTCGTTGCTGTCGACTTGGCCTGTTTCCCTTTCCCAGGCTCGGCGTTGAAATCAGCCCTACGCTGCCTCCTCGACGCTCCCCTGCCGAGTATGATCAGCCAAGGGTGATCCCGATCGCCATTGCGTGCCTGGCAGCCCGGGGCCAAAGTTAAAGTTACGGGCCTGTCGATGCTCCGCTCGCCGCAATGACGGGGACAACTCGTTCGACTATATGCAGTATTCTGTTCGATGCGCCTGGCTGAGAAGAATGGTCCAATGCAGTTGCAGTTGGAGATCCCAGTCGGGCAGCCCGAGCCGAAAACTTGGGCCCCTGAACCCCTGGCGCGTATCACCGATGAGTGGGCCGACCGATCCAGACCATGGAAGCTCCATCCAGCCACGAAACACGGGAGAATCACACAGCCCGAGCATCGTGTTCGCAGCGTCGAAACGTCATCCCGGACCGACCTCAAAAATATACAAATGTCCACCATTGGGTGGCTCTTGCTCGGCACTGCTTGGCATTGCTTCTGGCTCTCGATTTAGTTAAACGCTAAACCAGAAACAGTCACGCTTCCATGCAGCCCCGCGGGCAACAGGGGTCCGCTGAACATTGGATGGCCCAACATTTGGTCGCTGGGCATTTTTTGCAGTTGTTTTCAGCTCGCGTCCAAGACGAGGGAAACTGACCTTGGCTCCCAACTCAAGGTTGCTCCGATTGTGACCATGTTTCTTCCTCAGTTTCTCGCTTTTCCTATCCGTTGACGCCCTCTCCTGAAGATTTGTCTGCCGACGAGTCACTCGTTTCCTCAAGTCGGCGGCAATCGGCGAGAAGTGTGACAAGATTCGACAAGTTGATGCCTTTTGACTCTGAGGTTCCACTGCTTGCGTGTGCCGAACGTGCCGAACTCGAGGACGACGACTCGCCCGGTGTCGCCAACTTCCCATCCATTTTGCTCGAGCCACACTGCGCTCAACAGTTTGCGGTCATGCTGCTGTATACGACAGCTTTTGCCGCCCTGCTGGCGGCTGCCCCTTCATTCATCCCTCCGGTGACAGCCGCCTCGTCCAAACGTGGGCTCGCCTTCACACCAAATGAGACCACGCGGGCAGACGACAAGATATGGGTCGAGAAGCCGACGAGTTTGACGTGGTACTACAATTATGAACCCAGGCCCGAGCCGGTGTACAGCGATGTGTCGCAATCCGAGTTCGAGTTCGTGCCCATGATGTGGGGTGCCCCAGATAGCATCGACGACACCTCCTTTCTCTCCACCGTGGAGAGCCTCATCAAGGACCAAGGGGTCAACATCACCAACGTGCTTTCGTTTAACGAGCCCGACGGGCCGTTCGTCTACGGGGGCAGCAACATGGAGCCTTCTGCCGCCGCCCAAATCTGGGTCAACAACATGATTCCGCTTCAGGAGCTGGGGGTCCGTGTCGGCCTGCCGGCATGTACGGGTGGTTCTTCCGGCCTGCCCTGGCTGCAGAACTTCCTAGTCGAGTGTTCCAAGCTCGTCAGCACCGAGAACGAGCAGCGGAACTGCACATACGACTTTGTGACCATCCATTGGTATGGCAACTTCGAAGGGCTGGCCAGCCACATGGGGCAATATTCCGCCGCGTGAGTTCGATATGCCCGCCCCCCTAAAAGAGCCTAGGCTCACCTAACGGCTTTACAGTTTCCCGAATAAGACCATGTGGATTACCGAATACAACCTCAACGAGCAAAGCCTGGAGACTACGCAAACGTTTTACAACATGTCAGCGGAATACTTTGACCGCCTCGAGTCCGTCGAGCGTTACTCTTTGTTTGGCGCCTTCCGCAGCGACGTGTCGAACGTCGGCCCCAACGCCGCTATGCTCAGCGCAAACGGCAGCCTCACGGATATTGGTGCCTGGTATCTAGGCCGGGAGCCAACCGGTATCCTGCCTGGCTCATCGTCGGCGGCCTTCCGTCCAGTTCTTCCGCGGGGGAGTATCGCAGCGCTAGTCGCCCTGGTAGCTGTTGCCGTACTCACTTAATACCTCCGCTATGGTTAGAACGGCGCACTCGTCCTTGCGGTGGATGCATCACCCAGCAGCGGTGTGCATTACGATAAGAGACTCGTGGAACGTATTTAAGACATGTGTATCGGCGCTAATTCCCGCGTGCTATCTTGTAATATACCCTCGCATGTACATCCCCTTCCGGACAGCCCTCAAGATCCTGTATTTAATGACCCGGGTCGTATGAGAAGCGTGGAACAGTCCACACATGTCCGTAGGCTTAAACCGGCCACCATGTGGGACCAACGGGAACGCATGTATAAGAAGAAAGGGGAGGTGGCGTTTCCGGCTCTGCGCTGTTGAGATGCAGAACTGGGGCGTCGTTTATCTTTGGCTCTCTACGCCACCTTCCAAGTTGGAACCGGGCAGGGTAAGACATTTATTGCCAGGATACGTCTGCCTTCGCAAGATCTCCGTCAGTCTGTAGGCGGCACACAGTAGACAAGCCGAGCTATCCTGCCCGGCGTTGGTTCTCCTTGTTTTTGAGTACTTATCCTCTTTCCCGTATCGCCCTTACGGTTGTTCTCCCCGAGATAGCTATGGGCAATGACATGAAGAACTACTTGACATCGAGGTCAGTGTTGCCGTCGACTGGGATGCCACACCCAAGGTAGCCATCGGTTCAAGGGGTTCTGACGGAAGAGGATGTGAGTCTTGGACCTGGCCATGCTCGGTCCCCATGTCCCTCGGTCCAACACCCGAGAACCACAACAGGACCAACGGATGGTATAGAAACCAGTCGAGCTATATATAATGACGCCCCTTGTCTCGCTTTAATTGCTGGTGGTCACCCTTTCAAAACATGCCGAGTCAGGCACTTAATTCTAATGCCGGCAACGATCCTGGGCTAGGCCCTTGTCCTGGTCTGCATGTCTTCCTCTCACAACTTCGCCGGCCTGCTCTCCCAGTTCCTAGGTGTTCAAGGTCGACCGTCTTACCATTACTTCCCATCATCACGAGCCGCTAGTATTGGCGGTCTGGCCAGCCGATATGAGTGGCTTTAGGATTTGGGACCAACGGGCTAGCAACCACCGTGGTTGCTATTCTTTCCCATGGGGCTCGTCCACATAGAGTCTACCTCCTTAGCTCCATGGCAATGGTCAGTATAATTGTGTGTGCAATCGCATTCCAACAGGGTGATGGCAGTATTAACACCCCCCTTTTCAAGATCTATCTCACGCTCGTCACCGGCCTCGTCACAATCACCCCCTTTTCCTTCATTTACTTGAGGTTGGAAGATAACAGCCGCATGGCACGCTTCTTCACAGCCTACCTAGGAACGAGTCTAGGCTCTTGGACGCCTCCGTTCTAACTCGATAGGCACAGGTACGGTGGTTTCGTCCTGACCGGCCTTGCCTTGTCATACATCCTTCCCCGGGACAGTCGTATATTCCCAGTCTACTTCAAGTTGTCAACTATTATCAGGTATTTTCTGACCTTTATCTTCTGCTCCGTCAACCTCATCGTTCCATGAATTCTGGCCAACACCGCTGGGAAGACGAAGAAGTCAACCATGATGGCCGTATTCAATGTGGCAGCATCGCTCGGCGGCATCGTCGGCCCCGTTACGTACTCTTTGATGCCGTAAGCGCACCGGCATACCGTAGCGGGATCCGGAACACCACGGGCGTGTTTGTTGCTATGCTCGCCGTCTATTTATTGCAGGTCGGTAATAATAATGCTGCTGAACAGGCTGCAGGTCCGACGGCGAATCGCCAACAACAAACCCGCTTAACTACCTACATCCACGACTCACTCAATGGAGGACGAGCACGTGGATATCCATCCGCACGGGTAATGCTGGGATGACTGGAGACCGGGCGTTTGCCGGCCTGACGGACCGTGAGAATGATGAGTTTTGTTTACGTCTACTAAGGGGTGGAGATTTCTGTGGATAGGGCAGTTAGACGCAAGGATTTATTGTTTGAGGTGTCCTGGAAGACTTGCCTCTTGGCCGTTCCTCTCTCTCATCCGAGTCAATCACATCAGTCGCAGTTCCAGACCCCGCCCGGACACTGGAGCTCCCCCAACCTGTGCATGGCGGCTAAATGCGAGAGTGGAGTTTGGTGTTCCTTGGGGACGCCGGACCGGCGCATCCCCTCATCTCACATCGTCGGGTTTCGGATGTAAGTAAGTGAGGAGCTCGTACGAACATTCGTCACTTATAAACCCCATTTGCCGCCAAGTCAGTGTGATCTCAGACAAGCCAGTACACACAACTGGGACTCTGAATACCACCATGCCTCAAGTTCGCAACCCTATCCTCCCTGGCTTCAACGCCGACCCCTCAGTCCTCCGGGTCGGGGATGACTACTACATCGCCACCTCGACCTTCGAGTGGTACCCGGGTGTCCAAATCTACCACTCCAAGGACCTCGCCAACTGGGACCTAGCCATCCGTCCCCTGAACCGCAAGAGCCAGCTGGACATGCGCGGTGACCCGGACAGCTGCGGCATCTGGGCTCCCTGTCTGACGCACGACGGCGAGAAGTTCTGGCTTGTGTACACGGACGTCAAGCGCAAGGACGGTTCGTTCAAGGACTCCCACAACTACATCGTCAGTGCCCCCGCCATCGAGGGCCCCTGGTCGGACCCCTTTTACATCAACTCCTCCGGGTTCGACCCCTCACTCTTCCACGATGACGACGGCCGGAAGTGGTTCGTCAACATGCTCTGGGACCACCGCCGCCGCCCCTTGACATTTGCGGGGATCGCGTTGCAGGAGTTCGATCCCAAGGCCGGAAAGCTGGTCGGGCCGCGCAAGAACGTCTACCAGGGAAGCGAGCTCGGCCTCGTGGAGGGCCCCCACCTGTACAAGCGCAACGGATGGTACTACCTCCTGACAGCCGAGGGCGGGACGGGGTACGAGCACGCCTGCACGTTTTCCCGGTCACGCAACATCTCGGGCCCGTACGAGGACCACCCCCAGAAACATATCATAACGTCCAAGGACCACCCCCACATCGCCCTGCAGCGAGCCGGCCACGGCGACATTGTCGACACTCCCGATGGCCGTACGTACATAGTTCACCTCACTGGCCGCCCGATCACGCAGTTCCGCCGCTGCGTCTTGGGCCGTGAGACTGGCATCCAGGAGGCGTACTGGGGTGACGACGACTGGCTCTACGTCAAGGATGGCCCCACCCCCAGCTTGTTTGTGGACCTGCCCGGCGCGCGCGACGAGGACAAGTACTGGGCCGAGCAGCGGTACACTTTCGAGTCCGGCCTCCACAAGGACTTTCAGTGGCTCCGCACGCCCGAGACAGACCGTATCTTCAACACCGACGGCGGGAAGCTGACGCTGATCGGCCGCGAGGCTGTCGGGTCCTGGTTCGAGCAGGCCTTGGTTGCCCGGCGCCAGACGCACTTCTCGTACGACGCCGAGACGGTCATCGACTTCTCGCCGACTGATGAACGCCAGTTTGCCGGTCTGACGGCCTACTACTGCCGTTTCAACTTCTTCTACCTGACCGTCACGGCGCATTCTGATGGCCAACGAGAGCTTCTCATCATGGCGTCCGAAGCGTCCTGGCCGCTCTGCAACCTCCGGTTCCCCTACCCGGAGGCCGTCCAGATCCCAAACGAGGGCAAGGTTCGGTTGGCGCTCACCATCCGGGGGAGGGATCTGCAGTTCTTCTACGCCATGGAAGGAGAGGAGCTGAAGAAGATCGGCCCTGTTTTCGACGCGAGCATCATCTCGGACGAGTGCGGTGGCCACCAAAAGCATGGCAGTTTCACGGGTGCTTTTGTGGGTGTTGCCGCCTCCGACATCAACGGGACTGCTGCTCAGGCGAGCTTCGACTACTTCGTGTACAAGCCGGTGCACCATGAGAGCGATCGGTATGAGATTTGAGGAAGGAAACCACTAGTGATGATGTGATTCTGTACTATTACGCGCACCATCACGTCGAAACCCAGTTTCTTAAGTCTGTTGATTTCAGTGAACTCTGATATGATAATTCTCGACATACTACTTATTTACACCTTGTTAGTCAAGGGAATCTTCAAGCCTCCAAGAATGCCAACTCTGCGTCTGTCATGACCGAATACCACTCGCTTAGTACCCAAGCAGTACCCCAGCCCAGCCATGTCTGGTGTGTATGTTTGGTTTTAGACAATGGATTTCAAGATACCCTCCCGGGTATTTCAACCTCACGCATGTAACCGTTGGGTCACGGTTTGTTTGTCTGAGACTGGGCATTTGCAGGCCCCGATTCAAATTCTAGCCCGGAGAACATCTGTACGGGCCCTTCCTTGGCTTCGTTCACGATCTGTAATAGCGTAGTCTAACAAGTTGACACAAATGTGGGAACTGTGTCAGGAGCGCTCCCATTGCTCCTCCGTATCCACCAACTAGGTACCTACCTACCTAGCCTACGGTACAGTGTTAATACACTTGAAGTCCCCGGGCATTTCTCCCACTTAAGGTTGTGATTTGGGATGTTGATCTTCCTTTTTCAACAGCCCACAACGTTTTATCCATTGCCACGGCCATACTCACTATTCCACCAACTATTCGGGAGGGAATAGCAATACCTGCGAGTTCCAGTCTTCCAGTCCAACAGATGAGCTACCACTGTCATTGTTTGCGCGACTATGAGACTCTAACCGCCTGGGAAGAGTTGAGGATTGGAGGAGCAACGCAAAAGGTAGCCCGTTTTGCTTTGGGCCTCACCAGAAGGTCCGGAACAACGGACTTTGCGGTCACATTCGACATTCTGCGTTGGTCCAAGTGACCATTTTGTTTTCTGCATGCCAGGGTCAAAAACCGTGGCACCGCTGACGAAATCCCGGCCCGTGCAGATGGTTCCATGGATTTGTTGGCTCCGGTTGTGTCCCCTATTGGACCAAGCTCCCCTGCTCCTCTGTCAATGCCACTGTGGAGGTTGCACCCTGACGCACCTCATCTTCTGCTCAACCAGGCCATTGTTTCTTTCTTTGGTTCTCTCGAGGTTCTTTCCTTGGGACAAGATGGCCCGCCACGTTGCCGATCCGTCCTCCTGGGACGACGCATGCATGCAGGGGACACATGATGGACCGCGCGGGCTCTTGTCTGGAACTGGGATTTTGGGTGTGGTGAAACCCATGCGGCCAACAGTTTCCAATTCACACCCTTCACATCCCTATCCGGGCGGGAGGGCCGAGGTGAGGGGAATTGTCCATGAATGGTATGGTTCCCCTGCACCCCGACCCGGGATCCGAGCTCGAATGCTCGTCGACCCTGGCAGCAATGGCATGCTGGACGCGAAACCTTCCAGAACACGTTAGAAAATATTGTCTCTTGCATCCTTGGCCGCAAAGCGGCAAGCTTCGAGAAGGAAAGTAGGAGTGGGGGGCCATTTCAAGTGTACATATAGTCGGGGTCCTTTTCCTGTGTCTTCTGACTGCTGTCTTGCTCTCCAGGTTCCTGGAAAGCAACGCTTCGCCTTTCCTCAAGCACAATGGCACTTTCCAAAGTCTCCCTCGCCGCTGTTAGCCTGCTGCAACTGTTCGTCGCGGTAGACGCTTACAGCCCTGCCGCTCGCTCAGTCACCCACTCGACGGTCCTTAGCAGAGCTGATGACCTTCTGCCTGAATATGACTACATCATCGTCGGCGGTGGCACGGCAGGATTGACCGTCGCCGACAGGCTTACAGAGGATGGAAAGCGTATGTTGGCAGCCGTGTTGCCCTATGTGAAGCTAGTGCAGTCACTAACATGTATAGATTCTGTTCTTGTCCTGGAACGGGGTGTATTCCGTAAGAAGCCTCCTATCAAGCCTGGCCGTGCTGTGCTAATTCGTGTTTAGAGAACTCTTCCTCGGTAACGACGGTCTCCGGCGGCTTTTGGGGCCTCATTGACCCAACCATCACCTTTAACATCAGCTCCGTTCCCCAAACGGGGTTGAACAACCGCAGTGTTGCTGTGATTGGCGGCCTGGTTCTTGGAGGTAGCTCCGGCGTCAACGGCATGCAAGTACTTCGAGGACAGAGAGAAGATTATGACCGCTGGGGAGCTTACTTTGGGAAGAAATCCGAGTGGAGCTGGGAAGGCCTCCTGCCGTATTTCCAAAAGGTATGGTCGAGAATTCCCTGGCTATCACAGTGAAACTCTTGTTTAACTACTTGTAAACGCTGACTTGCTTGCACATAGGCGTGGAACTTCCACCCGCCCAGTCCCGAACTGGTCAGCCAGTTCGACATCAAGTACGACGCCGATTACTGGGGGAGCTCTTCCAACGTACACGCGTCTTTCCCAACTTTCTCTTGGCCAGTTCTTAGTGAGTCAAAATCTGGGTGTCAGTGATCTATGTGGGTAGGCTCTGACTCCGTTGTAGAGATGGAGATGGCTGCGTTTGGAGACATACCCGGGGTCGAGTTCCCATCCGATTCAGGATCCGGCGAGACTGGAGCGTATTGGCACCCGGCATCGGTTGACCCGGCCACTGTTCTCCGATCATTTGCGAGACCCGGACATTGGGATGATATCGAGGCGGAACGCACCAACTACCATACATTGACCGGGCAGAGGGTTCTGAAGGTTGGGTTTGAGGGCAAGCGCGCCACCGAAGTGGTTTTCGTTCCGGGAGACGCAACGGACCAGAGCCAAGCCCGGTCAGTCAAGGCCAAAAAGGAGATCATCATGGCCGCCGGTTCCATCCACACGCCCCAAATTCTGCAAGCAAGTGGTGTCGGGCCGAAGCAGTTGCTACAGAAAGCGGGTGTGCCGCTTGTCGTTGATTCTCCTGGTGTCGGGAGCAACTTTCAAGACCAGCCGTTTACCATCGCTCCCAGCTTCAACCGTAAGGGGACACCTTCATCTTTGATCGGACTCGGCTGACTGATTCAATCATCAACTCACAGTTACCAACTTCCCCTTCCACCCCGACTTCTACGATATGCTGTTGAACCAGACCTTCATCGCCGAGGCGCAAGCACAGTTTGCGGCGAACAGGACTGGGCCGATGTCGATCGCGTCTGGCAACTGCGGCAGCTGGCTTTCTCTGCAAGTCATTACCCCTGAGTCTTGGGAGGACATCGCGAAGCGGTACGAAGCGCAGGATCCAGCGGCACACCTGCCCTGCGGCACCGATAAGAAGGTGATTGCCGGGTACAAGGCGCAGCAGAAAGCACTGGCCAAATCCATGAGAAGCAAAGACTCGGCCGCTTACAACTTCTTCCTGCGTGGCGGGTACGAGGAGGGTTCCGTCGTTTACCTCCACCCGACCAGCCGTGGCACCGTTCACATAAACCCTGCCGATCCCTTCTTCTCGCCGCCCGAGGTCGATTATCGGGCGCTTAGCAACCCGACCGACCTCGAGGTTCTGCTTGAGTTCACTCCTTTTACCCGGAAGTACTTTTTGGAGACAAGGATGAACACGCTTGACCCCGTCGAGCTCTCCCCTGGCGCTGATGTGACGGCACCGGAGGATATCGAGGCTTGGCTCCGGTCTGTCATGGTTCCATCCTCCTTCCACCCGATCGGCACCGCCGCTATGTTGCCACAGAATCTGGGTGGTGTTGTGGACGAGGACCTCTTGGTGTATGGAGTTAAGGGGCTCAGCGTTGTCGACGCCAGCGTGATGCCCGACTTGCCCGGATCGTACACGCAGCAGACGGTGTATGCCGTGGCCGAAAAGGTGAGCTTGCGCAACTTTGGAACCTATCTCTGGGCAACTGTGCTAACAACATACAGGCAGCCGATCTCATCAAGAGCAGGGCATAATAGTGTACGGATTAGGGTTGATTGTTATGGACAGTTGCATGTAGATATAAACGTCGTGAAACTCTATAAACTCTATGAGTGGAAAACACACTGTCGCTCCCGTACTCCCCGGACCCTGCCCTTAGTCAAACACATCCGTGGCGTAGCGGTCATTCCGGACCCCTTCATACCACCGCGTAATCTCATCCTCGGTAGCCTCATCACCAAGTACGATCCTGCCCATGGCCTTCTTCACCCCTTCGCCCACAACTCTCGAGCCACATACATACACCCTGGCACCACTTTTCCACATGTCCTTGGCTTCCTCCCTGTCATGCCAGAGCCTATCCTGCACATGTTTACACCCGTGTGCCTCGCCCTCGTCCGGTTCGGCACGGCTGAACGCCCGCCGGACATCGACCGCACCAAGCTCTTGCCACTTGTCAAACTCTTCACGGTAGAGGTCATCCATCTGTGGTCCGCGGCAGCCTAGGAACAACAGCGCAGGGGCAAGTTGGGACCCCTTGGAAAGCAGCGCGGCCCGTTCTTGGATGAAGCCGCGGAAGGGGGCGAGCCCAGAACCAGCACCCACACAAATGATGGGGGTTTTATCCATGTGTTCTGCATCCGGTAGGCGGAATGCGGTGTGCGTAGGGCGCACCGAGAGGAGGAGCTTGTCCCCAGCGACGAGGGACGAGAGGTATGAGGTGGCAACGCCCATGTACCTCTTGTCAGGGTTGACGAGGGAAGGTGAGTCGAGCAGCGAGTATGTCAGCGTTGCCCGGCTGGGGTTGTCGAGGGGCGACGAGGAGATGGAGTATTGCCTGGGACGGATGGGCGGAAGTAGCGACAGGAAGGTGCCGAACGGAAGTGAGACCGAGGGGAACTTGTCTAGGAGATCGAGTATGGAGGCCCGCTTGAGGCTAATTTCGCCGGCGTACGAGGCACCGGCAAGCTCCTGAAGTTGTTGTTTGGTGTTATCGTCACTGGCTGCATCAGCTAGTTTTAGGATTCCCTGAATCATCTGTTAGCGGAAAGCCCAAATCAATTTGACGTTCCCATGACCTACCCTCTTCGTCGCCGGCTGTGAAAGTTCGACGTAAGACCCAAGTACATCGTAAACCGGAACGGGCGTGCCAGTTGGTAGAGCGGTCCATCTGTCTGACCCGATGGTAATATGCGAGTCCCAAGAAAGTTTGAACTGCCGCATGACTCGGCTGATGCTGTCCTTTGAGTTGACGGGAAGCACGGCGAGATAGTCCCCGACTTTGTATGTCACCCCGTCCGGGAGTTGGACTTCCATATGCTTCTTTGGTGAACTGCCGGCCGCAGTGAGTACCCTCTCCGCGAGCACAGTCGCTTCCTTGACGTCCTGGCGGAGGGTGGAGGATCGGGGGCTAGAGAACTGAACGTCGAGGCTGTCTGAGTTCACGGTTTCGTCGGCCTCAGGGGCTCCGTCCGCAGCGCCGTACTTGGCCTCGATAGCCGGCCAGAAGACGTCGTCTTCCCACTGCTCGAAGTCGGTGAACATGTCCCCCTGGGCCGCGTCGGTCAAACCCATGTCGCAGACGGGAGAGGCTCCACGAGCTTTCATGGTCTGACCAACGAGTTTGGGGACCTGGTGGAAGGTCTGGGTCCAGTCGTGGTGTCCGCAACCGAAGACGGCGTACGAAACATTTTGGAGCTCGTTGGCTTTGAGGCTCTTCAACCAGGTGCAAAACTTGGCCGCGTTGTCTGGCGGCTGGCCCTCGAAGGACGCAGTGATGATCACCACCGGGCGGTCCGTGGGCAAGCTCTCTGTGGCCGTGTCCATCGGATCAACCACCGTAGCCGCATATCCGTGGGATGCTGCGTCGGTCGCAAGCCGCTGGGCAAGGCTTTCGCATGTGCCTGTGTTGGACCCGTAGAAGATGCTCATGGGCTTGGTTTCCCCGGAGAGAGCAGCCTTGGGTGCTGTCGTCCTGGAGTGCCCATTCGGTTGCTTGCTAGGGGTGGCGTCCCCAGCGAGCCGACGCTCCAACTCGGTCGCGGTTTGTCCGTCTCGAAGAACGGCCCGCATGTAAAAGTCCTTGGGCTTCGTCGTCAGGGTCTGTTTGTAGTGCAGCTCATAGCTCGGGTCATCTAAGACAAAGTTGAAGTTCTGGAGCAGCATGGCCATGACGAGGACGGCCTCCTGCCACGCGAATGGGCGGCCAATGCAAGCCCGCATGCCAGTGCCGAACGGCTTCCAGCAATCGGGGTACTCCTTGGTCAGGCGCTCGAAACTCTCGTCGAGCATGCGCTCGGGCACAAAGTCCTTGGCCGTCTCCCCGTAGACAGCGGGGTCCAGGTGTGACTCGGCCAGTAGAAGAGCGAACCTCTGGTCCTTTGCGACGAAGTATTTGCCTCCGATCACGGTGTCTTCCTTCGCCGCACGGGCAAAGATTGGGATCGTGGGACACAAGCGCAGTGACTCGCGGAGAACGGCGGCAATATAAGGGAGCTGCCAGGACGGTGCCCGTTAGTCTAGCTCCTGCTACAAACTCAGGGTCAACGGATGCAGCAGCCCTTACCTTCTTGATGTGCTCCGCCTGAATCGGCCCTTTGCCTATCACATTATCTACCTCTTCTTGTGCCTTACGGTAGGCGTCGCGGTGCTTGATTAGGAGATAGAATGTGAAGCTCAGCAGACCTGAAGTCGTCTCGTGGCCGGCGATGAGGAAGGTGATGAGGTTGTCGATGATGGACGAGTCACTAAGCTTCTGTCCCGTCTTCGGGTCCACACCGTCCAACATGGCCGAGAGCAGATCCTTTCGGCCGGTGTTGTGCTTTCTCCTTGTGTCGAGAACTCCCTGGGCTGTCTTGCGCAAAGTTTCGATGTCTTCCCAGTACTTCCGGCCCGCTTGTTGGTAAAATACCGAGGTCAAGGCTGGCCGCATGGCGCGGGCACCTGATTCGGAAAGGAAATCGCCCATGGCGCTGATGAACGGATGCAAGTCGTCGTGGTAGTACGAGTTGAAGCGGAAGTTCATGGTGCACAGGGCCAGCGTGTCGAGAGTGAGGCGCGTGAAATCGTCGGTCACCATGATGGGCGCATCGGGGCCATGTCGTGCCCACTTCAGGGCTAATTGCGCCGCGATTTCGTGCATTTCTGTGAACATGCCCTGGATCGAGCCTGGGCCAAAGGCGGGCATGAGGATTCGATGGGCAACTCCCCAGTTGGTCTCTTCTTCTCGGGCCGTGAAAAGGCCATCGTGGACACCGTTCCGGATCTCTTCGAGCGGGCCAGAAACAGGTTTCTTGAATCTCTTGTCGTCGCATAGTTCGTGCACGAGTGCTTGTGAGCTCTAAACGGTCAAGTCAGCGGTAGTCGTGGGTAAAGAAAAGGTGAAGGGGCCAGCGAGCTGCTCGTGCTTACAACAACCACCGACGGACCGGCGGGCAAGTTTAGGCGGTAGATTTCCCCTAACGGTTCAGTGAGCCCCTTTTCCCCTTTTACACCAGCAATAGCCATGAGAGCTTACCATATTCTCTGGCGAAGTCCTGGAAAGTCCGAAGAGGGAGCTCGGAGTCGAAGGCGAAAGCGTTGCCAACCAGCGGGAGTCCTGGGGGGGTAGGTATCGGCGTTGTGCCTGTCGCTGTGTTACTTGTGTCTGGCATGATGGGTGTAATGCGTTCGGTTTCTGTGCACCAAGGGCTGTTGTTGTGCTGAACGGGTGGGATATGCTATGGACCACCTTGAGGGACATGCCCTTTTATATCCAGTGTCTGCCCGCCAACCCATGTTTCACATCCCTTTTTTTGCCCATCGCCTTCGGGGATCCCTGCTCCCTGGCATTGTTGAGCCGCGCTTCTCGTCATCATCGCGCGTCCGAGTCTCCGCTGCGAAACAGCTTAATAGCTTTTCCATGCCCTGTCGACCCCTGGACCTGGACGACTAATTCTTAAAGTGCTGGGGCTGACCTGGGTGGCGCCGGGATTCGGAGCCCTACTTTCCATCAACTCCGATTCTGTGGACTGAGTGGAACCTCGGTACTGCAACGTCGGCTTTGCCGAAGACCCCATCGCACTTGTCGCGGCCTCAATGCCGTCCCGCTGCCGCGTGTCGGGGCATTCTGCGCCTCATCTTTTGACCCGATGACGTTTGAGGGGACGATTGAGTGGTTGTATGAAGTGGTGTATTGGACGTACATAGAAAAGGCGCTGCAATGTCGGTGCAATCCGGTGTCCGGCGGGCCCTTTCGTACGCCCCGTTGATCACTTAATATGGAGACGGGGTTGGAGATGCAGACTGCCCCGGTGTGCGCTCCTTGAGGTTCTATCTCAAGCCAAAAACCACGAGTTATTCATAAGCCCGTTCCCCGCTCGCCCCTTGGACGCAACACACCAACGCTAAGGCTATGCCTGTGTTTTATAAGCAGAACAAGTAGGGTAAAGTTAGACATGCGAGGTATTACGGTGTTAGGCACTGACATTGATGCGATTTGACCGTCACTCGGACTCACTCCATGTTATATTAGTTCAACCCTGCTTGTATCTTATCACATGGCCGGTTCATTGTTACGTATTCCGAAAGAGCACCCCCCCACGCCTCGTGCACACCAACTACGGCCGACGGGCTATCATCTCATCTGTCCGCCCTAATAGTAGTGAACGGCCCCATCCGCCGCATGGTACCCAATCATAATGAAGTCCTTGAGGATCGCAGAACCGTTCCGCAATAAGTCGGTTTGCAAGTCCGTGCAGGTCTGGAAAATGTCCCACAGATAGCATTCCGACTCGGGATGGGAAGGGACCGTGTTTGTGACGTCGAACACGTTGTCTGGGCCGCTAGTTGAGTAACCCTCAGACGCGGTGGACTTTTGTCCCGTTGCAACGTCTTTGTCGAACATGACTCTGTTGAAAATCTGATACGTGGTTTCGGGTTGGTACCAAGGGGCTATTACAACTGCAGTAAGCATTACTGGTACGGAAGTCAAACATGTTCAGAACGTTTTTCACGGAGATACCTTCGTGCCCAGCCTGAAGGACACGCGTGAACGACAGGTTTCCATGCTGTCGAACGTATCCCCCAACATATGTTTTGTTGGTGTGAAGTTTCGCGTAACCCGCTTCGTGGAACTTCGTGCTGAACTTCGACTGGATTGCCAAGCTTATCTGTTCCCCCCCGTACCCTGAACACGAGTTAGATGGGTTGAACAAACCGTGAAAGACTTGTTTGACTCACAGTTGCACTGATAATCGCGGTCGCCGTACACCAAGGCAACTTTGACCCCTTGGTCCAAGAGCCTGCCAAGGATCTCGAGGTTCTTTCCCAAGACGAAATCACCAGTCGACATAAATGCTAGTCACATACTGTCAGCCGGCGCTACGTTCGGTCAATATAACGTTCCTAGGTAGGGTTCCAACAAACCACTCCATACCGCCGTCGAGATCCCGGTCATATTGAGCGGGACTCCCAACTCGTCCTGGACTTTTTTGGAGTTCAGGAATCCACCTGCATATTTGGGTGGGAACGAATGCGGCATAGTGGCAGTGATGTCGTAGACGTTCCTCTGTGCCTGCAGTTAGTTGTCATGTTATGTGCCTTCGAAGGTCAAGACCGAAGAGACTTACACCGCGGCTCTCTACCCCTTCCCACATTGTAGCGAAGCAAAAGTAGTAAGCGTCACTACACGCCGTGTTGACCTCCTCTACATTGCCCACTCCGGCCGGGTCTTTGGTTTCGGCGAGGGATCGGCAAGCTTCGACCCGGTTGCGGCATGCAGGAAAGCTATCGATGGCATCGTTGTACTCTGCCTCGGTGATCACCTGGATGCCGTACGTGTTGTTGTATGCCATCTGCGGATACGAGGGCATCTGTGTAAGAATCTCGATGCAACCGTTGATGATGCCCACCGTACCGAGCTGGAGTGGAATAACTGTTTTGGAACTAGATCTAAGCGCGGTGCTCTTGCTCTGTTCGGCAAAGTAATTGGCGAATGTCGGGCCGTAATGGCCACCGTAGGACTGGGCCCAGATGCTGACCTTGTTGTCTTGTGGCTTGTATTTCGGAAACCCGTGAGCAAGGCAGAGTCAGCCGGGCGCTTTTCTGCGGGGAACAGAAACAACAAAGGGATTCATACTGTCTCATCCATATCTGCATAAAGTGCCATGCGGCGATTGCGGCAGTGGAAGTCGTGTTCGGTGTTGACATCGGGTCTTGCGATGGGAAGGTGCCGAAAAGGAAAGTTGAGTTCAGCTCGGGTGCCGGTGCGCCTGGAGGTAGAGGTGAGACTACGTATGGCAATACGGTTTCATCAATCGTTCCGTTCACCAGTCTATCATAGGAGTATCCTGCTTGGACAGGCTGGTCGATGTAGAGAAGGTTCACCTCGTTGTTGAGTGACCACGGGTTCAGGATCGTGTCTCGGGAGTTGTGGGCAACGAAACACGGCCCAGTTTCCCCGACAGCACTCGGAGTAGACGGAGCCCCGGGGCCTCCTTGGAGCCATAGCGACAATGGTGCATTATTTGCGTCGTTTCGAGCTTCGAAGAACCAGAAGAAAGTGTGGATATCGTAGAGCCGTCCTTCGCTGGTGTTCCTAGGGAGATTGACGTAACCACTGTAAGACTTGACCCCCGGGGTAGTTTCGCAAATCCGAGTCTTCGATTCGGTTCCATCAAGTCAGCTCGTGTTATAACCACCCCCGGAGGAGCTAAACATTGATGTGCGGTGGGAAGCTCACTCGTTTGTATGTTAACGTAATCCTGGGGTCGAGAAACGACGCAACACTTTGGTGCTGGGCAGGATCGGGACCCGGCGAAATGGTACAGTCTACCCCGACAGCCAAAAGGCTGAGCACGGCAAGGAGAGTAAATTTCCAAAGGGACAATGCCATTGTAACTCGGGGGCGGGCCGGGTGGCTCCGGCGTGGAGTGTAGCCGAAGAAAGGTGCAGCTCAGGCTCCGTGGCCTCTTCTACTCTACTCGGAGTTGCTGAAGCTGGTATGTCTTCAGTTGCAATTTCGACTTTCGAGTGCTTGGTTTTCATCCCCATCGTCCTGGGAATTTAGGGTTGGGAAGAGGATTCAGGGAGTGAGTTAAGTAACGGCCTCTATGATTCTACTTATTCAGTCTACCTATTCAGACACGTATCTAGAAGCCCAATCTCCCGATTACGTTCGGAGATGTGTTTGATTCGGTCTTGTGGAACAGCATTCCTTTCACCCCGTGGTCTCGGCGGTCCAGTCGAGCTGAAGCCCCTGAGGCTTGCGACCCCTGGCTGGCTCGGCGCGCTTGTTTCCCTCTTCCGGTCCGAGTTATGTTATTGGTCTGCGCCTCATTCCCACCGAGAGCTGAGCTGGCGCGTTTCGCACAAGTCACGTTATTAATTCCGAGCATCGCTCACGACACGTGGGAAGTCTCTTGAGTTCTCCCGTCCATCCACGGATAATCGCCTGATCAGGCTTAAGGAGCGAGAGTAACGCTGCAATGGAGCCCAACAAGGTTCAGCGCACCGTTAAATTCTTCAGCAAGGTTAAAACAGGATGCCTGACGTGCAAGTAGGTGCGGCCCGGCGTTGCCGATGATGGTCACTGTGACACTGTCACGGGGTCACGCTTGAGCTAATACTTCCTGTGCATTAGGAAACGCAAAGTGAAATGCGATGAAGTGAAACCGCACTGTCGCCGTTGCACCGGCTCAGGCCGCAAATGCGAAGGCTACCCCCAAGACCGACCAAGCCCCCCTCCGATGTCCGTGGGTGCCGGTCCCGAGTCCCACTCCGTGCTCTTCGCCTCCCCCGCCGAAAGGAGAAGTTTCTTCTACTTTCAGTCTCAGGCCTGCAAGCCCCTGGGTGGGCACTTCAACTCGTCGTTCTGGGGGCGGGAGGTGATGCAGGCAGCCATTCATTACCCGCCAGTCCGACACCTCGTCATCGCCATTGGCTCTGCATACGAAGCTTTCGAGTCAGGATCAACCGGCCAAGAGACACAGTTCATCTTGCAACAATGCAACCAATCTATCGGGCATCTTACCACCCTAGGACGGCCCACTGATGCCCCGTCAGTGGAGGTCACTTGCTGCATTCTCACAGCATCGCTACTATTCGTCTACCTGGCGAGCATCCGCGGCCACCACGCCGAAGCCTTTCAGCACGTCCGGTCTGCGGCAAAGGTGTTACAAGACTTCGAGCGATCGGCAGGTTTAACTCAAAAGCCTAATGGCACTACTCCCGTGTACCCTGTCCCGATTTCACGCCTTCGCTCACTCCTCGCCGCCATTTACGGGCAACTTCGTAGCATTGCGAACGACACCTATCTAGAAGCGGGTTCCCCCGACCTCTTAGTGACCGACTTGAAACCGGCAACTGTTTTCCCCTCGGTCCAAGAAGCCCATTCCTATGTCGAAAACTTGGTGAATAACACAATGGCCTTCCTTCAGGCTAGCGAGTTTCTCTCATCGTCTTCGACAGATAGACTCCAGGAAACAGTGGCCCGTCATCGAGGACTTTGTCAGGCACTGGAGAGCAGCCAGAATGCGTTGGACGTCCTAGAAAAGACCATTCCCAAGACCGAGGATTCACAGGATCGGGAAGGTATCGCCATCTTACGCGTTTACCACTTGAAGATTGCTATCTGGCTGCGGATCGACATTTTCCAACCCGGGGAGCGCGAGACGGCCTATGACGACTGGGAGGCTCATTACGAGGAGATGTTGCGACATTGCGAGTTCCTCGTCAAGAGACAGCAGGAATCAGGAAGCTCGTATTCGTGCTCGTCGGGCCTGGGATACATCGGGCCGCTGCATATGATTGCGGCCCGATGCCGCAACTCTAGGCTGAGGTGGCGGGCCACGGAACTGCTTTTATCCTGCTCACGTCGTGAAGGGTTGTGGGACGCGCAGGTGGCAGGACAAATCGCCGCGCAGACCATACGGTTAGAGGAGCAAGCCGCGGGCTCGCTTGTGACTGACGATATGAACGTGCCAGGAGATAAGCGGGTACGGGAGGTCAAGTTTGAGTTCCAGGGGCAAAAGGGGGCCGTTGTACGGTTTATCACGGTCGATGACTGGAAACAACAGCGAGCGGGAGTTGAAAAAGCGATAGAATTGTGATTCAGGCGAGTGTCAAGGGGGGGGGGGGGTGCCGGGCCCTATCAGGACCCGGATCAATATTTGCACAGGAGAGACTTGAGGGCGGGGACAAAGGTATTCTATGCTAATCAAAAAGTACCTAACTATTATATTTCAGTCTTCCGTCGTTAAACGGCCGGTTGCCACCACCCAAGTGAATGGTCGCTCTTTTCTCGCCTACCACGACTGGAAGTTCACTTCTAAACCATGCCCGGGTTCAATTCCAACTACCTACCTATTATCTTCATCTCCAACCATCGCATTGGCGGATACGACACGATCCCAAAGCCGCAGCCAAGCCAAAGCCCGACATCACTCATGCCCGCTCTCTCCGCCAACGGGCCAACGTACCATGCTTGGTACATACCGAGAATCGCACCCACCCACCCGAGGAGAAACGCGATCAAGGCCGAGATGCCGACAGGCAGGTACTGTTTGTTCTCCCACATTGCCCAGTCGAATTCATGGTTCCATCGAAAGAATACATGCTCCTCAATGACAATGACAATCATGATCTCAACCCAGTATCCCATGAGAGCGAGGAAGTTGCCAAAGATGACGAGCAAGTTATCTCGTCCTGCCAAAGCGAGAACAAGGGCGATGATAACAATGAAACATGTCCACACCCATCTCGGCACGACTTTGCCGTAGCGTCCCAGAACCTGCACTCCCAGCGCGGCCGAGTAAGCTCCCGGGATGCTGTTGGCGATGATGCCTAGTGCGATGATCACGCTGCAGAGCTTTCCGAAGCCGGCGAGGCCATCAAACGCCTCCACGATCAACGAGCCCGTGGAGATGGCAAATGCGTCAGCCCATGCTGTGTGAGAAGTGACCCCGGATGCAAGTCCGATTCCGAGGAGGTAGACGAGCGTGAAAGAGAAGAAAAGCCCGGCGAGAGTGAGCAAAAATATCTTGAGTTTAGAAGTCGTCTCTGGATAATACACGTAGAAGTCCGAAGCCGCGGCAGCCCATGAGTTGGGTACATAAAAGCACAGGGAAAGGAAGGAGAGTCGGTTCGCGGCGAGGGTGGCCGCGTCACCGGTGGATTCGAGCCCCGAGTCGAAGTGCGGCTCTGCACAGCCGATCAACGCGAACAGGGCTAGAATCGGGGGAATCCACGCGTATCTGAGGGCCTTGAGTCAGTAACGCTGCTTAGGGTTGTATCTAGGTAGTCTGTATGTTGTTTTCCGGGGGATACTAGTAGCGTGTGTCGAAGTTCAAGCTGGAAAGCTATTGGGGACCGACAGAAGACAGAGTCCAACTTTGAGTCACTCACCTTTCATATGTGTGGAAAATAAACATGCCGAAAACGGCAACAATCCAACAGACGAGCGAGACAACAACAATGCCAACCGCAATTGACATGGTCCCACCACTCACGGCCGATAGAATCTGCCCCGATATGATGAAGTTGAGCGTAATGTACCCCACCATGAGGACAATGTTCAGGAAGCACGGTAACTTGGACGGCCAGTAGCCCATGAAGAACCGCAGCACCACCATTGTCCGGTTCCCACTGCATGGTCCCCACATGGCCATGTACGCTGTGGACGCGCAGCCTAGAAAGCAGCCAAAGATGGCACACAAGACACTATCTCTGAATCCCAAGTTGAAGACGAGCGGGCCGAAGAGGCCGGTTGTCATATTGTTGGCGGAAATGTTGGCACCGAACCATAGAATGAAGACTTGCAGGTCAGCTACTGCCGATGCCGGCTTTCGTTCTTGTGGGAGAACACGCGTAATGCCGCGGGCTTCAAAGCCGGATAGCCCTTCAATCCGGTTGTTGATACGGCGGAGTGTATCAAGCAGACCGGACCGCCTGCTTGGTGATGATGGAATTGCAATCGATGTTGAGGTTGACGTGACCGCCGTCATTGGAACGGACTCGGCCGCGGTCTTTTCGCCCCTCTCGGGGTCAAAGGTGGGATTGACCATTGCTAAATTATCTTGGTTTGTCGGCATCCTGCCACTGGGGTTCAGCCGCACAAACTGACACCAACAGGCCTTTGGGGGTGATCAACTGCAAAATGTGTGGATAGCGAAAGCGTAAGATGATTACAAGAAGCGGAGATGGACGGGTCTGGACGTGATGTCTCGAGGTATATGTACATATTCTGCGTACTAGGCCCATATCAGGTGCGTGTCACATCTTGCAAAACCACCCCCGCAAATCCGCGCGGTGTCTGGTGAACTCTGGGTAGGTACATACCCTTGAGTTGTCACCTCCTGAACCTCCCTTTGCACCAAGGCCCGTGCAGGAGACCATATTATGCCGTGTAACGACCGTAAGCGGCGATCCGAAGTCGGGAGTTCAGACCAAGTGTCAGCACAGAGTCTGATTGGAACCGTGGGAACTGGGGTCGGCACTCGTCACGGAAGCCCCGCATCCATGGTTGCTTGTGGCTGCAGCGATGCCGGAAACGACAGACGACAGCATTATCACTCGAGCGAAACGGCCTACTTACCACTTGAGAGGGGTTCGGCACAAACCGTTCATGTTCCCTGACTCCGTTATCAGTCAAAGTCAAAGTTAACCAGAGCCCGCCGTGTCGAAACAGAAATCATGGATCGTTTGCAAGTCGCCCCAGAAGACTTCGTGGAGAACAAGTTCGACTTCATTATCGTTGGCGGCGGGACCGCCGGTCTGGCTGTTGCTGCCAGACTATCCGAACACCCACGCTTTAAGGTTGGAGTCCTAGAAGCTGGCCCGCTGGCGGTTGGTGATAGCGAAGTGAACTGCCCTGGATTCGCTGGCCGGGCACTCGGTACCCCGTTGGACTGGGGATTCGAGACGGCGCCACAGAAGTCCCTAGGTGGGAGAACAGTGCCATGGGCTCGAGGCAAAGTCATCGGGGGTTCCAGCGCGCTAAACTACATGACATGGAACCGCGCCGCACGGCAGGACTACGATGACTGGCGCGACCTCGGCAACCCGGGTTGGGGATGGGACGACCTCTTGTGAGCTATTTCGAACCGTTTCCCTCTCAATATGTGACTCATCTAGTTATGCTCCAACCCCAGGGAACGGGTGATCTTTGCAGTGGGCAATCCGCTGAATCCAGGCTAAAACAGTACAGGCCGTTCTTCAAGAAGAGTGAATCTTTCCACGAGCCGAGCAGCGCCATCCAGAAAGAAACCCCTGTGGCACTTCACGATGGAGTTATTGGACACAGCGGCCCTGTTCGGGTATCATATCCTCGCGAATTCACCGCAACCCACAAACTCTGGCACCGTACTCTGAACTCGATTGGCGTCGAGACCAATGACAACCACCTCGCAGGCAGCAACACCGGATGCTGGACGAGCGTTGTTTCTGTAGATCCTCGGAACGTCACAAGATCATACGCTGCAACAGCGTACTATGAACCGATTTCGTCCCGGTCCAATCTGTTTGTCTTGACGGGAGCCGAGGTCGACGAGATTCTGTTGACCAGGGACGAGAATGCCCCCAGCCCCTGGAAAGCCGAAGGCGTCCGGTTTTCCCACGGCGGAGCGAAGTTTTCTGCTTTTGCGCGCAGAGAAGTCATTCTGTCAGCCGGGTCGGTACAGTCTCCCCAGATTCTAGAGTTATCCGGCGTTGGTGGTAGCGCTGTGCTCTCCGCTGCTAGGATCACGGTGAAAGTGGACAATCCAAATGTCGGCGAGAACCTTCAAGACCATTTGAGTATGTCACCTACATTCACCCTCCCCCAATCGGCCTTTCTTGTGTTGCCTCATCCAACCCTGCACCATTTGCACCCTTTGAGACCTCGCTGGCTAACCGTGAGCACACAGCTACAACATCGGTCTTCGAAGTCGACCCAAACATGAGTAACCCGGACGACCTGCAAGTTGATTCTGTCCTTGCCGCAGCGCAGAAGGAATATCTTGAAGCAAGGACCGGGCCGCTCACCATTCTTCCTGTCTCGGTTTCATATGTGCCAGCGGCTAAGTTCATCCAACAGGACACTCTAAACATGCTGCTCTCGTCGGCGGCCACAAACGCTGTCCGTAGCCCGACCGCGGAACGCGACCGCATGCTTCATCGGCGTTTTGACAGCCGGTCTAGTATGTTGGGTCACGTCGAATTCATCTTTGATCTGGGCGACTGGGGCATTGGCAGACCTCCTGGTATTGCAAGCGGGAAGAAGTACGCGAGCTTGTTGCAGATTCTGCAATACCCTTTCTCAACGGGAAGCGTTCACATCAAACCGGCAACCAAGGACAACGAATTGGGGCCGCGCCTTACCATAGACCCGCAATACTTTGGGGGAACGAACGGTCATCTGGACCTCGAGATTGCTCTCCACGCCCATCGGTTTGCCGAGAAGATTACTTCGGCTCAGCCACTAGCGTCCATCATTCAGGCCCAAGTATGGCCATCGCCGGCAGAAACGACAACCGACCAGGATCTACGCTCATGGCTGAGGCACGTCGCGACAACAGATTGGCATCCCGTTGGGACGTGTGCCATGGGGGGAAGTGCAGGAGCAGCTGGCGGTGTTGTTGACGAAAGGCTTCGTGTCTATGGGGTTGAAGGGCTACGTGTCGTCGATGCCAGCGTGATGCCGTTACAAATCAGTGCGCATTTGCAAGCGACGGTATATGCGATTGCCGAGAAAGGGGCGGCAATGATTCTCGAAGACAATAGTGTATGAATTACCTTGGTATGAAACGTGACGCACGCCTATGCATATGCCGGTCTGGCCGCCCAACATCACGATTTGGACAAAGCCCACCGTCCATACTTCAGATGAGTTGAGACTTAAGCACCGCAACGACTGCAAATCAAGCGTCAAAGCCTCGGGCTCCCTGGTAGTGTTCTTGCTGGATATCTAGCCCATGTCGGCGCTGGGGACACTGGTCCTGGATCGTGAGACAGAGACATGCACTTCAACATCGGCTGCTTGCCCATGGTGTCACAGGGGTGATGTCTACGTAGAGACCTAGGGCACAGTACCCCTATCACGCCTCTGGAATAACTGAACATGCAACTTGTGAGGACGTTCCGTTAGGGCCGAAGGTGAAAGTTAGCTGGCATTGCCACTTGTATGTGCTGCTCCAAACGTGACGGAGGTGATGGGCATTGTTCAAGCCTCTTGAACTGGCTAAGGGTACCGAGTTAATAGTTAATTAAGCGATCGATATCTGATCAGTTACCAACGATGGGATATCGATACTACGAATACACGTGAGGAAAGTAAGGGGAGGTCGCCACTAGCACAAGTAGCAGAACGTTACATGCGTATCTCGGTTAAACCTGAGGAGACGAAGATCTTCGGCCTCGGCTCCCAAGAAGGTAGTCGGAGCCTAACTTAGGACATGTTTGGTTCCTCGGCATTGTCGCTATAGGAGCGCATGGACCAAGTATAAAAGGAGGGCGCATTTTCCACGTATCAAGCGTGACAAACATTTGTACCCCATGTTCCAAGTTTCGACTTCCCTGAATCAACGTGTATCTGTAAGATGCGCACAAATCAGCGTTGGCGACAATTGCCAAGCACGTCGTATCATCATGTCATTATCTCCCTTTCCCAGGCAGAGTTTTGACAATGATAGGCTGGGATGGAAGTTTATTCCCCGTGAAGCTCTGAAAAGTGTTGGTAGTGTAACGCCAGGTGAATTGTCCAGCAATAAGTCGCATTTTTATTCCATGTCCAGAGTTCGGGGACAGAGCCGACCTGGTGACTTATATTAAGGTGGTGTTTCCGCTCCCTTTTTGTTACTTCCCCCCGAACTTGGAACAACAAAGCCTCACACCATGCTCTCTTCCCACTCCTTTCCACTTTGGCTCCTCGCCGCTTCATCAGCCTTGGTGTATGCCTCGCCGGCTATTACTCGGCCTGATGCCGGCAACATCATCGAGCGAGCCGCGGCCGCAAGTTCTTCAGGATGCGGCAAAGAGCCATTCTCTTCTGGCACGAAGTCGGTCACGGTGAACGGCAAGGATAGACAATTCATCGTGCGGGTCCCGAACAACTACGATCAGACCAAGCCGTACAAGCTCATCTTTGCCTTCCACTGGGTCGGGGGCACTATGCAAGACGTTTCGAGTGGCGGTACCGACAAGGAGTTGTGGGCATATTACGGCATGCAGCGCAGCGCTGAGGAGACGGCCATCCTAGTGGCACCACAGGGTCTTAACAACGGTTGGGCCAACTCGGGAGGCGAGGACATTGCGTTTGTCGACGCCATGGCACAGTACATCGAGGACGCACTCTGCGTCGACCAACAGCAGCGCTTCAGCATCGGCTTCTCATACGGCGGTGCCATGACCTATGCCATCGCCTGCGCGCGCGCTAAGGACTTCAAGGGCGTTGCTGTCATCGCTGGCGGACAACTGTCTGGGTGCGATGGGGGCAACGATCCCGTCGCGTACCTTGGGATCCACGGAATCAGCGACGGCACTCTGAACATTGCCGGCGGCCGTGGCCTACGTGACCGCTTCGTGAAAAACAACGGTTGCGCAAACACAAACGCACCCGAGCCGGGGCAAGGCAGCGGCACACACACCAAGACAGAGTACACTGGTTGTCAGGAGGGATACCCTGTGACCTGGATTGCGCACGATGGCGGTCACTGGCCTGGGGCGGTGGACAATGGGCCTGAGAGCGGAGCGAACTCATGGGTTCCTGGGGAGGTTTGGTCTTTCTTTTCACAGGCCTAAGTCAAGCAACAGTCATGTAGGTAGTCAAGTTGCATGCGGGCGAGACCGGGACTGGGTTGGCCCGGGGGCGATTGATAGGTAGTCTGGAGTTGTCGGGAGATTCGAGTCACATAAAAAATGTAGTTGTGGTTAAAAGTGTAAAAGAAATACTTTGTAGTTATGTTCTCTGAACGCCGCCGAAAGGATACATACAACCTCACTCTGATATTTCCTTACTGAGACCACAGAGATAACCCGCCCTTCCATCACATATTCACGATAATAGGAGGTTTGAGGACCATAAGCTACAGATAACGAGGGTTAGGGCTGTGTAAAGGGAGCTTCCATCGAGATTGAGTGCTGACATGAAACCTCGAGTGCAGGGTTGCTTCCGGCCTTCGGGGAGATCTTGACTGCAACGTCCTGTTAGATTTGATGTGATAGTTAATGGTCCCTTCAAGGACTCCCTTCAAGGCGTATGTGTACCGAGGTAACCACAACACGGCCCGCCTTTTTACTTAATACATTTCAGGTGCCGAGGAGCGGTTACTTATTCTACTTTTAGAGTGGTGAACTGCCGGGAGATCTCTTCGGTACCAGTTCCGTTGTTCTGAGACGGGCTCGCTCGGTTCGACTCGAAGACCAGTGGCTGTGCATACGATCAGCAGCCCAAAATGTTTGCTGCCCTGAGACACATTGAGCAAAGAAGTGTGTAACGGAGGGAGACTTACCGGTAGGATCACGGCATCCAGCGGCAGTGTATTAGGTAAGGACGCACGCGGGCCTGTCATTGAAGGAGGCGTACCATGTCTATATTATCCCCCGCTCCTACCGTGATGCATTTAGAACGGAACTCCAATGGTCGAAGCCCCTCGTCGAGCCGCAGTGTTAACTGCAACCCCATGGAAAACAAGCCTCCATCCGATTGTATACCGGTGATATTACCCTGGAATCCTCCGATCCTTCAGCATCTGCAAGAATAGATTACGTATTTGCTCAGGTTCTGATGCCATGTTACACAGGTATTGGCACTGAGCATTTCTACTTAAGCTGGGTCCGAATTCAGGGAAGTGGAATGTGGTTTCTGGGGGAGATGTCATTCAGACTTCGCATCATCAGAATCCGGTCACACACGTCCACGATGACACCGTACCTCGCCATTCTTCTTGGTGCCACTCTCGTTTCACGGGCTTCTTGCCACCGTAAGTGTCACTGCTACATTTCCTTGGAAAAAGGATCACTCCTGACGTAACTGTTTCAAGAGGTCCATGGAATTCTCCTGGTCAACGGCACTGAGTCACCTGAATGGAAATATGTCCGGTATGTCCAGCCCACACATTGGGTCATTGACCCAACAATACCTACCCTTGCCCTAACAGAGCTCGACATCTAGGGACGTAGCCCCGCATTTCCCTTACGACCCGGTGGAGTGGGAGGGGAGCCAGTTTCCCAAAACGCCCCCCATCATGGACATCAACGGCGCAAACATCACTTGCGGCAGGAATGCATTTCACTCGGCCGCTAAAACCGAGACGGCCGACATCTTAGCTGGCTCCGAGGTCGGCTTCCGCGTCTCGACGGACGGCGACGGGGAATATGGCTACTTCTGGCATCCCGGCCCCGGCATGATTTACCTCTCACGTGCTCCCAACGACGACCTGGAGAACTATCGGGGTGACGGTGACTGGTTTAAGATTGCATATGGCGGTCCGGTTGCCGACAACGAGTGGCTAATTTGGAAACAAAATGACGTAGGCTGTTCACATATTTCGAGCATACATCGCAAGAGGAGTCAGGGCTAACCGGACGGCCACTAACCGTAGTTCAACTTCACCATCCCGGAGACGACGCCGCCGGGAAAGTACCTCATGCGCATCGAGCAGTTTATGCCCACCTATGATCGCAACTACACCCAGTGGTATGTTAACTGCGCGCATGTAAACATTATAGGTCCCGGCGGAGGGACACCGACAGGGTTTGCAAGGTTCCCTGGGACATATGTGGTTGATCAGCCCGGTACGTAACAATTCCTGTTTTATAACCTGATGAGGGGAGTCGCTAAGTGTTGGTACTGAACCTTTATTTATCGCTAGGCCTCCTGATCCCAAAGAACCAGTTCATTGCAAACGATGAGCCACCCGAAGGTTTCAAGCTGCTCGACTACCAACCCCCAGGGCCGGCCGTATGGTCAGGTTGAGGAAGGAGGGGAGTATTGGACAGGGCGAGGGTCTGAGAGAAAGGTTCACGAACGTTGGTCAAGCATATTGAGATTTCACTCTGTCCCCGCAGCCAATGCTCAGGTGTTTGGATTGTCAAGGATATCCCCCTGCTTAGTATCCGAGTGAGCCGGCATAGTGATCCCAAACGAGAACCAGACCAGCATCATGCAAGAATAGCGGGATATATCTGTTCCGCCACTCGCCATGCAAGTCTGCCGTAAACACAGCCTTACAAAATTCCCAATAGTCTGGGTACCACCCCGACTGGTGCCAGTCAACGATCGCAACCACCTTGCAAGGGGAATCAGCGGAAACCATAATGTTACTTGGGTGGAGATCCCCGTGGGTGAATACAACAGGTGCGTCATCGGGCAGTCGCTCCCGGCAGGGATCTGGGAGTTCCGAAGGCTTTTTGCCCGGCCAGTGTTGTTCAAAGCCTGTACGGATCAATATCGACATCCAGTCGTGGAACTCGGCCACCGAGTGGAAAGGTCCTCCTGGAGGGTCGTTTCTCGGTGTTTCGAAAATGATGTCGCTCAGTGGTTGGTAGTTAATGCGGCCTTTCACAGAGAATCGAGTAAGCATAGGATTCTTGGCTTCTCTGGAGTAACGTACCGACGAAGAACTCGCCCGGTCCGTGGCGCACGTTGCGTAGCTCTGATAGTATGGTCCGAAGCTGTTCGCAGATGCCCTCCCTCTCAGCCTCATTTAGGGAGTCCCAACGTTGTTCTAGAGTGGCACCTGGAACCAACTCCATGTAAATGAAAACTTGGCCACCGTCGTGCGTCCATCCATATATCTCTGGGACGGGGACCTGGGGCAACGCATGTCGCAACGCCCAAAGACATTGACCTTCATCCACGGTCACACAGGGTGGGCCCCCGAACTTGACAATCAGGCCAAGCTCCTCATACCGAACTGGTGGGATCCTGGATGCTTCATGACGCACGCCGGGATCTTGGATGTTGCTCCTAGCGCGAATATCCGCGGGGGTTGGGAGTTCAGCGCCCGGTCCGTTGCGCGAGAAGAAGGAAGACTCAAAGAAGATTGCCTGGTCGGTTGGGGGGAGCTCCTTGGTGGAGAAGGGAAAAGGAGGCGCCGTTGACATGGCGTGAACAGGGTGCTTTAACTGCGACGAATTTGGTGGGATCGCGGAGGCTGCAGGCGTGGCTACCGACCTACCTAAGGTAGGGTACCTATCTGACCGGCGCGTAGATTCTTCCGGCTCATCCGCCAATGGGGGTGAGTTGGGTGTGCCACGCCGCTTTCGTCGAGCGAGCGGGGTGAGCGAAGGTGCCGAATTCGCCCAATATAATGGGCCGATCCTTGGTACCTAACGAAGCTAAGGTCGGTACTCTCTTGCCACTCAAACACTTAGTTAGACTCCCTGTGTCTCCTGTCGCGAATTGTCCATCATCTTCCGTTAGAAGTTAGAGAGCAGAGATGTGGGCAATGTGTTCCATTATTCCGTTCAGCCTCTTGCGAGTAAGCAGGCGTGATGATGAAGCTATCTACCAGGTACACGTCCCGCATGTGGCCTTCCTGCTCCATCAACCCTTGCACCCAACTAGAACCGAACACAAAAGAATGAACACCCACCCGGATAATCCTTCACTATGTCACTGACACCCAGCCAGCATCGAGAGTGCCAGCCCCTCGTTGTCCCATACCAAAATCTACTTCCTGATGACCTCCCGCTCGATTTGGGCGATGCGGTTAGTCTGGAGGTACTTGGAAATCTCGTTCTTGATTTCCTGGGGCAAAGCCTTGGTTGCACTACAATAACACGCTCGTTAGCATCATGGATTCAAAGTATACCGCTGGCATGCACGTTTCCGTCTTGGACCGGGTACTAAACTCACCCGGTACTGACAGACGGCTGGGCAAGGAGCCATCGCTTGACCTCGGTTTGGTAGGTAGCAGGCCATGCAGCCAGCTCCGATTCGAGCCTCGCGATCTTGGTCTTGACCCGTTGCTGCTCAACCCCGGAACTGTCTAGAATCCACACCGTCAGCAAATGGACTCGGATGCAACAGTATGACTCCAGGTAGCTTACTCTTCTTCTGCATGTTGCTGAGTTCCGTCCTTGCTTTCTCAAGGTTGGACTTGGTCGTGGCCTGTCTCTGGACAATCGCTGCCATGGCCTGCTTGAGGACGGGGGCACTGGGGGGGTTGACCGGCTTGGGAGGCATATTGAAGAGGAAGGTGGACTGGTAAAGTGTGTGTGTTGGTGAGTGTGTGTGTTTGTTGGTAAGTGTTTGTGTTGGTGAGTGTGTGGAAGCTTGTGTGAATGTGTGTGTTTAATGACAAAAGCAGACAGGATAATGGCCATTCCAAGCGGATTTATATATCTACATGACTGTCAACCAGGCCGACCTTTCGACAGCCTCATGTTCTCAACATGACCTCTCAAGACCGGCCCTGAAACTCTGCCTGTTCGTGACAGGCACCGACTTACACCTCGCACTTGCACCTCGCGCCTAAACTCCACCTCGAATATGTGCCAGCCCATAGCGGGGAAACTACCTACGATCAGACTCGACTCAAACTTCAAGATTCACGCTCCCACGACACTCGTAACCTGCAACCCCTAGGCCACCCTCGACTGAGAAAAGTGGGCTGGATTCACGCGAGCCGGAGCCTAAAGCGGACCGGGTCCACCTTTGGGGCAGCAGGCAACCAATACGCAAAGGTGAAACAGCCAGGCACGATGGCAGACGGTCCAATGTGGGTGAGAAGGATGCACTCAAGATCCCACTCAGCATCGAAATCGGTGGGGTTTCGTCGAGAAACCATTGTTGGGGACAAGGTCGAGATCTCCTGGCCTTGTGAGCTTTTGGTGCCTTGGTTTTCAGACCAGGTGAACCATGTTCTCGGGACCGCCAAGAGGCTTAGTGGGTTCCCACGTAGGCCGAAGTAAGCCTGAAACATAGGCACAGAGGTTCCTGGCTTTCTTGAATTTCGAAGCCTGAGAGTTGGTCCACCACGAGACAATAGCGTTGGCCAAATTATCCGTCGCAGGCGTCGCTGGCGGAGGTCGAGACTGCGTGGCCAAAGCCTCCTTGCGGACAATTCGCTCTTGCAGGAAGTTAGCTGGGGTGAAAATGTGCAGTGTGGACGCTGGGGGAGACTTTGGCGATTCGCCCTGAACCGGCGAGATTTGATGATCCCTTTGCATGTTAGGTACCTACCTATCCTGGCGAGGTTTAATCAGGTGCTAGCTCCATACCTACACAACAACACGAATTACCTATCCATTCTCATCCGAGTACTCTAAGACGGGTGTCTACATTTCCTTCAAACACCTGATGCTGAGACATGGGGCCCGATGTTTTTCATATCATATCCCTCCACGCCCGGGCAAACAACTCGTCGAGGCCGCCTTTATCCAAAAGCCGACTTTGATGAAGACCAAATACGCTCCCACAACGACCCAAGTCAGAGAAATAGCGACCATTCCAGCAGCAAGCCGTGCATTAGCAAGTTGAGTTTGTACGATGTTTATTGGCAGCGACCGCGCCAAAAGCGGCGTTGTTGTCGTCGCTCCAATACCTTCCTCCGCCTGTGCCTGGGAGCTGTGGGTTTGTGACAACCCTGCCTGAATCCTCTCTCGTCGACTCTGATCAATGGTTTCCACCATCCGCCAGGCAACTTTATTGTTGATTCTTTCCCACGTTGCCTGCTCGGCATGGGCCCGGGCGTTTGTACTAAACTGCTTCCGTAGGCCGGCGTCCTTGGCGAGAGTCATGACTCTATCCACGAAGGCCGTCAAGTCCGCTGGCGGCGTGAGATAGCCCGTCTCTCCGTCCCGCACAATGTCACTGGGACCACCCTCGTCCCGCGCCACCACGGGCACTCCGCTTGCCATGGATTCGAGGACCACGAGCCCAAATGTCTCGGTAGTGGAGCAGTGCAAGAAGATGTCAGCGGATGCGTAGGCAGCGGCGAGCGCCTCCCCGACGCGGAACCCCGCAAAGATGACGGTGCCTCGGCCTGTCGATAGCGACCCGAAGGAGTCCTTGATCTCGGCCTCGACCGCCGCGTTGCGGTTGCCTCCGACGATATACAGTTTGAACTTCAGGCCGCGCGCATCCAGCGCCCTCGCGGCATCGGCCAGGAATCCGAACCCCTTTTCCCCGGCCAGACGGGATACGCAAATCAAGACGATCTCACCGGCTGGTGCGATCTCCTGTCTCAATATGTCGCTGCGCCGGGCCGGATGAAAGAGCTCCGTGTCTACCCCTCGCTGCAAAACCTCGAGCTTGTCGCTTTGCACCCGTTGCTCCTCGAGATATCGCCGCACGAAGCGGCTTGGGTAGAAGATTGTCTTGACGCTCGTGTGGTTGAAGAGGAAGCTCTGCACCGTGGCAAATGCGAGGACGGCCAAGTTGCTGAGCGGCCAGGGGAAGAGGATGGCGCAGTAGCCTGCGAGGTCGGTTTGAAAATTGCAGATGATGGGGATTTGCCTTTCTGGTGGTTGTTGTCTGAGTTGAAGCATCACCTGGAACCCGACCGACGCAGGTGAGGCCAGGTAGATCAGGTCAGGCGCGGAACCAAAGGATCTCCTATACAGGACAGAGAGTCTAGCTGGATAGACAATAGAGAGCTCTGGGTTATACGGCAGCGGATAGCCGTGGATCCTGATAATTTCGGGCTTTTGGGCTGAGCTTGGTGCTGCGACAAGTTCTTTTGGAACAAATGTTGATTCCGCCGTGTGAGGAGCAACCACAACAACGTTTGCGCCGTTGGCCCGGAGGTGGTTGACGAGCATCATGGTGGTCCTGGAAACGCCGTTCACCGGACCAAAGGATTCGGTGCATAGCAAGATGCGCTTGCCGCGGAGTGCATCCGGGAACGTTGAGAATGGAGCAGAATCCATGGTGTGTATACGGTACCGTCTGACTACCAGGTACCAACCTAGGTAAGGTAGGTAAGTTGCAGACCACCGTCGAGTTGCGAGTCAAAAAGCCAAGCTGGGTCAGTAGGTATGTGACTGGGCTACGTTGGAGACAGAAGAGGTTTCCAGCCTCGCGGAAAAGTCCATAGGTCCAAAGTGCAGGCTTGCAGGGGATAATGCGAGGGAAAACGGTGAACCACTAAGCATGTTGCATTGGCTCGGAATGGCATCTGAGGGATGACCTGGGCACCTAGGTGAGCCGGGTCCAATGGAAAGTCATGCTGCATCCACATGGGTCCCGGGAGATGGACCCTCTCCCGAGGCGAGGACTGGGGAAACGTGTGCTAACTGCTCGTCGAGACGCCCGGTTGAACCCTTGATCTGCGCACACTGCGATAAGCTTAGTCCCGAGGCAACCTAAAGCACCTTAAACCCGCGACTTGACGCGCGAATAAGCAAGCGCCTTTCTAGCAACGTGCACGTCCATGACCCTACAGTTGGATCTCCGAGTTCGACTCGCCACAACACATGATCCTCCCACCCCTGGCGAAATTGGTCGGGCACATTCAAAGCACAATGGCCATAGTCACTTTCTCACATGCTGGTGGTCCCCATGACTGGTCCAGCGCCACGGCTGCAAGGAGATGGCGATGCGGGCAGCTGGCGCCAATCCTCTCGGCCGATCTCGGGAGATGCGCATCTTTCGCAACCGACCAGGATAATCTTCTTATCACGGCGAAGGCGTATTAGTCCCCCATTATTCCCCTCTTGCCAAAACCGCCCCGCGGCTCCCATGTTGTACCAACTGTATTCGGCTTCACTTTCTCACCCCGAAGTCCGAGGAGTCCTCCTGCCGAGGACGAACTCCCTCTAGCCATGATACCCCAGACGCCCACGACGCCGCTCCCGTTCTCGGCTATCGACGCCGAGGACATTGCGGCTTTGGACGATTCCACAGCGCCCACTACACCGGACGGGAGCTCCTCGTTTAGCCCCAATCTCCGTCCCCAAGATGACGCGGGCTATCTCAACGTCAGTTCCCTTTCGACGGCCATCGCAGCGACCGCCCCTACCGTCCGCAATATTTGCTGCATCGGTGCCGGCTTTGTCGGTAAGTTCTTACCCGGCTTATTTCTGACGCCCCAGGTTTCCATCCGGCGGGTAATGATGAGCTGCTGACATTCGTTATAGGCGGGCCGACCGCGGCAGTCATCGCTCTGCACAACCCCCATATTCGCGTGACCGTCGTGGACAAGGATGAGAATCGGATCCGAAGGTGGAATTCGAAGCACCCCCCTATCTACGAGCCCGGCCTACATGACATCCTGCGCATCGTGCGAGACGGGTCGGGACCTTCTGCCACGAACGACGAGCTTACCAAGCCCGGTGGGTTGGATGGTGTCTTTCCCCGCGAAGCGGTTTCCTCTGGCAACTACGGTGAAGGCCGGCACGCGAGGGTACAGACAAAAAGCGACGTCGCCAGGCAGCCAAACCTGGTATTCACGACCGATTTGGCCAAATGCGTCAGCGAAGCCGATGTGATTCTCATCGCGGTCAACACCCCGACCAAGACACGCGGGAATGGAGCCGGGTCCGCGACTGACATGGCCGCGTTCGAGGCGGTGACAGCTCTGGTCGCCCGGCACGCGAGCCCCGGCGCCATTATCGTCGAGAAGTCGACAGTCCCATGTCGAACGGCGCAGCTCGTGCAGAGCATGGTAAGGCTACCCCTTTTCATTCCGTCCCGGTCACCGGGATGCCGAACCCGAAGACGCCCCGTTTCTAACGCGAAAGTTAGCTGGCGCTTTACCGACCGGGTGTCCAATTTCAAGTTCTCAGCAATCCAGAATTCCTCGCCGCCGGCACCGCCATCAACGATCTCCTACACGCCGATCGCATCCTGATCGGATCCAGCAACACCGCCGCTGGCCACAAAGCCGCGGCCGCCCTGGCGTCAGTGTACGCCAGCTGGATTCCTCCTGCGCGCATCATCACCACCAATCTGTTCAGTTCCGAATTAGCTAAACTAGTGGCAAACTCAATGCTCGCACAGCGCATCAGCAGCATCAACTCTATCGCGGCCGTATGTGACGCTACCGGGGCAGATGTCGACGAGGTCGCTCGTGCCGTTGGAGCGGATCCTCGCATCGGCGGCAAGTTCCTCAAGGCCGGCATTGGTTTCGGTGGAAGCTGTTTGAAGAAGGATGTCCTGAGCTTAGTCTACCTGGCTGAAACCTTGGTCCTCCCCGAAGTTGCCCGATACTGGCTGGCCGTGGTCGAAATGAACGAGTTTGCAAGAAGCCGGCTCGTCTCACGAGTGCTCAGGTGCCTGAACAACACGTTGGCGGGCAAAAAGGTGACGGTTCTTGGCTTCGCCTTCAAGAAAGACACGAACGATACGCGCGAGTCACCCGCGCTGGATATCATTCGGGCGCTGGAGAAGGAAGGCCCGGACACAATCGCGGTTTACGACCCGGTGTGCACGCCAACCCAGATGGCCGAGCAGATCGGCCGCTTCGCTGGATCGCACGTGCTGCGAGCCAATGGCGGCCCGGTGGTTGTCCACTCAGATGTGTATTCGGCGTGTCAGGGATCCGATGCCGTACTCATCACGACCGAGTTTGACGAGTTCAAAAACGGGCCAGTGGAGGCGGACGGTGTTGCTGGTGGGCTCGAGGCGAACCCAAGTCAAATCTCGACATCGGATGCCGACGACCACCTGAGCAGCCTTAACCCAGTCCCACCTTGCGATGAGGACTGCCCCGAGTGTCAAGCAGAAGACTCGAGCGCTGTCACAGGGACCGATGGCGGAGTCGGCAACGGTGCTGACGGCCGTGACAAGGCCCGGGTGGACTGGACAAGGATCTATTACGATATGAAGCAACCGCATTGGATCCTGGACGGGAGAGGGATTCTTGATATCGCACGGATGGAGAAGATCGGATTTCGTGTTGAGAGCATTGGTCGGCCAAGTGGCCAATTAGCCAAGTCATCACCACCAGGCAACTCTTGGTGTTAGTGAGCGCGATATTTTTCTACACTTCACATAGAGGCTTGGCGGTGTTTAGATTTTGGAAGAGGCGAAGCTTCTTGGTCTATTGTGTGGAACTGGACCATATCAGGGGTGTTCATCCACTTCTTCCGGCCATCAACAGTTCTTGCGGTGTTGGAATTTACTATGCAACCAGAGCACCTCGAAGCCCATCGTTCCTCAAGATGCTCGTCCCCCATATGTACACACATCCCACTTGCCAACAACGTGCCCCTGGCGTCTCTGCCCCCCTAATGCGAAACAGATAGAATCTTTCCGTGCGGGAAAGAGACTCAAGTTAAGCGTTCTAAGATTCCAATGTTAGCCTGTCCGAATCTCTCGTAGAGCAGCCGCCCAGCATCACCCCAAAGACGGAATTGTGTAGACTTACTAGTGGGTTTGCACGTAGATATCGGAAGAGCCGCTGCTCTGGTACCCCTCAGTGGCAACGATCTGGTAGTCGTGCTGTCCGAGGTTCAGACCAACGGAAGCCCAGGCGTTGAAGTGATTCTGCATGGTGACCGAGCCTCCAACACGCTTGGAGGTGCGGACAGACCAGTACTGCTGGAAGGTTCTGGTACCCTCGATGGAGGGCTGGTTGTAGCGGGTCGAGACGTAAATGTTGTAGGTGCCGCCGTCACTCTGGTGCTGCCCCTTGTACTGCGCTCCGCTGGAGGGGTTGTAGGTGCCGTAGGACTCGATGACGTAGTACTCGACGAGCGGGTTGCGAGTCCAGCCGTAGACGGCCAAGTACCCGTTGCCGCTGGGGTTGAAGGAACCGCCATAGTTGATGGTTCTGGAATAGGAGTCAGGCGTGAGTCACCATCAGAGTCGGGAAGAAGAGTCCTGGGAGATGGGTCTTACCGGCCATTGCCGGGATTCCAGCCCTTGCCGCCGACAAAGTTGCCGGTGTTTCTCCAGCTAACTTGGTACCGGCTACCAGCACCCATGGTGTAGGTAACCTGGCCGCCGCCATCGGACCACCAGGAATAGAAGTAACCGTTGTGGTTGCCCTGCGAGTTGGGCGTCACCTGACGCCGCTCTAGGACCTCGGTCGAGTTCCCATTGTCACGCTCGGCGAAGTCGAACGGCATACCAAGGACCGAAGTCACCGCCGTCGCGGCGAACAGGAGAGACTTGAACGACACCATGGTAGCGGAAAGCTGTGCTTGATGGGAGCAGTGGTGCAGGACTGAAACTGAGGTTGGGTTGAGTGAGAGGCAAAGATAGCAGGATCTCTTCGAGTAACTGTGGTGCCTTTTATATTCAACCACATCACCGTCTGAGGATGAGGTTTCGCAACGCCGCGGCTTGTAATCGTTTCCCGCGCCTATGGGAATGAAGCTATATTCTGGCTAAATCGAAAAATGGGTATGTGTACTTGGCATGTGTCTGTGGGCGAAGAAACAGCTTTCTTTGGCGTTGAATCGTGGTGCCCACATGATACCCTGCTGTCCGAGCATGAATCGCCCCCGCCCCCTATGCTCCCTCCTGTGGTATTTATAACAACGACCTTCCTTGGCAAGCGGCTGAAAGAGCCTAGAAGTGAGCAAGGGATCCGGATAAGTGCGCTTGTGGCCGGCGTTCCTGTGGCGGTCATAGCGAGGTCACTTGTGAAGGCAGGGATAAGGGGGAAGTCAAGACGGACAACCGGCACTTCTGTCCTTGGCAATGTTGGATGGAGGTTCAAGGTGTGTGTCTGAGAAACATTTCCAATTTTACTTCGAGAACGGCGCGAGGGATCTTAGATCACTCCGCGTTGGAGCAAACGCAGCCTCGAATGTCGATTGAGGTGTCGATCGGGAGGATGCAGGGCGATCCGGGACTGCTCTAACCGGGTTCTCGGCTCTCGCAAGGCCGGCTCTTGTTTCGTGGAAGATCCACTATGGAAGCTGATTCCCCGGATTTCCATAAAACGGCGGAGAATGACTCCCCGGATCTCGGGAGCTGGCATTTAGCCTAAGGAGGTTGTGGAGAAGAACCCGCCGGCATGGTGCCTTGGCCTCCTTGGCATGTGCTTGGGTGCTTGGTTGTTGGGACAGAGCCTCGAAGGCGGGATCGCCGAGTTCCCAAGGAAGCAGGCTTTTCCCTCCGTGATGACCCTGAGGAGGGACTCCCGAGGATTCCCTCGCCCACCTCACCTGCAGGGCAACCGTCCACTCACACGGTTGCAGGGCTCGGCCGAACATTCCACGCGCGTTTATTCGTCCACCCCAGACTCTCCTCTCGCGAGTCCCACAAAACGCGCTCAACAAAGCTGGAACAACCGCGTGCCCCTGAGCTTCTCTCGTGTAAATCCCTGACCTCATTTCCGATCGACCCACGTTCCCAATCAGCGGAAGGGGGAGCAACAAGTCGCACGTCGCGCGCAACATGCCCGCTCCACTAAAAGACCGGGTCACGGAGTGGGTGGTGGACCAGCAGCTCCATAGTCCCCTCTACACTCGCCTGCCTCTTGAGACTCGGCTCCTCATCTTCGAGCTGTCGTTGGCACCGTTCTGCCAGGATCCGGTGGTTCACGACTTCAGGGTCCGGTATAACCACGCCGATCGACAAACAGATGGCGCGTTGAGCGAGACGGACGAGTCCGCCCAGTTTACTGATGGAGGTAGCGGGGAGGATACCGAGGATGACGACGAATTCGAGATCGAGAATGAAGGTGGAGATGAGAGTAATGCCGACGAGGAAGAGGATGCCCTCCCATTTCTCGCTTGGGATTTGGACGACGAGGATAGCGACGACGAGCTCTTTGAGGAAGACAACACAACACCATATTCGGATTACAGCCCTCCTGCGCGGTACTGGCTCCGTCCGGACTATGTTGGCATTGAGAAGTCTAGCACCACACTCCTTCTGACCTGTCGCCGCGTATACATTGAGGCGCGAAGCTGCCTCTTTACTCCTCCCTTTGATCTCGGGGTGTCCAGTGGGGCGAAGTCGAGGTTCTACGACCCTTGGAGATCGGCGAGAACTTTATATAGCCGCCTCACCACCGAGCAGAGGAACAGCATTGTTTCCGCCCGCATGTTCACAGGCGGCCGAACTTCAACCATAGAATGCCTTTGTCGGTCACAAAACCTCAGGCGTATCGAGTACCTCCGACTCACCGCCAACAAACCCACGGATGGGACCTTCGCCCTTTCTGACCTCTTTGCCTTTGGGGGGCGTGTGGACAACAAATACCGAACTCTCGATTTCGGCTATGGACCTCCCCCGGAGGAGTCGCCCGACGCGGAATGGGAGCCTCCTGTCGTGTGGGGCGATGAGAGCTGGGCCGACGTCTTCCTGCACATGCCCCGTATCAAATGTCTCGTGATCGACTTTGACGCCTATGAGGAAACGTGGGATAGGGACAAGGAGCGTGTGGAGTGGGCGGTGCGCGTGTGGCGCTTCCCCCTGTGGTCTCCCCGTTCCGACGGCTGCACGTACTTATCGGCCCAGGGGCACCCCGTGCGGAAGATGAGCTGGCGCGGGTGCGCCGACCATTTCCCACCCGTCTGCTCGCGCTGTTCCGGGACTTTGGACCCAAATTTCATGACTCCCCGGTGCATGTGCGAGTACGCCGACGAACATCTAAAGCTCCTCGAGCGCGGCCTAGGACCCCGGATCTATACGTGGACCGTAAAGTGGACGCCGCGCGTGGGGAGGCCATGGGTCGAGCCGCCGGGGTTTTGGGGGAGGGTCCGCGAGCCGGCGGACGGACGGTGGAAGTGGGAGGAGGGGGAGGACGTAGGTACCGTAGCGGGAAAATGCAGCCTGCAACAACCGTAGATGGAGCCAACAACCGTTGTTTTTTCAACAACCGTTGCTCCTACAACAACCGTTGCTACATCGCCCCGCAAGTTTTACCGTTCTGATTGGCCAAATTCGCATCCAACTCGGGCGCTGAACGGTCCGACTTTGGTGGTGGCGTTTGGTTTGTTGGGAGTATGGTGATCTTGTGCGGCAATACGGTCTACCTTGCTTCTTCGAGGAGTACAACATATCGTGGCAACACCGGGCCACGCCAATTGGGAATTACGCTGTCAACAGGCTGCTGGTTAGGCACGTGGCACTGGATTACAGTCTCTATTTACCCCTGAATAATCCGGTCGTTGTGTAGAACATCACGACCTGGGCCGATGCCTTTCCTAAACGGCAGCTGGAAAGCCAATAAGACGAATAGTATGGTTTAAGACGGACGGTATTACCTGGAACCGACGCCAGATCTTGGGATCGATAGTATATCTGGAGACAAGCCAAGGTTGACTTGCACAGTCATTGCGCTGTATCAAACCCCAACTCGGTTGCGATCACGGAAGTTCAACCTTGCCTCGCCAGTCACGATGATTTTATTCGACTCGAGACGCAGGAAATGGTTTGATCATGCCGGGACCAGTAAAAGACCCCTTTACCGTGCATATCAAGTTGCGGCGGCAGGCGCCCCCTTGACTGCCAAGGGGAGCATCCTCTCCGCCGTTCGAGCGGGCAACGCCTTCCTAACTCGTTAGTGAAAAGTTTTCCCAACTGATCTCCAGCACCGGACTTCAACTTTGAGTTCCATAAACCATCAAGCCAAGATGGACAACCCCCCCGGCCAAGCAGCCACCCCCATGGCGAATCCCGCCCAACAACCCCCCGGCCAAGCAGCCGCCGCCATGGCGGATCTCGCCCAACAAGCAACCACCTTGGCTACGGCCATGCGATTTGTCCACGGCATCGTCCAGCAGATGGAGGCCGATGGGGAAACCCCCGAGTTGGGTTTTGCCAACAGACTGGAGAAAAAGTTCAGTCTCCTCCATGACGAGTGGGCCCAACTCATTGCCAACGTGCAGTCCATCCGCACCCTAGAGGCTGAACTCCAGGCGTTTCGCGAAGAGTTAGCTACGGAAAAGGAGGCATCGCTCAAGCGGCGGGCTGCGGTGGACGCCCAAGTCCTCGCGCTGGATTCCCGACAAGACGGCATCAATGCCAAGGAGACGGACCTTGACGCCCGACGTGCCAGCGCCGTGGCCAAGGATGCCGATCTCGACCGGTTGAGCGTCAGCCTCGATGGCAGGGCAGCGGCCCTCGAAACACTTGATGCTCTAATCCAAGAGCGGATGATTGCCCTCCAGGGCCAAGAAACTGCCACAAGCGCAAAAGCTCTTGCCATGGACGTCCGTGATAACGCGGCCAGGGACAGGGAAGCGAGCCTGGCATCCCAGGAAGCGGAGATCCACACGAGAGTCGTCGGCCTTCACACCCGGGAGGCCCTCGTAGCGAGCACACTGGCTGACTTGGAAAACAGGAAAGCCGCATTCGACAAGGCGACGTCCGACCTCAATTCCCGAGAAAACCACCTCACGAGCAGACTGGCCGATCTCGAGGCCCTAGAAACACGGCTGGCCGACAAGGCCGCGGACCTCGTGTCCCGTGAGGCCCAGCTAGTGGAAAAGATCGCGGGCCTCGAGTCTCGGACGACCCAGTTGATGGACAAAACCACGGATATCGAGTCCCGGGAGGCCCAAGTGATAGATAGGGCGGCCGCCCTCGACATCCGAGAAACCTAGCTCATAGGCAAGGTGGCCGGCATCGGGGCCCGAGTAGCACAGCTCAGAGACAAGACAACGGATATCGAGTCCCGGGAGACCCGGGTGGCGAACAAAGCCGCGGACATCGGGGCCCGGGAGACCCAACTAGCAAGTAGGGAGGCCGATCTCGGCAGCAGAGAAGCCACGTTGGTTGGCAAAGCATCTGCCCTCGATGCGGCTACTGGTGCTCTGAAGAGGGACCGCAGTGCCCTTGAGGACCAGGGTGTTGGCATCTGGACCGCACGCAGTACCGCCGCACAACCCAAGATATCATCACCATCACTCTTGTGTCAGATGCAAAAGGGTTCAGTTCCAAGGCTTGTAGAATAGTCATCACATGTTTACAAACAGGTTGGAAGAAGCGCTCCATTATTATTCGGGTCGCGTTGCTTAGGGAGTACACTAATATGGAAGCGAATATAGTTCCCAAACCCGCGCTGCTTGGTCTCCGGACATGCCCATGTGTTCGTTGCCGGGGCCACAGGAGCCATCCCAGCGCAGATCCGAGTCATCTTCCAGGGGGGTGGTATCGGCCTCTTCCTCGCTCTCCTCGCTGAGGCTGGCGGCGTCATCGTCGTCACCGAACTCCATGCCTTGATCGTCGACCTGGGCTAGACTGATTGGGACGTCGTCGACGCCGCGGCTGATTGTCGGCGCGGTATTCGTGTTGAAAAGATCCCGTTCATCACTAGGGCTATCGTCCAAAAGTCTCAACTCCAGTTGGCTTCCTTCCGGGTTCTCAGGGGTTGAAGAGCCTCCGGTGCGGGCGCGGTTCTGCGCGTTGTCCGGAGAGATGGACCCGGGCTGGGACGGCCGTGGCCTCTTGTGGCCTCGGGCAGAATACTGCGTCTCTGGGGTCGGTTTCTCGCGTGAGTGGGTGACAGCTTCACCGTTTCCCTGGGTGTCGGGGATCTGGGGATTCCCGGAGGCCAGCGTATTAGCTTCCCCGTCTGACTGGGTTGCAGGGCTCTCAAGCTCCTCGTGGGTCTCTGTGTCATCAGCCACGGGGTGGTCGTTGGTCACCCGTGCAGCTAGAGCCAGCTTCGCATCGTAGGCAACCCTCTCCCGCTCACAGAGGAGGCTGTATTCGCGCAGGGCCACGATATGACCCGCCTGTGGATAGTCCTTGACGGACCGGCGGCCGCTGATGCCACGGACAAGAACCTCAAGGGGCAAAAGCTGAGGGAAACCCATGTGGGTCATGGAGTCGAGGGCCTTTATGAGCAGCTCGAGGTGGCGACGATGGACCAGGAAGGGCTCAGAGGCCCCGCGGGTTTCCCGTGGCGAAGGTGTTTGACCGGAACGCTCGGCGCTTGCCAACGCAGCGAGCTTTTCGATGACATGGAACAGGGTGTCCCAGCGTGAAAGGCAGATGCCAGTTTCGCGGCCGTATTTATCCCGTTTACCGACGACCATCTTCTCGTGGAGCTCACGGCGCAGCTCGGCGGTGTTCTTCTCGGGTTGCTCGCGCTTCCGCTTGAGTAATCCGGCCAGGAACTCGTCGCACCCCGGCACATCCATGACCCACGGGCCGTTATCGTTGGTTTCGACAATGACGGTGTACTGGATTGCGGCGGCCAGGGGTGCGACGGCGCCGTCCCACATGGGATGCACCAGGAGGGCCGCGAGTGATTTGCAGAACGGCCCGCTCCAGAGGAGGCTCTGGCCTCTGGCGAGAGCGCGGTTCTGGTCGAGGTCGTACTTGAGGTCGAATCGGCAGCCGATGATGTCCTCCGGAAGGCAGCGCATCAGCCGCAAGCAGCATTTGTGAAGCGTCAGCAAATCTTTGTTCTTGGCCACATCGAGCAGCTCCTTCCTTTGCGCGCTCTTGCGCCAGGCGCGGTCCACATTGGCGCGGTCCTTAGCCGTCCATGCGGACCCGATGGGGAGTCTCGGGAGCATCCGTTGGACTTGGGAGAGCCCCGTAATTCTCGGGAGGTTCTCCGTCATCCAACGTTGTGCTTCGACAGTTATCTGCGGTAAGCCGCGCAGGAAGCGGTCCACGCTCGCGCCCAATTCATTGGGGACGCCCTGAACGCGGCGCCGCTTTTGCCTGCGAGGGGGTGGTCGATGGTCGCGCTCGCTCTCATCGTCGTCATCCTCGTCTTCGTCATCTTCATCGAGTTCGTCGTCGCTGACGAACTCGGTGTCGGCTTCAGGTTTGACTTCGGGCGAGACAACCCGAAATTCCGCGCGAGCGGCAGCCGACATTTCCGTCAGCCGGACTACTATTCTAGTCGGCCCAACTGCTTCTTCGTCTTCGGCGGGCGCCTCTTGGGCCGCTGCCTCTTGGGCCTCTTGTTCTTGTGCCGCTGGCATCTTGGCCGCTGGCAGCTCCGTTGGACCGTTGGTCTGACTGCGCTCGTCGTCGGATTCAGGGATCTCTTGGTGGGGTCCTCGGGGTTCCCGACGACGGCGTGAGATGAACGGATTCTAGATTATCGGTTGCACAAATGGTGGTCGCAACCGGGGTTTGGGTGTGGGTGAGAATTTCTGAGATGGGGCGGGGTTTCGGTTTTCAAAGTCGCTTGTCTGGGTCCAAGACTCCAAGCACAGTGTCTGAAAGTTTTATCCGAGTCAATCCAAACCCCTCCTAATGTGGGAGAGGCAAAGTATGAAATTCTCTTGGTATCAATTAACTGCTGATTTTCCACTGGAAATTGCTCGCCAGAGGAAAGCTTGCAATTTCAAGCAATCTGGGATGCCTCCCTGAACCACCAATTCGACACTAGATTGCCGTTTCCTCTCGACGAATCAACCCGTGAGTTGGTGCCTTTGAATTACTAGATTGAGTAGAAAAAGCAAGATGCATGCATCATCCCAGAGAGCCCTCTCGCAGCTCTCCATTGGCAACGAACAGTAGGTAAATAACTACACAGAGGACGATGAAGTTGATCCGACTATCACCCACCAACTCAATGGTACGTTCCAGCGTGTAACATTCGGTTGACGATGGTTTATTGATCCCGATGGTCCCTCTTGTTGGACAACCTCGGATTAATGACATCTCGAACGGTCATCGCACCCTTTCCTTCTCGGGTCGTATGTACTCTTCTTAGTCTGAAAGATCGACGTTCGTTGTATAAGGTAGCCTCGTCTGTTGAAGACCTAGTGTCCTTGCCATAGCCCCTATCACTTCCAACTTTGTTCACCTTACCCGGGGCGATGCCAGCACATCTTCACATTTTAGCAGTCAACAGCTCACACCGAGTGTGGTTATCATTGGACAGACAAACTTTGTCCAAGAAACCGGAATTTACCTAATAGAGTTAAACATCCACTAAACACCCAGTCACTCAAGCACGCAGGAAACGGTTCGTCAAAAGGGTAGAGCTCAACGCATTTAATTTACTAGCCAGTATCGTAGCAGCCAGTTGGCCGTGGAACGGGAATCCAGGGGGATGACCATGTCATCCTCGCCGTGCGGTCCGCGAATGCTGACTCACCGAGACGCCATATTCCCACACACCCCGGGTCTTGTTTACTGCTCGGATGAGCCCCAGGCGTTTGTCAACAACGAATCCGACGGGTGAGTCCGGCTGTGAGAACAGGGAAAACTGCCCGTAGTCCAGGCGGCTCGGCTAGGAGTGAACTATCGGCCCACTACGAGATCCATCACGAGCGTCGCAGCGAATGCCGGTAGCCGAGCTGCGAGTTCCTGTATAGAAAGAACGGGCAGCGCCGGCCACTGCCGCAAAACGGCAAGCAACTGACAGATGGCAAGGCCGCACATGAGTGCGACGGGTGTCGCGTCGAGTCTTTCCCGCGCTTGGAGGGCTTGATCCGAGAGGAGTTGTGTAGTGGCGACATGGACGCCGTCGGTGTGCGCCAGAGCGGTTGTGAACCGTGTGAGGCCAAACAACATGCAGCCGGACCACGACTTGTTGCAAAGCGCGGCGTACAAGTCGCATACTTGCACATAGGGTTCTACGGGAGCTTCGTCAATGTCCCAACGTTCCAGAGTCCACAAGGACGGGGCAGCGCTATTGGCATGGCAGAATCCAGGGATTTGGGCCGCGAGGGCAAACCGAGTCTAAAGAGGGTTGGACACAGAGTTGGCGGAGGAATACTCAACCAAGGAGTCAAGCACGTCTTGGCGGTTTTGTTCCAGCAGTCTCACGCGTCCCTTTTCAGCGATGATGTCCGCGTTCGCTTGGGCCAAAGACCCTTGGACGGCAACGAGGTCTGTTGCCGCTTGCGTACAACGTGCCTTCTCGGCGACGATGTTTGCATTCTCCTGAGCCAACGACCCTTGAATGACGGCGAGCTCCGCTTGGGCTTGCGTGGTGCGTGCCTTCTCAGCGACCATGGCCGTGTTCGATTGGGTCAATGACCCTCAGACGGCAGCGAGGTCCGTAGCTGCCTGAATCGTCCGCTCCTTCTCGGCCGCGAGGTTCGCGTTCGTCTAGGGAAGAGAACCCTCGAGCCCGGCTACGGCGCCTTCCAGCTTATGCACCTTCTCCTGAGCCTCGCGTTCGAGCTGTAACTGTAACTTGTTAGCCAACGTTTGCGCTTCCTGCAGTTTCCCGTTGCCCTTTTGAACGAGTTCGCTCAACCGGACGTTAAACTCAGCGGCTGCCGTTGCAATCTTTGGCCCCACAGCTGATCTTCAACTCGGCGACCTCCGCCGCCGTCTCGTTCAAACGAGTGGAAAGCTGGGTCGCCTCAGCCGCCGCGGCCCGGGACAGTTTATCGGCAGTGGCCAGACGAGTTCCGAGGACGTCATGATCCAAGGTCAGCTTCTTTTTGTCGTCTTCCAAGGTCGAACATCGAACCCGGAGCTCGGAAACAGTTTCGGTGCTTTCAATGCGAGTACGGCGAAGCTGATCCATTGCAGCATCGGCCCTGGAAACCTCCACCTGGACGCTCTCTGCATTCCTATCGGCAGCGGCCTTCAAGGAGTTGAATTCCAGCTCAACCTCAGTTAGTCGAGTCTGGAGCGCTTCCTTGTCCTTCGTGGCTTGACGAAGCTGCAACCCGCGCTGGCAAAGGATGGCCATTTGCTTTTGGAAGGATTTGTCGAGCGACGATATCCTCTGCCCCCTTGAGAGGAGGACCTTGTTGAGGCCCGCGGATTCAACCCGGAGCTGTGCAACCAGTTGAGAGTGCTGGAACAACTTCTTGTCGGTTTCCTCGACACCATCACGAAGCCGGTCAACCTCGGCCTCAGCCGCGGTCTTGGCATGTTCGGCCTCGACCAGCTCAGCTGCGGCCTCGCGACGGTGGTCCAACATTTCGGTCTTGGCGAGATCAGCCTCATCTGTGATCTTCTTTATCAAGCGTTCCCGCTCCTTGTCCTCCATCTCCCGAGGATCATCGCCAATGGAATGAAGCGGCAGGATAGAGGCCAGTCGGCTGGTCATCACAGCGGTATCGATACCGGCCTTGTCCCGTCCCTATCGGAGCCGGTTGGTATCCCGGACGAGGCCCTCGTTCGCAGCGATAAGACTGTTGTTCTCCTGGGAGAGTTCACAACGTTTCTGTATCTCCTCGCCGAGAACGCTGTCGAGGGCCTCCCTCTCTTGGGCCCAGAGCTCGTTGCCCTTGCTGGCTCGTTCCAATCGGTCCAGGGTCGCTTTCCCACTCTCCCTCTACTGTTCTGTCTCGGCTTCTTGCTTGATCAAGGCCGCCCCCCGCTCTTGGGCCAGGACCGCACTGGATGTGGCCTCATTCCTCGGTGCTGCAAAATCCTTCTGGAGAGCATCGATCGTCTCATCCTTTTCTTCGACGGCTCGCTGGTTGTCGATGCGGAGGGTTTCGGACTGGTGAGCCAGCTGGGCGGCAGCATGGCCGGTAACGTCGGGTACCTTTTGGCTATGCGAGACTGCCATGTCAAATGTAAGCCTGGGTTCCAAGATAAGCAGAGCTGAGGCTCAGAAGCTGCCGGCCAACGTCGTCGTCGAACTTGCCGGCCATATGATATATCCGGGAGCGCCTGGGGATCCGCCAAGTGGGCCGCCAATTCGGGGCTGTTGAGGATACTCGAGATTTCAGAGGCTAGCTCCTCGTTGGGCTGAATAGCAGGCTCAAGACCAGCCGCGATTTTCTTGCACTTTGCAACAGTTGGTCGGACGGCTGCGAGACTGGAAGCCACTCTGCACGCAACCGTCTCCTCAGCCCCCCCCCAATCGACTCAAGCTTGTCGCCGAACGCATCGACTTTGCGCTTACGACCGCTTATAAGCTTGTGCGGATTGGCTCTGGGCCCCCCGTGGAGGAAACCCTGTGCGAATACAGGCGGCATGGTGTCGTCGTGTTGAACACTGTGAAATGTGTGCGAAGCAGCCAAGCCACGCCGCCGTCCTCTCGGCCTCGTACGTACCTTGTCCACCCCCCGTTGATGCTTGGAAAATTACCCCACCTTCCCAATTCGACGACAATGATAACCAACCGCCAATCGTTGCGAGGCTTGGATCGGTTCACAATCTGCTTCAACGTCGCCAAATTTCCCACGGAGAATGCAAAGAAGAAGTGAATGGGCGAGGAGGGACAGCTTTCCCAATGATGCGGAACTGTCACCGTCAATTATATGAGTTATGGCTATGCCTGGAAGAAATGACAATTCATCGGGTACAGACAGTCACATTTCAGCCACGAATCACGAGATCCAGCCACGAATAGACAGTCAGTCGGGAGCACGTGAAGTTTTGGAGAGGAAAAGTCAAATTAGTCTATCCCCTCGTCGCCCGTCGCTCTGGGATTCCTAGTCCGACCTGTTGTGTTGGTACCATCCAGCAGGCTTTTTGGAGGAACCAAAAATGTTGCGAGGACGCGGTGGCACTGCCGCCCACTGCAAAGCGCTGCCTCCCGTTGGGGAAGAGCCCTGTGAAGTGACCGACTCCGGTGAGTTGTTAAGCGAGTCCAAATCCGCCCCGCCATAACCCGAACGTTGAGAAGACTTGCCAAAGTCCACCTTGCCGGATGTCGCAGTGCCAAAGTCCACGGGGCCATCATACCCGGCGGTAAAGTCCACGGGGCCATCATACGTGGCGGTAAAGTCCACGGGGCCAGCATTCGCGGTGCCAAAGTCCACGGGACCAAAGGTCGATTTCTGGCCGAGCGTTGGGGCGAGCGAATCGATCCAACGCTTCATCTCGCCATGGGCCCATAGTTTCATCTTCGCATCTCGGTGGTATTCAGCATACCCGGATGCCCTTGGGCCGGTGCGGTCGGAGGCAGCGACGGGAATAAGATCCTCCCATGGGAAGTCTCGCGCTGCGATGGTTGATTAGCTTGGGAGCGTGGCGGATGTGACTCGTGAGCGGACTTACAGTGGACGAGGTAGATGTGTTGCCAGACTAACAACTGGAAGAGCTCGTGGCTCACATGGTCGGGGTCGACAGGGTGGGAATAAAACAACTCGCAGGCGGTGCCAGTGGCAGCAGTAATCGCCTCGTGGACCTGGTCTGCATTCAAACCCATGCCGCCGTGGGCGGTTGGGGATGTGAGCGAACTCATCGCCTGAGCGCGACGCGCTTCGTGGGCCGATGACCCGGTTGTGTATGTGTCCCTAAGGACGAGTTTGTGAAGTTGGTAACCCTCCATTGTTCTTGAATTTTGATGCCGGATTCAAGAAGTTGGCATGGAAGCTAGCGATGCAGAGGTCGATGTTTGGAGGAAGATTGGAAAAAGCGCAGGCGACGATTTTGGAATTTAACAAGTCGCTTGCACGCACTGGAGCTCGCGTCAAAGGCACTGTCAAAACACTGTGTTCCGACCTCCTCCTGGGCGCCACATGCCTTGTGCCATCGGAAGATGGGCTTTGCATGGTAATTCAACTTGGATCAGCCTTGGAACGTCAGAATCATGGGTCAGATCACCCAACTCGAGCAGTACTCTTTTACATTGTCACCCAGGCACTTCACGGTCAAGCAATTCAAATTTACAAACAGGGCGGCAGGCAATTGTTTCAATTGTCTATCGAGAGAGCTGGTCGTCTAACGGCTCCTAGGCATGGCCATGAAGAAAGCAACCGTTTGGGCCGTTTCCTCTATTTCCCACAGCATGTTGTAATAGACCAGGTCCGCATTGTTGGGATCCCGATCCGGGACCTTTTGGACATAAAAGTCCCGGGCTTGTTTGTCGATCGCCTTCTTGGCGGCGAGGTCCCTGACCGCAGGCTTTCCACCAGCAGACCCGACGGCCTGCTTGATCTCGCTCTGCTTGTAATCGTGCAAGAGTGTCACGTTACGAACGATGCTCGTATCGGCCGCTTCGGGGGGCCGCGCCGGGCATGTCGTAGTCGTCCTCCTCCTCCTTGACGATGGTGACCTCGGCCATTGGTTTGTAACGACGGGTCTTCTCGTCGGGCGGGTTGTGCTTTTCCATGGCCGGATAGAACATACGCCTAATGTCCTTCTCGGAATGCTTCGGCGCGTTGGTGTCGGCTGCGGCTTTCCTCGCCCCCGGAACGAAACGTTCACCGTCGAGCTCGCCGCGGTAGCGCATGGCCAGGATATCGCCGATGGATTTGCCTTCGTAGAAGGGGTCCACCGGGAGGTCGCTATGCGTGTGCTGCGCGTGGTCGAACTCGGACGGGTGAAGCTTCCCCCTCAGAATCTCGTCGCCTGGCTTGGCGGCGGCAACAGCCTTGGCGAACTCATTCGACCACGGCCAAATTGGGCGATCATCGAGAGGGCTCGTCAGGTATTGTAGCTCGCATCCGAGAGCCAGGATGTCAAAGAATGTCCAGGCTGCGCTTCGGACTTGGGGCTTATTGCCGCGCTCTCGCATCAGCACTTCGCTAGCCCCAACAACGAACTCCCATGAATTGAAGTCCATGTCTTTAAAAACCGGGCAGTGATCGAAGTCATGCTCCTTTGTATCGCAGATCGGGCAGCACCTGATACTGCCATAGGTGCCATTTGGCATCACGCAATGTTGGGCTGTGTGGCCATGCTCTTTGCAGACCACACAGACTTTCACATTGCGCCCGTCGGGGTTGGGTGAGGCTTCTTCGGCCTTGACTGAGGCTTCCGCCGCACGCCTCATAGAGGTTTCTTCAGCCTTGACTGAGGATTCCTCGGCCTCGCCTGAGGCTTCCGCCGCACGCCTCATAGCTGCCCTTTCACCCATAGCGGCGAACTGCCGCCGATGCCGGTCACCGACCGCGACAGACTCGGTCTCAACCCGGATGTGGAGAAACGGTGCATTGTGCGAGGCAGCAAGCTTCAGCAATGTGGATCCCATTGCATCGAGAGAAGGCTTGTCGGCAAGTACCTTGATGAGGTGCCCGCCGGCCACTGTGCGGTGAGTGTCCGGCGTGCAGAAGTTGACCCAGTTGCCAGGTGTCTCTAGGAGGGACGTCTCGTTGTGCCTAACCTGGTAAAGCACGGCCCGATGGTCCAGTGTCTTCAACATGGTGGTGCCAATGCCACGGATAGCGTCATTGGGCGTCCAGTTTACGACGCTGGGGTCGTCGTGAGTTGTACACAGCTCTTCCACTTTCTGTGCGCTATTGAAGAAGTTGAACACATCTTTGCCCAACTTGCGTTTCTTGCCACGGTATTCGCCAGTGGCGTGCCTGACGGCGGGTGTGCTCATGGGAGCAAGAGCCTGAGCAGCGTTGCTGCCGGCGCGGGTGGCTCTGAGCGGCCTAATTGCATGGCGAGGCATGTCGCCGTGTGTGGGTGTGCCCTGAGGGGGCAGAGCGATGGTATCCCCGGAGTTGGCTGTGCCCTGAGGGGGCGGAGCGTTGGTATCCATTGAATGCTTTAAGAAATCGAACATGTTAGCGATCCAACGTCGAAATAGCACTGGGCGTGGGATTATACTTTTGTGGTTGTGATGTTTGGTGGTCGATGGTTGTAATTTCGAAAGTCGCTGCTTGTGGTGGGGGAATGGACTCAAAGCAGATGCGAAGACAAATAGAAGTGGGCCAAGTGCAACGACTGCCAGCACAAACGAAGACTTGGAGAAATCAGTTAAAATAATTGAGTAAAGGCTGCTCATCCACAAAAATTCAGCAAAGGCTGCTGATTCCTACAAAGTTTTGAACTGGCGGTGAATTTCCATCCCGCTGTCAATTCGAGTAAGTCCAATCCGCTGTTCAACCCTAACACGCTATTAACCACCTTATACATCAGCATCACCATGTCTGCCCCCGATAATCCGGGCGCAAGCCCCAATGCCGACGATCGTGCCAAAGCTGCCCGACTCGTCACGGCTATCAATTACCGAGCAAAGGCTCTTGAGCTCTCCCTCGCCGCTTGGCCCGTTTTCGAACAGTCAGCCGGCACCAACACCTCAGGCCTGGCCTGCGCACTCGTCGTCATGCGACACCTACTCTGCCACTTCCCATCTCCCGCCCGGGATGCTTATCTCGCCGAAGTGGGTGCGGAAGCCGTCGCCGAGAACATGCTGCTCACAGCGGCCATCAGCACCGACCGAGAGGTCGCCTCGGAGCTGTGCCAGCGTCTTCAGGACTCACTCCATCCTGACGAGCTCTCATTCGAGCGTCTGATGGATGCCGAGATAATGCAGGCCACCGCCTGGAAAACCCGATACTTTTGCTTCTTTGGCGATTCGTACGAACGGGATTCCAAGCAAGAGCCCTGGCGTCCGCTGCCGGACAGTGCCATGCCTGTGACAGAAAAGGACTTCCTTACATGGGATGGAGTTCAGAAGAAGACCATCGGGGAATACATCAACATCTTTTCCACCTCTCTTGTCTATCACGAGACAGGCCGCGAGCTAGTCAAGTTTACCAACGCTCCCTTGGTACTGCGCATCGTCTTGGCCAACAAGAACCCGACGCTGGACTTATATCGCGACCTGTTTCGGTTCACACTATGGCTAGTGAGTCGAGGACATGCGCCTCGCCGTTCCTTCTCGTACAGCTGCGCCGCGGCAGTGAGGGTTAGGGCCACGCCTGATGGTAATGACAGCCTCCGTCTATACAACTCGGACGGTAGCCACTTTCGGCCAGAGGGCGGTACACTCCCGTGGTCCGACACCTGGCGCGTCGAAGACGGGGATCGGTACGTCCTCTTCTTCATCCGTTTCGACGCATTTCCGGAAGACCCAGCCCCCTTGGCGGAATCAAACCGCAACACGGAGGGTTTGGCACTTGTCCGTCTCGCACGCGCGGATGAGCTCCGGAAGGTCTCCGAGCAGCAAGCCGCCGGTGATTCACCACCACCGGTTCGTGTGTCCCCGGAAGCAGAGAGCGTCCCGGCGCAAAGCCCATCTCCACAGCCAACACCAATCCGGCGTAATCCCATGCTGGGCGCTTGTTCCTCGGTGGAGCAAGGTGTCGGCCTCTTTGGTGCCTCGGCCAGCGTTTTGAGCAGTTGGCAGGCCGAAGCCGCCAAGCTAGCGGCGGGCTCGACCAGCAACGCCCTCGGCGACCGTGGCGATACCGATGTGGACACCCAAGCGACACGGGCAAACTCGCAGAGTAACGAGCCTGTTAACACTTTTGGTGGGCCCAATTCGTTCGGCACGAACCGAGGGCCACCCCCCTTCGCCTCATCTGGCAACGCTCGGCGAACGCACCGAGGCAGGCGACACTCAAAAAGGAATATCGCCACCGACGCCAACCAAGAGGCCATCCTAAACCCCAGGTTGACATTGGCAAACTCCGGCAACCGCCAGGATGCCCCTGCTCTGGACGACGACCGGCAGGAGCGCATCGCGCCGCGCCAGCGGACTCCATCATTCGGCGAAAGTCCTCGGCGCCATATCCCCGAGTTCGTCCGGAGGTCCCTGAGCCCGGCGCGCAACCCCCGACAGTACGATCAGCGTCGAGGCCGCCCCCCTCCACCACAGCATCGTTTGGGTTCGTCTGGTTCTCGGGAGTACCCATCCTCCTACCAACCCAGGCCCCGTCCGCCCCGTTCGCCCCGTTCTGATGAACGCGGACACAGGAACAGTAGGACGTACGGCCGCAACCCAAGGGATTACGATACTGGCGAGCGGGATTATAGCCGGCGGAGATAGACCACGCTTTGGCGCAATAAATTGGTGTTCGCTTTGCTACTTTCATGACATGTTTTCTTCGCAGTATTGCCCATGCTGTCGTGATCTCTTGCGTATGCACTGGTGCACACCAGCTGTTCCAGGGCCTCTGAGTCACGTCCGTCACCGTAGCCTCCCTTCACTTATCGATGTAAGTCGTTGGGGTCTAAACGGCAAGGCAGCAAAGCCCATCCTCCGATGGTACAAATACATTTTGCCAATTTTGACGAAGCTGAAGTTTAGTAATGGGCCTTATTCACAACCCACTACACACCAGGAAACAACACAAGGCAAAAGCTTATTGTAGGAGCAAGAAGATACATTATGGATGCGGTTCCCGGGAGGGAGATATCCGTGGCCTCGATCACCAGGTGACACCCCCCGACATGTGTACTTGTTGGAGCGATCTCGTGCTTGGAAACCGTACTAAGAAGGAATATGAACACACCCGGGGGGTTATTGATTTCGTTTGCGGAAAAGAATCCCATTCCCATTCTCATCCCGAAACGCCGCCTTTCCGACGGCTTGTTGAACGAAGCTTCATACACTTGTATCTAACCACGCCCCTCCCCACACACCCCATCCCCTCTCTCTTTCTTTCCTCTTCCCCCATTTGACGCCTACAACATGTTACCTTTATGCACGCGTTTGAACCTTGGTCTGGGCTGACCTTCTTGTTATAGGCTAGACATTTAGCAAGACTACCTTAACCAACTTTGTAGAGTGCTCGGTCCTCAGCAATTACCTGAATGCCGAAACTGAATGCCGGCGACAGGTTTCCTAAGAAGGCCCGAAAGCTGGGAGGGCGTTCCGTATACCGTCGGGAAACGCCGTGCGGAGATGCGGGAGCCGTAGGGCGCGGACGGCGAAGCTCCGCCCTCGCCCAGCACACGGAGAATTTATATATTAAGTCTTGTGTTGTCATTGGATATCACCATCCCACCCCTGTTTAAAGCAAAACGTACTACACAGGAATCCTCGCGTGCTCCCATGTCTATAAAAGGTGCCCTTTCAGCTCCCCATCGAGTCAATATCTCAGGCTCGCCACCCTACACACTATCTCTCACTCGTCACTCACAAGTCGCAAAGAACTGCTTTCAAGGAGCCCAAGATGAAATCCTCAACAATCTTCCACCTTATCGGTGCTGCCCAGGCGCACACGATCATGCAATCCTTCAACGGCAATCCCCAGGGCGCGGGCATCTACATGCCCAGTGATGACTCGGTAAAGACAGACTTTGTATTACCCTGCGCGATGGCTGCCGTCTGCTAATACTCTATCCAGTTCATCTCGGATGTGAACTCTAACTCGATTGCTTGCAACGGACCCCCTGTGACTTCCTTCCGGTCCTCCTCCCAAGTGTTCACCGTGCAGGCCGGTTCCGAGGTCACTGGCGCATGGCTGCATACTCTGACCAGTAAGTCCGAGGCCAGCCAAAGCACACAAACCACAAATGCCACAGGCTGATATGATACTTTAGGCACCGGGCCGGATTCGACCGCCGACAACAAAGTCATCGACTCCAGCCACAAGGTACGACAAGGGAGAAGTTGACATTGAGGACGTCGGCTGACATGGCATGGCATACAGGGACCTATTGGCGTCTGGATGAAGAAGGTGTCCGATGCTACCCAGAACCCATCGGCTGGGCCGGGTGGAGGCTGGTTCAAGATCGCCGAAGAAGGCCTGAACAATGGCAGGTGGGGTGTCGACACTCTGGTATGTCCCTTCACGAAGACCCTGTCTGTTTAACTGGACGCAGACCTCAAAACCTTACTGACGATACATCTACAGATTGCCTCCGGTGGTATCCACAAGGCTAGAATCCCGACCTGCATTGAGAACGGCGATTATCTCTTACGGTTCGAGATTCTCGCCCTGCACTCTGCCTACAGCCAAGGCGGTGCGCAGTTCTACGTACGTCCAACACCGTATTACACAACCGCACCTTGCTGACATCTTGCAGATGGAATGTGCCCAGATTCGTGTCACTGGAGGCACGGGAACTGAAAAGCCCGCCACCGTATCCTTGCCGGGTGCTTACCCGGTATGACAATACCTAACGTACCGTGGAGAGAGAGTTTTCTGGTTGTACTGACAGCTGTAACACAGAAATCCGACCCCGGTATTGTTGTCAACATCTATAACAACAATGGCCAACCGTACCCGTCGAGCTACAGTATTCCCGGTAAGACCACACCCCCCAGTGACTCCATAGATGAGGGCAGTTACTAATGATCTCCAAGGACCTCGCCCGTTTACTTGCAGTGGCTCGTCGGGCTCCGGCCCAAGCGGCGGCGGCAGCGGCGCTACGGCGGCACTATATAGCCAATGCGGCGGAAGCGGGTGGACCGGCCCTACTACTTGTGCCTCCGGCACTTGCAAGGCGAGCAACCAGTGGTATAGTAAGTTGCCTCTACTCAATCTCCTAGTTTACAGACATAACTTACTGATTGACGATAGGCCAGTGCTTGCCGTAAGGCGTTAGGGATATGTGTGTAGCATTGAATCCCTTCAAGAGGGTTTCGGGTTGTGGCTGGCTCGTGTACAGGGATCATCTCGTGGTCCTCGTTTAGAACTCTCCCCGGTCACTGATCCTCACAAGCTACCTTACCTAGGTATATATACCAATGTCATCAGGACAGTTCATTGATAAGCAAATGCAAAGAGAGTTTACGATGGTATATATAGTTTCCACACAGTACCCAGATATACATGATAGAAGATCGCTAAGGCCATTGACGATTTTATTGTTGATGCAACTGCTATTTTCTAACTTTTTGGAGTTGCTAATGAGATATTGATATATAGTTTCGAAGTGTTTGGAACTGCTATTGAGATGTATATATATATATATATGGTTTCGAACTGTTTGGAACTCAGAGTTTTGAACGTTTCGACGTCGTATCCTCCTCTTTCCAACCTTCGTAGCCCTATACAGCTGCGGTCTCAGGTACTCTCCCACAGTGAGGACACCCGGGTACCTCACCAGTGGAAACCCTCGCCACGTCGACCAAGTTGCTGAAGCACTCACTTCCCACCACGTGCCCGCAGTGGAGGATAATGGACTGCTCACGCCTCCCGTTATCCCTCTGCACGCCTCGAAACACCAACTCCTGCCTGCAGGAGCCAAAGCATCTTATCGCGGGCTTTGGCCCCACCCGTGTCTGGAGCCATCGGTATATGGTGGCCGCGAGCGGCGGCACTTCCGAAGCCCTGCTCGGCAGAGTCGGCTCTGGGGCGAAACGCACCCTGCGCTGGCTGTCCACGGGGCGGCTGATAGGTCTGGACCTATCGGGAACGGAGTCGACGGTGCGACTTCTGTCTGGCAGGCGACTCTCCAGGAGGCGGACTTTGCGCTTGCGGCCATCAGAGGTGCTGTCCACAGCTACAGGTGCCACCGGGCGCGGCCTCGCTTGCTCGGGGCGTGTTGGGGGCTGACGGGTCTCCGTCATCCTCGTCGGGGCGGGGCGGTACTCAACCGCTGGCGCTGCTTCGCGGGCAGCGTTGGGATGCCGTCGAGTCCAAGCGTTGTTGGCATCCGCCAATGGGTCATACTCCAAGGGGTCATCATCGCGACGATGGCGTTTCTTGCTTTTCTCCATCAGCGATGCTTGGATTGCTTTTTGGAATTCGATTTGTTGGCGATGGTCACGCTCCCAGGGATGGCGATGAAGCCGTGAATTGGTTTTCTCCGTAACTGATGCCACGGCTGCTCGTTGACGTCGGACCTGTTCATGGTGGTCAGGCCCCGGGCGGAGAGATCGTAGCGTGGTCGTTTCCTTTAGCGAAGCCACCAATCCTTTTTGATATTCGATTTGTTCGCGATGGTTACGCTCCCGGCGAGAGCGCTGAGCCCGTGGGTTGGGTTTCTTCGTAACCGCCTCGCCCGCTTGGTAAAGTTTGGCCAGTTCCTGGTCGGCACGCGCTCGACGACGTAACCGTGCCTTGGCTTTCTCCTCTAGCGATGCCATCAGTGCTTGTTCAAGTTCGAGTTCTTCGCGCTGGTCACGCTTCCGGCGACGAGATTGTGTGTCGGCCGTCTCCGCGAGTGATGCCGCGATTGCTTGCCGAAGCTCGAGCTGTTCACGGTGGCCACGTTCCTGGCGAAGACGCTGGGCCCGCCTAGCTTCCAAGCGAGACTCCTCCACCACGCTTCTCAGCCGAACTTTCTCGAGTTGCTCCTCCACAGATGCCGGCGCTGCCTGAGCCTGGCGGATAGTTGAGCCTGTGGTCAGAGAATCCTGAATGACCACCTTCACTAACAGCTCCTCAAGCTCCCATGCCGCCTTCTCCTCGGGGGAAAGTCTCCCTTGATTCTCGTAAGCGGACATTGGAGCGGAAATTGGAGCAGACTGACATTGGAACGGATAATGGAACGGAGGCAAAGATTGAAAATGTCTTTGGGCTAAACCCGCCAAAGAAAACTGGGCGGCCGGGGTGGTACTTATATCGTCAAGCTTTTGGGTGAACACAACTGGTAGTCCCGCTGTTATTCGTTTCGGTAAGAAAGTCAGGCCGTGTTTAACAAACGCTTTGTTTCAACCTCGTCGGGTTTCATTGTTCTTTGAGTCCTGAATGTGGAGAGTACCTATTGAAAGGAGACATAACGAACAATGATCAATGACCCTGAAACCGCAAAGTGAACAGACGTGTCTGTTACGTTGATATGCTTCTTCGAGTTGTTGGGTGCTTGAGGCTATGAGTCAGGTTGAGAAATGGTGCTGGCGGTCCAAAGCCTTTACCGACATCCAGCTAAGGTAGCCATGTGCCGTTGTGTAATGCAGTCTGAGCAAAACCTGGGCGCTTAAGTAGTTTCCCTTTTCCAGACACCGGTCCCATCATTGATATCGAAAGTAGATTCATTCATCAGAGTTCATTCACAGGCCGCGACCAGCAATGTCGGGCTCCGTTGGGGTATCATGTCCATCCCACCGAACGCCAACTATGAAACACAAAACTATATAAAGGTTGTCTCATAACCTCCAGCTCCCCCGGAGCCAACTTTATAGCGCCATCGGTTGAAGCTGGGCCTTGTCAACTAGGCTGCCAAGCAGTTCTAACACGGCCCCCTTCTGCGCGAGGACAGGCGAATCTCCGTCCTCAGCATCCCCTAAACTCGCCGGGGCAAACAGCTTTAGCCGTGATTCCGATATGGCAAACCCCCCGCAGGCAATCTTGATAACCCTGACGCCTGGATGGAAGAGATTCAGCGCGAGATGGTCATTCAAGTAGCGTGCTAATGCCTCGGTGAACGGCTGGTGATTCGCAGGGCCACCATCCTGCGATTCAGCTCGCCACTCCCAGCCTTCTTCGTATAAGCGGCCCGCCAATTTCCTCCGCTTTTTCGGGTCGCTTTCCCATCCCCACCCTGCCGGTGAAGCTCCCTGCTTGCCCTGTGTTGTGACCACGCGTTCGCCAGCGTCGGCAAACTTCCGCAGTTCCATAGCAGGAATAATGACGTCGACGGACCTAAGACCCAAGGGTTGATGCGGCTCCGTTCCGGCTTCCTCTTTGGAAGGTTGTGCTGGCGCAGCGTTAGGCGGCGGGACATAAAACCCGAGAGTCAGCACCATATCCCTCGAAAGCGGCCCTCGAGAGGGCAGACCGGCGGACTTGATCCACGCCTCCCAGATGTGCACCAGGCTCCGCGTACCCAGCCGCATGGGGCTGACACGGCAATCGAACGTCGTCGACAGAAACTCGCCGATGATGCTTTTGAGCGGCGGCGGCATGCGCACGAGGAGGAGCGGCAGGGAGAGAAAATGGGCCGGGTTGACCGAGCGCTCCCAATCCATCTCATCATCTGCACCGCCCCCACCGCCGTGGCCGCCGACCGAAAACCGCATGTTCGCACCCTCGACCGCACTCTCCCCATCCCCCACCAACGGAGGCAGCATGAGCGCGGTGCAAGACGCCATCTCATACCGCAGCGATATATGCAGCGCCCTCTTCCCGCGCAACCCGCCCGCTACCCGGCGCCACCCCGCCGCATCATCCCCAACCCCCTCACCCTCACCCTCACCCTCCTCCTCCCCAAGACTATCCACCTCCCCCTCCTCAAACCCCAACACCTCCCCAACCCAAACCCACGCAATATCCACCCTCTCCAGCGCCCCCGCCCTGCCCACCACCGACCCGCCCCCTTCATTGTCGTAGGCGGCCGGAGCGCCGATGCGCACGCCACGGACGACGTCCCCGACCAGGGCGTCGCGCAGGCGCTGGGCGAGGAGCTGCAGGCGGCTGGGGGTGAGGGGTTCGGCGTCGAGGTGGAGCGGGGAGAGGCGGTGGGCGGAGAAGGTGGTGTTGTAGAAGGGGAGGGGGAGGTGCGGGTCGTCGTCGTCTTCGTCTTCGGGTTCTTCGAATTCTGGGTCTTGGTCTTGGTCTTGGTCTTGTTGTTCTTCGTTGGCTTCGTGGGTGGGTTCTGGGTCGGGGTCTGGGGGGCGGGGCTGGCGGCGTTTGGTAGGCATTGTAGTGGGACGAGTTGTTGGTTGGTTTGCGAGGTCGACGATAAGGAAGGGTTGGGGGATTCCGGCGCGTCGGGTCTGGATGGGTCTTGGAAATTGGGGGGATCGTGTGCCTGAGATGGGTAGGGTTACGGAAGTAGCACGTCAGAAAAAGATTGGTTTCTCGGGTAATTCGTTGTGTTGCCGAAGACAGAAGGTGCTTCTTGGGATGGAGGTGTCCTCGAACTTGGAGACGGGGCAACCCGGAATGCATGGCGGTGATGGTGGGGTTGGCAGACGCGGGCTGTATTAACCCTAACCCTGTCGTTTACAAGACAACCCCCATGTTATTACACGCCAAAGGTCCATCAGATGGAATGTTTCAAGAACAAGTTTGTTCGAACCTCGCAAGGAAGGGAAACCCCTGATATATTACATGTACCTGTCTGGCTAGTACTGAAGTAAGACGTCGATATTAGACGCCCTTCGTATCCGGTGCCCTTCAAATGTGGTGTTCCAAACTCCGTGCAATGCCAATCCCGTTCGCCATAATACAACCGCCCTTGAGAGTGAGAGTCATGACCGTGCCGGGGTAACTCAAGCCCCCGAATAAAGCCCTTCCCACCTTTCCTCGACCCCCGCGACTAGCCGCTTTGAAGCTTCAATCTCCTTATCCAATTCTTCCAGGTTCTTGGTCAAGGCGCCAGCCTCCTCGAACCGCCGGGCACCCCTTGCCCGGTTGAGCATATCCTGCACCATGAACCGTTGCTCCTCCAAGACAACCAACTTCTCTCTCGCCTCCTTCTCCTCCGTCTCCAGCGCCGTCGAAATGACCGTGCTGACCTCGCTTGCACCGCCCAGACTTGACGTCTCGGGATCGAATCCCGCTGATTCGCCGTTGCGTAGTGGAGAGGATATCGAATGTGATGATCCGTTGCCGGCCGACAGTAACCTGCGGTGGTTCGAGCTCTGTGACTTGAGCATGGCCGGGACGCTCTTCAGGGGGATGAGGTTGGCGTGCAAAAAAGACGAGGCGGATGCGTGGATAGCCTTTTGGAGGCGCAGTTGGGTCGGGCTGTCGGTTTTCATGTTGCGGATGCGCTTTGAGGCGAGGTCATACTTGGCAAAGGAGTCTGTTAGGCGTTTGCGGATCTTGGCCGCGTCCTGAATCTGTGCGTGTGTGGGTGGCGCCTTGTCAGGTCCGCTTCCGTTCTCGTCAGGCGGCTGAAGGGCGTGTAGTGATTTGTGGAAGGACGGCATCAGCATTTGGATGCCGCGTTCGAACTGGCGGAGTGTCTCGTAGGCGCGTTGATCTGGTGGCCGGTGCTTGATAGACTCGACGAAGTCATGGTGGGAAAATATCGTTTGTTTGCACTCGCAGCACATCCGGACGTCGATACCAACTTGTCCGTTGGTAGGATGTTCGGGCTTTTCGGTCGTGGGTATCGCAATTGCTTGTCCGGGTCAGCTAAACTTTCCACCAACCGGGCCATAGAGCTCACTTACGATTTGCAACGTTCAAAGCCACCTCGCTTGAACAGTTGGTTTGCGGATCGGCGCACACAACTCGGCCACATATCCTGCAGTGATGCCGCCTGAACGTCCAAGCCCCAAATTCCTGTTTACAAAAGGGGCACTTGAGAACGGCCGCATCATCCTCCCATGTCACCACCGACTGTTCAATCATCTTCCTTTGATTCCTTTGCCCAGCCAGCGGCGACAAGAGGCCCGGATTTACACCCGTTTCCAGCGGCGCTTCCGCAAGCAACCGCGTCAGCTTCGTCAACCTCTTCTCCAACCTCTGCACCTCCAGCCGTTGTCTCTCCACCTTCTTCGCCCGTACCGCAGTGAAAAATGTTGTGTGGTCGCGAGCCAGGCCCGTACTGTCGCTGTATCCATCCCTAGACTTGTAGCATGTCTCGCACACCCGGCACCACACGCCCCTGACCGGCTCGTGGGTGGCCGCACGCGAGAGCTTCATCTGGTACATGGTGTGCTCTTCGCAGAACAGCCGCCCACACTTCCGGCAGTTGACGCTGCCGCCGAGCGGCCCCAATCTCCTGTCGCATAACGGATCCGTGCATACGTCGTTCCCTGTCGGTCGCTCCCAGTGTCTCCTCGAAACCAGCTCCTCGGGATCGATTATCGTGTCGATAGGTCGCCCCGGTGCAACTCCGACCGATACGGGTTGTGTCTCGTTCGACTCGAATACTTCCAAGCCACGCAGTTTTTGGTTGATGAGGGATAGGGGCTGGAACCGTTTCGCTTTCAGGACCTGCTTGTCGAACCACGACTTGACTTCATCTTGCTCGGCCTCGGGCAGCTCTTGGTGGACATCGTCGAGGTGTCGGTTTAGTTGCAGTAGCGTGACCTACAGCGCCGGTCAGCACAACGATACCCAGTAGTCCTCCTTTTACTTTTCGGCTGACCATCTGATCTTCGCATATCGGGCATGCCAGCTTGTTCCCAGGCGAGGTGCCATTGGACGATGGCCCTGCGACTGTGACATTGGAGGCGAGATCCTGGGAGAAGTCGGGAAGCGGGCTAGAGGAGGACGGAGAGAGCGAGACTGGTGTCGAGTTTCGCGAGCGAACCGATCTAGTACTGCTGTCGGACGGAGCGAAGGGGCTTGAAGCTCGCGGGGCATGAGCAGAAGGTGGAGGGGCGAGGCCCTTGCCGCTGCCGAGGACCCTGCCGCCTCCGAGTTTCCGGGCAGACATGGTCGCTGTTGAAAGCGGTCTGCCCGATGTGGGTAATTCAACACCCCCTTGCGGCCACTACGCTGTCGTGGGGTGGAATGGCGGCATGGGCATGATTTCTCAATCGAAGGTGTTTAACAAAGGCGGAGGCGGCGGGCGTCACGGAGGAGGATGATGGAAGCAACCTCAAAGACCAATGATGAATGCACTGCAGGCGGTCGAGGTTGCAGGGATGGATCCATGATGGCAGTGCGTGTTGGCTTGGCGAAGCACGCGCAGGTCTCGGTGGGGGTGGGGTCTGCGTTCCTTATCAATGGCGCTGCTGGACCATCCAACACACCCAATGGCGGGCTCTTGACCTTTGCGAGATCGGTCCAAATTCCAATCCACCATGTAGCCGTGTTCACAACTCCTGGCTTCTGGCAAGTCATCCCAGTTTCTGAACTACTGCTAGGTACAGCTATGGCTGAGACACCGTCAAAGTTCCCTGAAGTGCAAGGTGGTGGGAGCTTGATTGTTGCGTGGCAGGTCAAGGGGAAACATGTGCTGGTCGTTGGCGGGGGCGAGGTGAGGACCATCTCCAGGACTCTGTGTCCAAACCGGATATGGTATTGCGCCCATTACGTCCTGTACGCTGACGCTCTCTCCCTCATCAATAGGTCGCCGCAGGCCGCATCCTCCACTGCCTCAATGCCGACGCCAACGTAACCGTCGTTTCCCCCGCCGCCCGCCTCAACCCGGAGGTGGCCTACCGGGTCGCCCAGAAGCAAGTCTCCCACGTCAACCGCAACTTTGTCCCCTCGGATCTCGACGGCGCCGACATGGTGCTGGTAGCCGTCGACGACCCGGCCGCATCCACCGTCATCTGGAAACTGTGCAAGGAGCGGCGCATCCCCGCCAACATCGCCGACGTGCCGCCCGAGTGCGACTTTTACTTCGGCAGCGTACACCGCGACGGCCCGCTGCAGATCATGGTCAGCACGAACGGGAAGGGCCCGAGGCTGGCGAGCATCATCCGCAAGTTCATCGCGAAACACCTGCCGTCTAATGCCGGGAGGGCCATCGACACGGTGGGGCAGTTGCGCGTGAAGCTGCGCGAAGTTGCGCCGCGGCCGGAGGAGGGGCCCAAGCGGATGGCGTGGATGACCAAAGTTAGCGACGCCTATCCCTGGGACGAGATGTGTGAGTTGACCGAGGAGGATATCGGCAACCTCTTGCGCTTCTATCCCGCTGGCACGGTACCGCCGTTGGACGCGCTCAAGGCCATGCGCGCAAATCCCGGCGTCGGCAATGATGCATTTGATGGCTCATTTGGATTTAGTGTCGGGGCTTAACTTAGCTGAAAGGCTTTTGACTGTTCGTATCATGCAGATGTTGGGTGCTGGACTTGCGCGATACCACGAATTAAGTCGCGGGCTGCACCGAGTATGGGCAGGAATCTTTTACCCCTGAAATCACGCCCAAGTTCCCGTGCGACATTCGAAGCTCATGAAGAAATAACATTGCCATTAAGACGCACTATGACCCCCCCATTCCAAACGCCAGATTGAAGGTGCAAGCAACAGCCATCAAGGTATCGATCCCATAACCCCTGTTCAAGGCCCAAGACCACCAACACAGAACGTCCGTTAGGTGCAAGTATGAGCCTTGCACCATCATGTATGTACAACAACACCAACAAACACCAAACAACCGACAATACAGCACAGCACAACAACCTCAACTCTCACGCAACCCCTTCCACCCCACCAAGAAACCTCCGGACCCTCGTAATCTCCAGCTCGCCCTTCTCCGACTCGACCGCCCTGGTCAGCGTATCCAACAACGTGTCCACCTCGGTCTCGGGCCGCCGCGTGCACAGCGCCACCAGCCGCCGGTACCCGAGCTCCCTGTCCTTGCTCCGCGCCTGGAGCGCCTCGACCGCCTGGTGCGTCTGCGCCGACCGCTCGCGGAGCGCGTTGACCCGCGCCCGGAGGACCGCGGCGTTGGGCAGCCGCGATATCTGCTCCTCCGCCGAGCCGGCGTAGTACCCGTTGTCCGCGGGCGGTTGTTGTTGTTGTTGTTGTTGTTGCTGTTGTTGTGGTTGGTGTTGCGTGCTGGCTGCGGCGATCCCGTCCAGTACCATCTCGAGGTCCATCTCCCACGCGTTGGCCGAGTCTACGTCTAGCCGGCCGTGGCGCTGCTCTAGTTGGACAAGCTGGTATTCTTCCTCTTGGCAGGCTCGTTTGAGGTTAAACACCTTCTGCCTGGCCAGCTGTTGCGCCTTGAGCTTTTCCTGCAGGGACTCCACCATGCGGCGGGTTTCGCCGACCTGGGCTGACGTGGTGCGGAGGGAGCTGTGTAGTGTGTCGATGGATTCTTGCTTCTTCTTTAGTTCGTTTTGGAACAGTGATGATGACTCGGTGATCAAGTGGGTAATCGCTAAGAAGTGTTAATATGCGCGACGGATGGGGTGAGGAAACGTGCAGTGCTTACAGTTTACCACCTCGTCGCTATTCTCCTTGTTCTTTTGGTTAGAACCGCCCTGCGAGGTACCGTTCTTGTCCAACGGCTCGCCGTTTCGATTGTCCTCTGCATCTGTACCAATGCCAAAGTCTACAGGCCTCAGGCCCGCACGGTTGGCAATATTCGGGTCGGCGCCCACCTCGAGAAGCTGCGAGACGATGCTACGGTTGCCGATTCGCGCGGCAATATTCAGCGCAGTATCACCGCTGCTATCCTGAGCGTTGACAATTTCGCTCATGAACCGGCCGATGCCCATCTTTGCCGGCGCGCTGAGACTGCCCGGGATATTCTGGCTGCTCGGGGCGCTACCCTGCCGCACGACCCACTCCAGGAGGCTCTCGAGATAATACCGGCTGGCCGAGTTCCTTCCCTTCACGGCACTCGTCACAGCGATGTGGTGCAACACTGTCCTTCCCTTGTCGTCCCTCACATCGATGGTAACGCCGAGAACGTCTAGCAGCTCGGGGAACGAGTTATGGTCCATGGAGTTGGTGACGATGCAAGCCCGCATGAGCGCGGTCTCTCCCGACGAGTTGACGCGGAACGGGCTCGCGCCGGCCTCGATAAGCGCCCGCAAAAGGGGCATCCGGGACAAAGTTGTGGCCCAGTGCAAGGCAGTGTGACTCTGGGTATCGATCGGGGCGTCGAGCTCCTGCGGGATCATGTTGCGGAGCACGTTCCTCTTGGACTCATCCGGGCCGCTGGGATCCATGAAAAGGCCCATGAGCATGCTCCGCTTCGCCTCAGCCTCCGGAGACATATCATACGGGAGGGGCCGGAGCGGGCCCGGGGCGTAGTTAGGTTCCTGCTCCAAGTGGACGCCCGCCTGGGAGTAGATGAACGACTCGTTCGGTTCCGTAGGCGAGCCCGGGTAGTTAGCCGCATACCCATCCAGTTGAGGGTAGGTCGGGGTGAGTCCGCCAAAACTGTTCGCTGGCGTAAGAACTCGTTGGCGTTTCCTGGGCGGCTGGTCGTTTTCGCCAGGCGGCGGTTGTGTGTTTTGGGACCCAAAGGCCGAGTCGGCATGACCATAGTCGGATACGAAGCTCTGCTGGGAGTTCGGGGGGAAATCGCTGGCATCCTGTATGGAGGACTGACGGTGGAAGCTGGGCGCGCGACTAGGGCCGCTGCGGTTTCTTGGCCCGGGGGAGTCGAATCGAGCCTTGCTGATTGCGTTTATGGCGTGTGACGCTGTGGAGGAGATGTTCTTGAAGAAGGTGCCGGACAGGCCATTGGCGCGGTTCTCCTGCGAGCTCGCGTTGTACATTCGCTTTCGTTGGGCTGCCATGGCTTGTTCTTTGGTCGGCGTGTCGACATCGGCTAACCCCCCTTCCTGACCGCGCTTGTTGTGCGTCAAGAGCCTCATCAGAAGCTCCTCCACGCCGTACTGCCGGCAGACCTCAAAACCGCGCTCGAATGGGATCCAAGTCCCTTGATATTTCCCATAGCCTCCCTGCACCTTCTCGTGCTCCCCTGTCTGGATCTCCTTCTCGAGGATCTTGGTGCGGCGGCCTTTATCCACTCCCGCAACCTTGAGGATCTGTGTCGCGTTAAGCCAACCATCGGTCTGGCGCCGCATGACAGCGACGTTGTTGACTTCCATCTCGTAGACATTGACACCCGAGTAAACAGCCTGGGCGCGGGTTATTCTCGTTAGCAGCAGGACACCCGAGGGATGGGCACAGGTTTCGCACGCACCGAATAAATCCCCATGTCTGCGTCGTTTTGCGCTTTCTGGGGTATGTCGGCGTATTGGCGGTACCCTGTTGTTTGGGAAGACGGTTGGCTCATAGAGAAGGACTGTTGCGAGGAGGGCTGGGATTGTTGTTGCTGCTGTTGCGAGCTAGCGGGCATTTGTGGTGGCTGCATAACAGTTGGGCGCGCCCGACGAGGGCGAAAGCTTGGGGGGTTGTCGACGGACGAAAGATCTTAGAGGCGATTGCCGAAGTGTGATGTCGATTCGGCGCAGAGGGGAACGCGAAAGCGGTGACTGATGTCAAAGTTCCTGATTAAGGGTGCATTCAAGGAATAACAAGTTGTTGCTCGGAAAGAATAATGCGGTAGATTGAAGCCTGACAATTAAACGTTCACCACCGAATCCCAAGGTTGTTCCGTAGCCAGATCGAGTGAAGGCAGGAGGAGGACGGTGTGGTTAGAAATGATGCGGCGTTGCGCTCACGACAGGATGGATGAGCGCACAAAACCCCCCAGCATGCGGCGTCGCAGTGGACCACGGAAAAGGGAAAATGGGGTTGGTTAGGGAGTCGATGCGCTCGCCGCTCGGGTCGCCTGCAGGAGAATGCGTATTGTTGACGAGGCCGGCGCAAACAAGGAATAAAAGTTGAGGATATCTCCAAGAAACACGACGTGAAGCTTAGTTTGTCAACTTGGCGACGGACTTTCGCACTGACGAGCTCCCCTTTCGGAAACTTCAATTAAGACACGGGTGGTCGACGTGTGATTTTCGTGTTCTCGTGGGCGTGTCTGCGCCGGTGGAGCACAGAAAGACGCGCCATCTCAATTCCCAGGGTGGAAGGGAGGGGCTGCACGAAATAGCAACGCGCCAAGACGGCACTGGCAGAAGATCGAGGTGCACAGACCCCGCGTTTATCCACGGCGGGCAGTTCTGGAAAATGGAACCCGAACTGGAAACAATCTCGAATTGAAACCTGGAATTTCTATCCATCCATGTGCCGGCAGCAGCCGGGTGACCCAACAACGGACAACGGGCAACATACCACAGTAACTCGGCAACTCGAGTAACCCGATAATGTCGCAACCTCTCCGTATGCCGAAACCCGAAACGGCGCTTCATCTCTACCGCCATATTCTCCGCGAAGCGTCATACCTCCCCCCCATCGCGCGGCGACCGGTGGACAAGCAAATTAAAGACAAGTTCCGAAGAAATCGGGAGGATGAAGATAAAATCACAAAACATCTCCGCCAAGCAAACCATGATCTCCGTGCTCTACGGGCAGCCAATGCCGGCGATATGGGCCGTATGCGCCGGGTGCTCCTCCGGGCCTTTGGCCGCATTGGCCGCCGACGCCGGGAGCTTATCTCGCAACTAGTTCACCGCGACATACCCACCAATACGGAGGAGCTGGCAAAGTACGCCGCCCAGATGGCCGATATTGCAGAGAGATACAAGACGCTGGACTGGATGGATGAGTGGGACTTGGAGAAGCTGCGCACACTCGCCCGCTCCCAAGTGCACGCTGATCCGAATAATGCCCCCAAGGCGGCCATCACTGATAATCAGACCGCGCCGGAGAAGAACCTGCCCAAGGAAAATTCGTGGGGTCGCCCGCTCCCCCGCAAACTGGCACGGACAAAACTGAAGAATATGTGGAAAGCACTGGCGGACAAGGTCATGCCACCACTCCCCGTGGCGGAATGGAAGAAGCTCGAAGCCATCGCCGACGGGACTATGTCGGGCCCGTGGCTTCCTCCTCCCCGGAGACCTTTAGCACAAACTGCGCCTGAGGATGCGCAAAAGAGCCAAAGTTGGAACTGGCAGTCATACGCTATCAGACCGGTCGCTGTTGTCGACAGACAAGCCAACCGGAGAAACAAGCTCTTGAGCGGGGCAGTGGACGACAACACGCCAACTGGAGACCCGCCGGCGATCGACCGCCACAAGTTCACCCCGCGGACCTGGCGACGGCTACTCAGTAATATCTGGCAACTGAGCCCGGCCATGACGAAGAAGCCAAATGGCAAGGGTTGGGATGTCACCTGGGGCGGACTGGAAAAGCAGCCGCCCCCGGCGAGGGCAAGCAACATGGAGTTCTTCAGGGACTTTCCGGCTGTGGAAGAGCCCACATCTCAACGCAAACGCGGAAGACGATGACCGCATCGGCGCGTTGAACTTGTTCAGTGTCGCGAATGCTATAACTACACCGAGGGTCCTACCTCCCTTCTTCCCCCTTAGTCCAGCATGGTTGCCAGCTTCTTCAGGGCCTCCCCGTCCACCCGCATGCCCACCCACTCGCTCATCATCTTGGCGCCGATGCTCTCATAGAACTGGATAGACGGCTCGTTCCACTTCAACACCACCCACTCGAGCCGGCCGCCCTGCATGGCCACGACCTCCTTGGCTAGCTCCACCAGCAGCCGCTTGCCGTAACCGTTCTTGCGCTCACTCTGCTTGACGTATAGGTCCTCGAGGTAGATGCCCGGCCGCGCGCGCCACGTGCTGTAGTTGTAGAAGTACAAGGCCATGCCGGCGACGGTGCCCGTGGGCGTGGTGAGCACCAAACAACGTGCTGGTTTGGAGGGGGATGTGGGCTCGGTTTGGGGAAGAGTGCTGTCGTTGGTGCTGCTGGCTGTGGAACACGGGTCCGAGGGCGCGAATGCGATGGTCTCGAGGAGTTTGGCTTCGGTCGCCTCGACGCTGTCTAGCTCGTGCTCATAGTCGGCAAGCTCGCGGACCAGTTCGAGGATCGCGGGGACGTCTAATCGGGGACGTGTCAGTCAGGGGGTCAACAACAACAAACAAAAGGGGCGCGGTACGAGACCTTCGCGGCAGGCTTGCCGGACAGTGGGGCCGTTGGAGGCCATGATTGTATAATTGTGTATTGGAGCTGAGGCTCGTGACCGACCTTGAGGTGTATATTCCACGGATAATGTTTTGTCTCGAGGTCTCGGTCTTTATCTTCATCATCCCGAGGCCGGACCCCTTTTCGTCGGCCCCGCGGAGGTCGCACGCGAGTGGGTAAACAGTTTGCCCCGCGACTCCAACGAATGGCGGGGTTATCCCCAGTCGCGAAGGGCGCGCATGTCAGATCTTGTGGATAACTACCTACTTGGTACTAATAATGGCCCGGAAGCAAAGCGGGACGGATCTTAAAGAGCCGGGCGCGCCGGGTAGCCATCACACGTTGCAGTGTCAAAAGCCAGCGAAAGCAAACCAAGGAGCAGTGTCAAGACGCTCACATGCCCTCTCTCGTCGTGTTTGCTGGAGCAGACTTGGCAAAAAGAAGGATGATGGAGACCTAAAGAAGCAGTCATGCAGCCTCCCGAGCGTTGGGTAGCACTGCCGATCAGGGACTGCCAAGGGGCCCGTTTCAGCTCCATCCTGACTTCTCATGGCTTCCACAACCCCCCATCTCCGTGAGACGTCCAAGGAAGGAGGCTTACTTCGGTTTCCAGTTCAAGAAATTTGGGTGATCCGCCAGAACACACCGAGAACTTCAGTAACATCAAGATTTCATACTTTTACTCCTCGATTTCCCACTGCAATACATGTTCCTAGTCGGTACCCAACTTACTTTTTAAGATCCGTTGGGTTTCGCTCCTTGGCTTCACAAAATGAGCCCCTCATCAGCCTCAGCACCCGCCGAGCCGACGGTTACGTTCAGCTCAGGCCGGGGTGTAAACACTCCCCCTGACCTCAGACTGCTGCACTACAACGATGTCTACCATCTCGACCCCTCGTCCTCCGAGCCGGCCGGCGGCGTTGGCCGGTTCGTGAGTGTGTGCAAAGAATACCGCGAAGCCGAGCGGTTCCAAGGCCAACCGGAACTCCTCACCTTCTTCTCCGGCGACGTCTTCAACCCGAGTCTCGAGAGCTCCATCACCAAGGGTCAGTCACTTACTCATACAAACAAAAAATGCGTGATACCTGGCATCTTGCTTACAACCCGGATAGGTAGCCACATGGTCCCTCTCCTGAACCTCATCAAGACCGACTGCGCCGCCGTAGGGGTATGTCACTCTCGCCATGGGAACTAACTACATTGGATAATACTCACCTCCTAAATAGAACCACGACCTCGACTTTGGAGTGAGGCAGTTCCGCCACCTCACCTCCAAGTGTAACTTCCCTTGGCTGCTGGCCAACGTGCTAGACCCGGCCCTGGGCGATGGCGTCCCGCTCGGGAACGCCAAGAAGACACACATGATTACTACCTCTAACGGCATCAAGGTCGGCCTGATGGGGCTCGGCGAGCGCGAGTGGCTCGACACCATCAACGCACTCCCACCCGACATCATCTACCGCTCCGCCAGCGAAGTCGCCCGGGAGCTCGTGCCCCAGCTGCGTGCCGAGGGCGCCGACATCATCATTGCCATCACGCACATGCGCGAGCCCAACGATAACAAGCTGGCCACCCAGCTAGGCGGCGAGAACATCGACCTCATCCTTGGTGGACACGATCACTTCTACGCCCACAGCCTCATCAACGGGACCCACGTCCTGCGGTCGGGCTCGGACTTTAAGCAGCTCAGCTACATCGAGGTGCGCCGGGCCTCACCGTCCGGTGACGGCAGCAGCAGCGGGCGGAAGTGGGACATCGACATCTGGCGGCGCGACATGGTGCGGTCCATCCCCGAGGACCCCGAGACCCTGGAGCTGGTGCACCGGCTCACGGCCAAGCTGAAGAAGAGCCTCGAGAAGGCCATCGGGTGGACCGCCGCCCCGCTCGACTCGCGCTTCACCACGGTGCGCCTCAAGGAGAGCAACCTGGCCAACTTTGTGTGCGATATCATGCGTCACCATTACAAGGCCGACTGCGCCCTCATGGCGGCGGGGACCATCAGGGGAGACCAGGTCTACGCCCCGGGGCCGATCCGGATCAAGGAAGTGACCGACTGCTTCCCCTTCGAGGACCCCGTCATCGTGATGAAGGTGTCGGGTAAGGGGTTATGGGACGCCCTGGAAAACGGGGTCTCGTTGTATCCTGCCTTGGAAGGTATGGGGGATAACTGCCCTCTGCACGCACTTTGACTATGAGAGATTGCTGACAGGCGTGACTTGATCTCAGGCCGGTTCCCGCAAGTGTCAAACATCAACTACAAGTTCGACCCCTCCCTCCCTCCAGGCTCCCGCATCGTCTCCGTTGAAATCGGCGGGCAGCCGCTGGAGAATGACCGGCACTACGTTCTCGCCACCCGTGGGTACATGGGCCGCGGCAAGGATGGCTACCGCAGCTTGCTGGTCCAACCCGAGGGCGGAGAGTGCGAGGAAGTCGTGTCGGAGGAGAATGGGATTCTGATCTCCGCCATGCTGCGGCAATACTTCATGTCGCTGACCGTGCTGGCCAAGTGGAAGGGCTGGGGCCCGTCGTTGGATCGCCACTGGTACGTTCCCTTCGGTTCCACCCATCGGCAGATAGTGCACTCATGACTGACCGGCATGTGCCATCGGAACAAGGTCCAAGGTGGCGGACGACGTTGCCAAGTATCACCCCATCGTCAGTGATCCATCGGGCTCTGCTCCGGTCGGCCCAACCGGGGTGAGGTCCCATGCTAGTGAAAACGCGGACAAAGAAAATGGTTGGGCCGAGTGGACTGAGACCCGACTCAGGCAGAGGCGTTCCAGCGTGCCGCCGATGCTTGGGCCCAACGAGGACGAGAGCGACAGCGATTCGGGAGAGGAGTTTGAGAGGGCGCGGGAGAATGCCCGTGGGCTCGATAGCGAGCTGAACGTCATGCGCCGGGTTTTCCACAAGTGGTGTCGGCTGGCGGGAGTCCGTGGAGGAACTTGCGACGAGTTGAAAGAGGGCGAGGTCGCGGTGACGTGGACGAAGGCTATTGCTCCCCGCGTCGAGGGGCGGATTCAGATGGTGACCGCCGCCGCCGACTGAGCGCTCAGCGGCTACGAGTCATGTTCCTCCGCAACGTCTAACGGAAGAATCGCACAAGGGTAGCCTTGGGCGTCTAGGAAGACACATTCGGGGATGATCGGGAATAGACAGCTGAGAGCAGTGACTCTGGAACAGTATGTTACAACATAACCAACCGCATTCTCAGTCTCTATACATTTTCCTCCCCAAATTCTACCTCCAAGCTTCTAGAATCTCTACCCTTTGAACCCTAGCCGCGCCACGCAGGGATATCCAAGACCTAACTGCCGCTGTTGTTCGCCACTGCGGGGAGAGCATATTACCTACCCAGAAGAAGCGGAAGGAAAGCTTCCATGTCTACACAATACATCAGGAGAGTAGGTTTCTCTCGCTTCCATGGCCCGCAACGAATGGCGGAATTTAGGATGCGCACGACCAACGTCGAAGTCCCATAAAATTGATACCAAGGTTCCTTGTCAAGGGCTTCAACGAAGACGAACGGAACCTGTTTGCAAACGAGGATATAGTTTGTCTTGCCCAGCGGATATTGCCTACCATTCACTCAACAGATGGCGTGAATTCAGTCATGTTCACATGTTGACAGTGGCACCAAGAAGATGGGATGGGACGGTCCTTAGTCCCGAACCCCAGATGTTTGAGATCCTGCGTGGAGGAGGAGTCCATTCCCCTCCGAGTCCCATTGCCCCTATGCTCAACATCGCTCCCCAAACCCGGTCGAAGGATCGTCCCGCACTATCAGGAGACAATGTTTCGGCACAAAAGCACAACCATTCCCCACCAGGCCACTGGGCCTGCGGCTAGAGGAGCCAAAGCTCTCCGCTGGCCGTTGCGGGTAAGCTCAGTAAGGTACTTACACACGCGGAGCAAGCGGGGCAAGCCCCGGATCAATGTTTCGTGGAGAAGTGGAGAGTAGGGCCGTTGAAACTATGACAACAACCGACCGTGCCCCGACGACACACCGGGGTCGATGGAAGAGGGTGGCCACCCCCAGGACTTTCTGTGCTTCACTTCCTATCTCAACTCGCGACATGATGTTCCATGTAGGCAATACGGCATGTGTAGCGATGTATATCATCACGCAGCTCGGTGAAGCGAGCTCGACGTTACGAGTCTGTACCGTCTTGGTCGCGGACACAACCAGCTGTTGGTTCCATGATTCGACTATGAATCAAAATGGAAGCTCACAAACCCGGGGTGTCCCGACTACAAATTACTGTCAAGGCTCTAAGCCCCATGGATGGCGATTCGTAACGGTGGAGTCGCTGTTGGCCGTTACAAGAAGCTCGAGCCCGTTGATGTTGCAAGATTCCCATCTGCGGAGGCGGGATGGGCTGATCTGATGGAGGACGCCACCCTTGCGGAGATGTGAGGTAGTTCACCTCCCACCTGCAAGAACAAGGCTGCAGAACTGGACCTGTGAGTACAATAGCAGCTTCCTTGCCACATAAAGTCGTGTGCAATATCCAGCGTTCCAACCCTTGACTGCATTCTTGTGTCGACTTCCTATCGATCGTCCCTCGTCAGTTATCAAGTGATAACCCGCTTTGGGTACTTATACACGGTGCCTCTGGCGAACTGAGGTTTCGTTACTATCAACACAATTAGCATATACGCATGTCCAGTCCGTCTATCCCATCTACCGGCCCTTGCGGTCGGTAAGTTGCGTCCTCGGTAATCCTGCCCCAAACGACACGATGCGACTGCCACCTCCCGAGGTCGTGGCCTCGTGGCCGACCCCGAACTACACCAACCCTGAGACACAAGCACCCACGCTGCTCATTGTCGAGCTAACAACGCTGTCGATTGCTCTCATTTGTCTCGGGTTGCGGCTCTATGCCCGGAAAAGGATTCTGGGCCAGTATGGGTGTGATGACTGGCTCATGATGGGCGCGGCGGTAAGTGGTGGTCCTCCCTTATTTCCTTGCTTCTTCCCGACGGCTGATGTGTGCTGGGCTGTGTAGTTCTTCGGTACTGCCGTCACCACCTGCGTCGTCTTGGCCTTTGTCCGATACGGTTGGGACATCCACGTTTGGGACTTGACCCTCCACGAGATGGTTTCCGGGCGGAAGGTTTCGTTTGCCGCCCAGGCCCTGTTTGTCCCGGCTACCTCGCTGGCCAAGGTGTCGATCCTCGTCAGCTACCTGCGCCTCGCTCGACACTCGCTGAGGTTCAGACGGGCGATTTGTATGTTCTGTCACATTAAGCTCCGTTTGAACCACCCCCCTATTGAGGGACATGTAGCTTACAGAACGTGCAGATTGCGCTATAGCTTTCGTCGTGGCACTAAATGTCTGCTTCCTCTTTGTTCTTTTCTTTCAATGCATGTAAGTCAACCACGTTCAAGACCACCGCGAATTAATAGGTGCCGTTGGGATGCTGACTATCGCGGTGCCGTGCTAGACCCCTTTGGAGCTACTGGAACCTTCTCCGAAGCCACCAGGACTGTAGGTCGGAAGCGGCGACACTGCTCAGCCAAGCCATCACGACGGCCGTTGCCGACTTCGTTGTGTGGGTGTTGCCAATACCTGCCCTCTACCGTGCCAGGTTGCCACTATCGCAACGGCTCAGTGTCATCGCCCTCTTCAGCTTCGGTCTATTCGTCGTTATCGCCGCCTGCATCCGTACCTATTGGATCCATTACGTGGTCCAGGAGACGTACGACGTCACATGGTATGGCTTCCACTTGTGGATGTGGACGGCCGTCGAGGTCCATCTCGGCATCATCTGCGGCTGTGTCCCCTGGCTCAAGTCCCTGTTCAGGTTCTGGCAACGCCAGAGAGATTTGAAACGCAACAACCAGACCGCCACGAATCTCAGCGTTGCCGAACTCATCGACACCAAAGGGAGACCGTGCCGTCAGCATTCCGAAAGAAAGAACGAGAAAGCGGCGAAAGGGGAGTCCCTGGTGAGGGTGACTAGTGTTGGGTCCGCGTCGACGAGGCGGAGCAGGGGTTCGGAATCGAGATGGGATCGCGCTAGGGAAGAGTGGGAGGACCTTGAGAGAGGTTCAATATATATTAACCCGGGCACAGCGCCGCCGGTAGAACCAGCTTCCATGTTACCGCGCAACCTGCTGGTACCACCAGCCCACGCAGCGCTACGAACCGACAGGCCGGTGGGACCAGTCAACGAGCTTCCCCCCGACACACCGGGATTGGCGTTCTGACGATACAGCAAACAAGAAGAAAAAACTCTGGAAGAGAATAGAAAAATAGATACGAGACCCCATCTGACCATCATCCATTTAACCACCACGACATACGTGATCCCCCAACTCAGGGGTAAGGGCTGTGCCGGTCAACTCGACCGATAGTCAACGGCCGGGTCGTAGCGCGAATGAGCAAAAGCATCGGCCTTTGTTGGTAAATAATAATATGCAGAGTGATGCAATGAGGAACACTTGACCTTGACAATCTGTCTGAGCGGCCCGGCCCTCCCCATGGCGTCCACGCCTTGATGACAACACGCCTTGATCACAACGGGGGTGTGGTGGGGACACGAGCGGATTGGATCCGGCACACGGGGCCCGGCTGCCGAGGATCGGTGCCACAGAGCTACAGATGGCGATTTGTGAATCTGGGATTTCGAAACCCCCACCTCACCAGAACAACTGATCCTCAAACCGGTCTAAAGAAAGGAGAGAGAGTAAAGGAAAATGGACGCCAACGCACCCACGGCTCAGAGGCCTTCGGCGCCGTGTGTCCAAGCCACGCCGGAAATCTCGATCCAACCCCCGCTCTCCCGGCGGGGAAATGGTCCGGGCTTGGTGATAATTGTTCCACGGGATCTCGATTTGAGCCGGCATGAGAAGACGCTAGATCCCCCGCCGCAGCAAAAGTGGGCTGAGGAGGGATACGCCGTTGCCCAGATTCTCGACGACGGCAGGTTCAGCATTGCTGACCAGCTCCGCCTCGCAATTGCAAAGCTAGAGGAACTACCGGAGTGCTCGGGCGACAAGATCGGCTTGGTTGGTATGACCTTCCCGCCTTTGGTCTCGGCGGTGTTCTGATGAGCAGCCGTACTGATGAAGGTGCCGACAAGTGATACCTGATGAGAACACGACTGGTCATGCTCCCCTCCTCGACGCTATCGAGGCTCACCCCAAGATAGTGGGTGCGGTCTTCTACGGGAGTTATCGCGGGGGCGGGCTCCCCGTTCCAGTGCTCGCGCACTTGCCACCCAGCAGCACCGACGCAGCTCGCGATGCGGGGAGAAGGGCCGAGGGATTGAGCGTCCACACCTACCCAGCAGCTGCCGGGCGTTTCTTCGTCGTTCCAGCGCACGCGGATTACCGCTCTAGCGCCGCGGCGGTCGCACACACGCGGTCGCTGTCGTTTCTAAAGCCGCTGATAGGGGGTCCCTACTTTGACCTCGAGGCCATCTGGGAGGAGCACACGCGCTACGAGTTCGGCGAGCGCAGCGTCGAAGAGACAATGGCCACAATGGTCGAAGAGCCCTACGTCAACCATGTGCCCACCCTGACAGGCGGGGTCGGAAGGGCAAACCTGACGGCATTCTACCGGGACCACTTCATCTTCAGCAACCCGGACGATACGGCGCTAGAGCTGGTTAGCCGTACGGTGGGGATAGATCGGGTCGTTGACGAGTTTCTCTTCAACTGCACACACGACCGAGTCATCGACTGGCTGTATGAACTGACCCTGCTGCCCTCTGGGGGCTAAGGTTGTGCGGCTGTGCTACTTGCTACTACACGCACGACTCGAGGAACAAGGACGAGACTGACAACCGTGTCATGCAGGATCCCAGGTGTGCCCCCAACATTCAAGCCGCTGAGCATACCGTTCACAAGCATCGTCAACATCCGTGGCGACCGCCTCTATCACGAGCACATCGCCTGGGACCAGGGAACCGTGCTCCGGCAGTTGGGTCTGCTCCCAGAATATCTGCCCTTTCCGCACCCACTTCCGAGCGACACGGAGCGGGGGGTCGAGAAGCAGGTCGAATACCGGGTACCTGTTGCGGGCGGGGTAACCGCACAGAAGCTGGTTGACGAAAATGCGCTGTTATCCAACGAAATGATCGCGTTCGAGACTCGGGAAGTGCCAGGAAAGAGCGAGTCTTGACAAGTCAACGGATGATGATGACGGCGTCGTCGACGGTTCATGACACTAAAAAAGTGTGTTTTCGGGTATGTGGAACCAAGCTATCCGGGCCGACTTTTGGACACTGGCAGTTGCTGTAGTGAGGAAGAAATCAAAACAAGAATGACTTCGGATGGAGGGGAGGAGAGGGAAGGAGAACGTCATGAGTTGCAAGAAGAGCTGCAAGAACAGATGTGCCTGTGCAGAAGCCGCCATTTCCCTCCGAGTTGGGAACGCGCACAGTGTTATTTGGGAACTTCGACCTTTGGCTGAGCAAATCTGGTCGTGGCCACACTGTGTTGTGCCGAATTTGGTGAAGATTTCAGAAGGGAGTCACGGGTTAGGTCACGTTTTAGGCCCCAGGTAGGTCTAATTCTCGGCATCTCACCTTCCACGACCCCGTCGAAACTTTGCGCAGTCAAAAGGGAAGCACGTTGCCCATCTCTTCGCAGCCAAGTTCAACTTTCGTCAACGAAACCTCGTCGCACCCAACCGCAAATCACTTTTACCTACACCAGTTATTTACGCCCGCAAAACGCTACCCACAACACCTATTTTATCCTGCGGCAATTGCACACTTACTCCGGTTATTGCCAGCAAGAACCCGCCATGCCTCAGTTAACATCCAGCTTTGCCTCCGCCGCTGCAGGCCAGAATAGAGACTCGAGGGGAAGTGGACGGAGCGATTCTTCCCGTGGAGCTGGAAGCGGTGAATGGTGAGTCTCCCCGCCGTCCCGTCTGCCCATTTCGCCCCATTTCCCTGCTTGGGAGTTTTCCACTTTTTTTTTCCTTCGACCGACACTCGAGTGCCTCGGATCGCGTGTCAGATGGACAAGATTTTTCCGACCCAAACCCACAACACGAGGCCGTTCGGACAGTGCACGCGGCATAACGGCATAGGCGCGTCGTGTTGTTCGCCATATTCAGTCAGTACTAAAATTTGCAACAGGCCTCGCTCGAACGGCACCAGGACCTTTCGCCGAGCCTCCACGACTCCATTTAACCAGCCCTCCACCGCAAACCTGGCAGACGGGTCACAACACACCGCCAACGACGTCCCTCCAATGTCCGCTAATCCCCCATCGTCCGCTTTCGAATCGCAGAACCACCTCCGTTACAGCAGGGAGGAACTATTGGACATTTACAAAAATAACTACGACCCGTCCCAGATCGATACATCCGCCCTCCTCATGCCCAACTGGAACCCGGCGCAAATGAATGGGGGTCCTTCTCGGCCATGGGGCAAGCCTTCCGACTCCCCCCATGTGCCACAGGACCCGAGTGTGTGTTGGGACTCGAGCGGGATGCTGCAGCCTATCGGTTTCGAGGACATGTCTGCGGAGGAGCGTGAGATGTTTGCCACGGATGTCAACTCAACACTCAAGCCCCCTCAACAGAATAAGGAAGGCATTCATCCAGGGTCCGGAGGGGTCAACGGGCGGAAGGCTTCGGTTAGTATCGGGAACACGGCCAACTACCCGACGTCGTCGCCGTCCACCGCTTCCCGGCCCGGCACCCGCCGCCGAGAGACGGCGGATACGAATCCCTTCCCCGGCACGTCGACTGCGTCTCCCACAGCGAACAGATTTGGTCGCGATGAACCCTGGCTTCCTCGCCGTAGCACCGACGTCAAGGAGACCATATCCGACGAGCCGGAGGACGAGACGAATGCACGCGATGCCGCACCCGGCAGACCTCAGCCCTTTACTCTGCCGCGCAGCAACACCGCTGGTACCTCGGGTTTTGGAGGCCAAGGCTCGCTGTGGGGTCCCGGACCCGCGCCGGCACCGACGAGCGCCGGAATAGGCGCGTTTGGAAGTTTTGCTCTCCCGACCCCTGGCACTGGGGACAAGCGTCTCGGCGCTGGTGGTGGCAGCCGCCTTGCGCACCTCATCCCGAAAGACCCGGTTGACGGTGCTGGCCCCAAACCAAGCGATGCTCCGAGCTGGCGGCCTCGCCAGCGGACGGATACGGACCCTTTTGCCGCCGATGATGGCCTCTCCGGCGGCGTTATGTTGAGAGGGAGCGACGACAACAGCCCGCCCGCCACGGCTGCTCAGCATCAGCGGGGTATTGTTTTCGACACCCCTGTTAAGGGCAGCGCTGGGGAGTTTGGTATGGCTGGTCTGAATCTCGGCAATCACGGAGACGGCACCGGTCCGGCGAGCCCATCCGAAACCAACCCGTTCCGGAGCCCCATGGCCGATCGCAGTGGGAACGGTCACGGCGACTCCGACGTGGATCGGCTTGCCCAACCTGGCCCGGGCTCAGACCAGCAATCTAACTTTGGCACGATGCCCCGATCATTCAGCGCCGCGGCGTTCGACGGGAGCGACCGAAGCCAGACCTCGAGCGTTGGAGCCAAGGGTTTCGCCAGTGTCAACTCTCTCTCCGGCTGGCCTGCCGGTCCTTCGGTCAGCACACCCGACCGTGAGCGGGCCCCGTTTCAGCATCCATTTGGGAGTGCCTTCCTTAGCTCATTTCCCGACTTGCCATCTCCCGGGCTTGGCGGATTGGGCGGCGTGTTTGCGCCCCCCAGCGCTTCGAGATTTGGACGTGGCAAGCTGGAATCTCTCTTTCCTCCGGCCATGCAGGCCCAGATGCATGCTCATGATCAAGACAACCTGAGCGATTCGGTGCCTGACCTTCGCCAGGCCAACCCACTCGGCGCCATCGGCCGTAGTACCATCGGTTTCCAGCGTGATACGGATAGTCCGGTGAGATCCGGTAGGGGCGGATTTGAAGACCTGATTCCAACATCGGACTCCTCCCGATCACCCTTCTCGACGGCCGAACACGGTCCGTCTGGCCTCACGTCGACGGCGCAAGCCCAATCTTTCCCCACGACCCCCGGCGGTGCACCATTCCCCACCAGCCAGTCTGCCGACCCCACCGCTGTTAGGACCATGGTATTGCCGGATAGGATGCGCTGGGTTTACCTGGATCCCCAGGGGACGATGCAGGGGCCGTTCAGTGGGCTGGAGATGAACGATTGGTACAAGGCCAACTTCTTCACCCCGGATCTCCGTGTCAAGCGTGTCGAGGACACCGAATTCGAGCCGCTCGGCCAACTGATCCGGCGCATTGGGAACTCTAGGGAGCCGTTCCTCGTCCCGCAGATGGGTATCCCCCATGGACCCCCTACTTCGGGCGGACCCTTTGGCGGGCCCACCACGGACGCTGTCCCACCGCTTCAGAGCGCATTTCCTTCCTTTGGACGAACCCTCACGGCACAACAGCAGAACGACCTGGAGCGCCGTAAGCAGGAGGATCAAATGTTCCACGCTCGGCAGCGGGAGATCGCGCAGCACCACCACCCGTTCGGAAGACTGCCGCCCATCCAGCCCGGTGGCCTGCATCACCACTCGAGCGCCCACAGCCTCCAGAGCCAGCCTAGCTTTGGAAGCATGACGTCTCCGATCGGGGTCACCCCCCAGCACTCCCTGGGCCCCATTGCCCCAGCGGCCGGCTTCTTTGACGCGGCTGCGGGCATGGCGCCCGGCCCCGCTCAGGCCCCGATCGGGCCCGCCAACGGCCCGTTCAATAATGATTTGAACTTCAACGAGCGCCAGGTGCTAGCAAACATGCAGTCAACTGGGAACCTCGCGGGTGCCTTCCCCGGCGCTCAAGCCCCTGGGGGTCCCGTCGGTGAGAGCAGCGGCTTGCGTAGTCAGCTCCCTACTGTTGATCAGCTCCAGAAAGACGCCGAGGGTTTCAGCGAAAGACTGGAAGAGTTCCACGAGCTGCGAGCGCAATTCGACGCCGAGCAAGCTGATGCGGCTGGTACTTCGGAGTCGAGGGAGAATGGTGCAGAAGACGGGGAGAAGGCTACCACGCAGGTTGCAGTTGAGACCACCCTGGAAGCTGCTACCGCCGGCCCAGGGCCCGCCGAGGCTAACCCAACCCCAAGCCAAGTCGAGCTTACTCTTACGGAAAAGGTGCGGAAGACTCAAGCCGATAAGGCGAAGTCATCCCAGCCGCCTCCGGCTTCGGACCTCCCGATGCCATTCCCTCCGCCGGCACAGGCGACACCACTCGCAGCTCCCACCGCCCAGCGTCTGGCTTCGAACCTGCCAGCTCGATACGGCGATCGCTCCGGGTCGGGCAGCCCGGACACAGCGTCGGAGGGAGCCGCCCTCGCGCCCCCACCTACGGCGCCCTGGGCCCCCCAACCTGGTGCGGAGACGCAGAAGGGCCCGAGCCTGAGGGAGATTCAGGAGGCCGAGGCAAAGAAGGCCGCCAAGAAGGAAGAGGCGGCGGCTGCCGCGCGGAAGGCTGCTTTGGAACAAGAAGTCGTGGCAAACCGTGAGCGCGAGAAGGCAGCTGCCGCTGCCGCCAGCTCGGGCCTACCGGCGGCGAGCACTTGGGGTACTGGATCGCCGGTGGGCGCTCCCTCTGGTAGCCCGTGGAAGCAACCGGCCCCTCTCAAGACGGCCGTTGTTGCGGCGGCCTCCGGGACCACGGCATCGAAGAAGACCCTTGCCGAGATCCAGCGGGAGGAAGAGTTGCGGAAGCAGAAGGCGGCGAAGGAGGCCGCGGTTGCGGCGGCTGCCATTCAGGTCAGCACCACGCCAGTGTCGGCGATCGGAAAACGATACGCCGATCTCGCCAGCAAGACATCGGGGTCGCCCGGTCCCACGGCGTCTGCAGTTGCTGCTCAGCCCCCCCAAGGCGGCGGTTGGGCGGTGGTTGGCGCTAGCGGCAGGGCAAAGGCCCCAACGGGCCCTGCCGTGCAGAGCCGCTCCTCCAGCGTGGGCAACATCAAGGCCACGCCGTCGCCCACCATGACGAAGCCAGCGGCCAAGGCGGCACCCACAACGCTCAGGGACGCCAAGAGCATGGCGATGGAGGAATTCAAGAAGTGGCTGCACCGCGAGTTGGGTCGTGGTCTCAATGGGGTCGCCGATAGTAAGTTTTCCTCGTGCCTAATCCCCGACGGCGGGCGCATACTAACGGAGCCTTCTCTTAGTCGAGCAATTTGCCGTGACATTGTTGGAGATGCCCCTGGATCCGACCCTCCTGGCCGAGGCTGTGTATGGACATAGCACGACCATGGACGGGCGGCACTTTGCAGACGAGTTTGTCCGGCGCAAGAGGCTCGCCGACAAGGGAGTTGTCGAGAAAGAGCCGGCTAGCGCAGGCGGCGATGGTAAGAATAGCGGCTGGAGCGAAGTCGCCAAGAAGGGCGGTAGCGGCAGTGGTGGTGCCAGTCTCGCCAGTGGGAGCAGCGGGGCCGCACCCAAGGACGACATCCCCGGTTTCCGTGTGGTTCCGAGCAAGAAGAACAAGGGCAAGAAATAGCCCGACTTGCCTATCGTCTTGCCCGCCGGCTCGCTTTCTGACTGGGTGTGGATTCCGGAGGAGGATGGAGCTGAAGAAGTACATGAAGGTGGATAAATCAGAATGGATAGGAAGTGAGAGATCGGCTTTTGGGGGTGGTGGTCATGTTGAGACGGGCATGTAGCAGGTACCTTAGCTATGAGTAGCCCTAGAGCGCTGTATTCTGGTAGCAGTCATGTGTAACGGAACAGCGAAGTAGCTATCGGAATACGAAAAGAGATGCCCTCTCAATAGCTCATGGTCTCTCTTATTCGTGTCTTACATGTTTTCGGTCCTTGTCTTCCTGGAAACAAACCGCGCTTCAGGGGTTCCCGCGCTGCACGTCCTTCCCTACCTTATCTAATCGCTCCTTGCCTGCCTTGAACAACCCCGCCATGAGAGGCCCCGCTTTATTTTCTGTGCTGAAGAATTTCGGCTGCCCCTCCATGGATTCCATGAATCACGCACCCCCCCACTGAACCTGCCTAGAAACATTCCAGGTTGTGGTGTGGAAATTGGGAAATCGGGTGCAATTCATGGTCTCGAATTGCTTTCTCTTTCACACATCCCCCCTCTGCAATCTACGATGGCCTCCAGTCTCACCGACTGGCTCAACGCCGGGAGGTACCTCGATGTCCTACTGAGCGACGCCGCGGGGCATCTCATCGACGAGTTCGTCAACTCTTTACCAATACCGCCACGGCAAGACAACGATGCCACCAACCACGTCAAATCCACCACCGGTGCGAATACCACAGCTGTGTCGGCCCAAGACACGTTAGAGGTCGGCCTGGCGGCCCTGAATGCCTTCCTGCAGGGGAATGTCACGGGGCCGGTGCTGGACGAGAAGGCGCTGCATCGGGTGGAGAGCCGGTTCTACCTGGCGGCTGCTGCTTCTGCTTCTGGGAAGAAGGAAGGGGGTGAGGAAGGGGGAGCGTTGGTTCAGCAACAGCAGCAACAGCAGCAACAGCAACAGCGGGGGGTGAGGAAAGCGTGCCTGCGCTGGCTCGACGTGGATGGCGTGTCGGTCTATGAGCATGTGCCGATGATCGAGGTGTTCTGCCTGGCTCGGCATGTATTCGTCGCGTCAGGGACGCCGGCTGCACGGGGGGCGGGTCACGACGAGACGGTTGTTGGGGTTGCAGAGGCCGCTGCGAAGTCGCCCGAGTGGCTTGCCCTGCGGGTGCGTGTCTGGCATTACAAGCTGTTGACCCAGCCCAGCTTGGGACCTGGGTCGGTGTTTAACAAAGCCTCGCAGTGGTGTGACGTGCCGACTTTGCAGGGAGCTATTGAGAAGGGGCTGAGGGCGTTGGAGGAGGAGATTGTCGAGAGCGGGAAAGGGTGGAGCGACCCGGAGAAGGTGCAGTTCCTGGTAGAAGAGGCCAACGTTTGCATCTCGCTGGGGCTGGACCGCAAGGCCAAGGAGGCGCTTCAGAAGGCAACCGGGCTCAGTGGGTTCGTTTACGCATTATCAGGTGCGCTGGGGAAGAGGACAAAGTTCCAGGAAAAGAGCACCAGCCAGCTTGTGGTGCTGGCCAAGAGCGGGGAGGGTGCGAGACCCGACGACGAGCAAGTCAAGCCGCAGGCACTCGCTCTCAACGACGACACTCTACTGGAGGATCTCGAATTTTCCAAGGATAAGTCAGAAGGAGACCTGAAGTCCGAGCTACCGGTGCAATTAAGAAACATGTCGCCGGATGAGCAACCACAACTGTCACCCATGGACCAGATCATCCTTCTCGCCGAGGCAACAGTAAAGGATGCTTTCTCCCCCGCCGACACCCTCACATCGGAGGAGGTGCTTCCATTCGCTGTCCGCGTCATCTCAGACAAGACCACCAACTGGCAAATCTACACCCACGCACTGCTAGTACGGTCAAGGATCGAGATGCACCGCAGTAGGACTCTCGAGCGAGGCGTGCTCCAGATGCAGGCTGTAGTCGACCAAGTCATTGTCGACACCACTCAGCCAACCGAAGACACCCCTGAACCAGTTCAAGAGTTAGAGACCGCTGTTCCCGAGATCAAGATTACGGCAGACCGTGACGAAGCCACCAAGCCGGACAACAAACCGACCTCCTTCTTCCCCGCCGCGAAACCGACGGAATCCGCCCCAGCACAGGTCCGCCTTGAGCACATACACGCCCTGAGCTCCCCACCCAGGTGGCATCTCGAGTCAGAGCTCGCTTACTCGTGGGCCGGCGTCGGTTCGTTGGTTTCGGCTCTCGAAATATTTAAGCGGCTCCGTCTGTGGGCCGAAGTGGCTCTGTGCTATGCTAGTAACGCTGCCAAAGAGGACGAGGATGGACGGGGGAGTAGCGGGGAGGCGAAGGCCAAGGCCATTCTGCGGTGGCGTTTATATCACAAGACCGGGACGTCGCCGGAGCAGCAGGATGATGGCAGCGAGGTGGAGGAGGTGGATGTGGATGAGCTGAAGGAGGCAGACTACCACGGCCCAGAGCGCCAACCCGCGCCCCCTAACGCGCCTCGTCTATGGTGCATCCTCGGTGACATCGAGGACGACCCCGCGCACTACGAGCGAGCCTGGGAGCTTTCAAAGCACCGGTTCGCCAGGGCGCAAAAGTCACTCGGCGAGTACTACTTGCAGAAGAAGGACATCGAGCGTGCAAGGGACGCCTACAAAAAGGCCGTTACCGTCAACCGGCTCAGCTCGGAGCTATGGAACCGGATGGGCGACATCAGCCTACGGCTCGGGGACTTCTCCGACGCCGCCGAGGCATTCGGCAGGGCCATCGCCTCCTCCGACAACCTTACCGGCGGTGAAGACGCCCGCACATGGAGCAACCTAGGCAGCGCCTTCTACAGCCTCTACGTGGAGCGTGTCCAGGAACTCAAGCAGCAAAAGGAGAACGGCGACAAGACCGACGACGAGCCGGCCACCACCACCACTGCCCCATCAGCAGCAGCGGTCGACGACGACGACAACGAACCCACCCCCTCCAAGCCGACGCAGCCGGACCCCTCGGCCCTCCTCGCGCAGTCCCTCGCGGCCTACAAGCGCGGCGCCAGCATCGCCCACGACAACTGGCGCATCTGGGACAACGTCGTCACCCTCGCCGCCCGCCTGCGGCCCGTCCCCGTGCCCGACCTCCTCCTCGCCCTGCGCAGCATCGCCCGCATCCGCCCCTCCGAGGACGCCCTCGACATCGACGTCCTACGCCTACTGCTCAACGAGGCCGTGCTCGCGCCCGAGAAGCCCGCCCCTTCTGCGAGTGCGGCGACCACCGCCGCCGCTGGTGACGGTGCCGGTGCCGGTGGGAAGGCGGCGGTGTATGAGCCGCCGCGGGGCACGCCGCAGCGGGCCGTGTGCGACTTCCTCGAGGGCACGGTCGTGCCGCTCGTCACGGCGCGGTCGGAGCTGTGGGAGCTGGTGGCGCGCGAGCGCGTGTGGCGCGCCGACTACGCGGGCGCCGTCGACGCCTCGGAGCGGGCGTGGCGCGCTGCTGTGGGCGGGGCCGCGGCGGGGGGTGGGCTGTTGCCGTCTTCGGGGGGGGATGGGAAGGGGGATGGGCGGAGCTGGTTGGAGGATCGGGAGGGCTGGCGGGCGGTGGTGGAGCGCACGGATGACTTGGTCTCGATGCTGGAGAACTATGGGGAGGAGGTGGCCGAGATCGGCACCAGGTGGAAGGGCAAGGCCAGAAGTGCTGTCCGGAGTGTCATGGGCAAGGCCAAGGAGAGCTGGGAAGGGAGTGAGGAGTGGGAGAGGCTGGTGGCCTTGTTGGAGGGTTTGAGATGATCTCGGGTTTGGGATTGCCCATGTTCGCCGGGCCTCTCTGGTTGGTTTCGTTTTGTCTGGTTGGCTCGATACGGATAGAGAAAGTGTGTGATAGAAGGCGTGCTGGATTCTCGGTCTCGGGTATGTGAGCTTGCAGCAGCTCGCCACCAACACTGGCGGTCACACAATCAACACAACATGTCAACGGGACTTACAACACCTGTCTGGCCAGTCGGCGAAGTGAGAATGGGGGTTCCACGACTCGGGAAAACCTACAGAAACGCCTTCTAACCATCGCCACTGGCAGGAACTTCGCTCGCCCGGCAGCCCGATGCGTTACCCGATTTGCTGTCCCCCTCACACACCCCAGCTGTGGTTGGCTACCATCTCGGACGGCGCTCCCAAGAGGTTGAGGTCGGCCGGCAGCTGGAAAACCGGCCGCGCACGCAGGACGCCTTCCGATGAATGTACTTGTACCTTGGTTTCAAAAGAGAGGCGTTCTTCCGCGGTGCCCTTGCCGATGGTGGTCCCGTCGGGAAGGGTCCTCCCGGCAAACAGGGGCTGGCTGTCTGTCGAACCTTTTCAACACTGCCTGGGGAGATCTCGATCTGAGGCTGTTGGTCCGCGCCCCTTCGGTGTTGCTACTCTACCAGGTGTATCTACGGGGTAACGGGTATCAATCGGGTAGTTGATGTCCGAATATCCGAGTACGAAATAAAGTTCAATAGGTTTTGATGTTGTATTTATGACTTCCTTTTCGGAAGCTGGCGGTTACAATAGGAGCAAACTTCTACTGCTAGTTACAACCCACTGCGCGAGTGCTTGTAGTGGCGGGACGTTTTGACAATTGTATTTGTGCGCGGTAGTCCCCTTTTGGGTAACATACCCGGCCATCGGTTCACGACGTTGTATTGCTATTCGATAGAGTGTCCAGGTTAGGACGGAGGTCCGTTCGGATTTTTTTCTTGTTTCTACTCCCAACAAACCCCCCTCCCACCGTCTCGGCCCCAAAGCAAGTTTACCTCGTAACATGATGGGGGGAATGATTTGCGTAGGCCTGGGTGGGCCGCGTGGCTGATTTGTAACAACAGTGTCTCACGAAGTATTTGGTTTAATCTAGTTCTTCAGTTCTTCAGGGTAAGAGCAAACAAACAGATTATGTTAACGAAGCCAGTCAAACCTTTTCATAACTTTAGTACAACCTTCCTTCTCTCGAAGGAGGGTGGGTTCCAAAACCATACGCTTCGTGCCACCCCCGAAGGGAAGCTCAAAGTATGAGATGAGTGTGTCAAGCTGGCACTGAGGTTTGACTCGGCGAACTACGACTACATCGTAGCTTACCTGCTACGCTGAATTCGACTTTGCCGACTCTCCCTGGCACGTCGTTCTTCCAGCTAGCCAATTAGACCGCCCCAAGGCGGGAGATATTCCGCTCTTCAAACAGATCTCTTATAATAGGTCGGGGCTGATCTTGGGAATGGCTTGCCAGTCGGGCTGTTCGGAATGCTAAGACACGGAAAAAAGGAGTACGATCTGTCTAGCATTCTTTGCAGGAGAAACAGCGCCGGAAGGGTAGGGAAGGCTTGGATCACGATAATATTCCGATATCAAATCGGTGCAGGCGTGCTGCTCGACGCTGATTTGGGGCTCTCAATGCCTTCGCTGCCCCTATTCGGATCGGTCGGGTACCTGGAGTCGGGAAAGCCGCCGCCCGCGAGTCATCTTCCCCGGCTGGAGATCGCCCCATTGTAATTCCCTTGCTTGCCCTCGATACCGATCCGAGTCCACGGCATGGGCTATCGTCATCCCAATCCCCATCTGGCCGATCACTGATCTAGCCCAGTCTGTCTCAAATTCACGAAAACAGCTTGGCCGCTCCATTCTTGCGTTGCCAACAGCCTCGAGTGATCGCCGCCAGCAGCCTGACGAGTGGATGTTGGTTTGCGAAGTACGAAGTCTCGTCGTGACGAGTTGCTAATGCCTGTTTTTTGCTCGGCAAACTTCCTCAGTCAGACCCAATCCGATCTTGTCAGACGAGCCTCGGTACCGGTACATGGGGGCAGACGTGGACGAGGCGGCATCTTCCGTCAACAAGGCCTCGTCACGCCACAAGCGCGGATGGAGGTGGAGGACGGACGGACGGGAGCAATTGACGCCGATGGTGCGACCAAGAGTCACCAACGCCGTGGCAGGGAGCCAGTCACTGCCAGTCACTCGCCAATGAAGGAACGGAGTACCAGAAAAGGCGTCGGCACTGCACATCTTCGCTGGGCGGGCGTGCTGAACAACGATGGAGGTTGCGGATAGGAGCTCCGGTCGCGTCGTCGCCAGCCTGAGACGAGCGGTGATGTGACGCTGAGGGGGCGCTCTTTTCGCACCTCTTGGCGGGACTCGACCCAAGCAGGGACTGCATGACAGCAAAGGAATCCGAAAGAGGGAGGTCCCAGTGAGAGGGAACGCGAATCCTCCGGCAGATCACTGACCAGGGGCCTAGATTGGGACATGGCGCCAAGAGCGATCAACAGCCCGACCTGCCCGATGGTGTCCGCACCGGCCCTTTTCCCTCGTCGCCGGCCAGCGAGAATCCCCGCTGACATTGCCGTGAATGCCGTCACATTCTCCCTGCTCCTGCCGCGTTGGGTCTCTTGCATCGAGCGTTGCTCAACTTGTGCGGGAGGAAGTGGGAGAAGTGGGAAATGCGTGTTGGCTTGGGGGGAGGAGCAGTTGGGAAGCAACACACGACCAACAAAACGCGCTTTCGATCACCGCACGCCGGGTGGAGGCGAAGAGGGCAAGCCACAATACGCAAGAATCCAGACCATCGAATGAGGCTCCCGGGATCGCGGCGGGGGGAGGGACCCTTTTGGCCATTCCGGGCTCACGCCTCTCAGCCACAAAAGAGCGGGACGCGGGGTGCCTGTGCCAATACCGGTCCCGGAGATTCCAACTGACTGTTGAGGCGTTGGGGGGGCGTTGCGAACTGGGCGTCTTCGCCGGTCTGGCTGGCCCTGGCTGGCCTGCGGGTGGAACAAGCCGGCGCCGCCAACAGTGGGGAGTGTGAAAATGTCTGACTGCGGGCCGTTGAGATCGTCTCAGGCGGTCAGGCCGCCCCAAAAACGCGATCGGCGAGCGACGGCGGCGCTAAATCCACCGATAGCTTTGTGCCCAGCCCGAGAATTGCGAGGATTCCTGGCCAGAGACCAGGTACCGGATACACGTGTCCCGTCGGCGATGGGGAGCGAGATTTCTTTCCTTTTCTCGGCCCGCTGGGAGATTGGAAAAAGCTTTGATGACGCGAGTGGGAAGTGTTGGGAGGCCCGGAGGATCACAACGCTAGCATCGGAACAGCAAGGGCTCAATCCTCAAGGGGACTGGTCCGCCCATCCTGGTCGGCGATCACTGCAGCCCCGGCCTGCGAGCTTAACCACACTCCGGGGTGTGCGGGATCGCCCGTGCTCGGCTTGGGATCGTGAATGAAAAGAAAGGTTCATAACGGGGCTCCTTGGGCAGATCAGAACCTGCATGAGATGACCCAGGGCTCAGGTTTATCTGGTCCCTGCCTCCCGGTTTGCAAACTGGGCCTCCCTTTCCGTTGACACAGTGGCTACTCGCTTGTGGTGATTGGTTGGCCTTCGCAAAAGATGAAAATGAAACCCGCGCCTGTGCTTGCCAGTTAATGTCACCAGCTGGTTCCCAGATTGTTATAAATGCGTTGCTTGTTGGACTGGGGCCTCCTGAGCACAGCCCCGTAACTACTCCCGGGAAGAGAGAAAGTTGTCGGTATGCTCCGCGCGATGGGTGTCGACGGTTAAGCTGCGCACTGGGTGTGACCGCGCTTCTTCCGGGCAGCTCCGCGGGAAGTCCATGACGAATTAGATCAGGGCGGATGGAGACGTCACCAACATGGCACGAATCATTCGTGAGGTTGGGAAAATTACCCGCTTGGGTACGTTTATTTGTTGATCGGAGTGGGATTCAATGATCCCTTTCCCTCATTATCCGCAAACGGAGTGGGCGTTTGCATCGGACACTCTGCGCTTCGCCGAGATGTCGGGCTTCCTGTTGGCCGTCAGCGGGTCAGGCGATGGGTATCTGCATCCCAGGGCGGGACCCGGCATCATCGCGATCGAGCTGCTGATGAATCCTAATATTTGGGCTGTGATGACGAGGGAGCGCCCTTGCATCTTCTGATTTGGCTTGTGAGTGAAAGGCGAGCACCACCTGGAAAGTCTGAGGTGAAGGCGAACCGTCCCACTGGGACTCAGACATGCCGTCACGTCAGGGGCGGAGTGTTGGAGCTCATGAGGGATAGACATACGGGCTGAATCGGTAGATGTTCGTTATTTTGACGCTCCACCGATTTTGAAGGTTTAAAATAGGCGCAACGCACGAGATGCCAGAAAACCTGCAGCATGGAGTGGGCGAGATTCCATGGCGGTGGTCGGTCAACACGTGGTCCCCTGCCCCTGGTGTGAGACGTTTGGTTTCTGGCCCAAAGCAGCCCGGTCCCTGCACGTTGATGAAGTTGGACACGCGGTCTAGCTTGTTGCAATCGACCCGTCCCGTGTCTGAGATCTGGCATCGGTTCAGCTCAAATCAATCGCCCCGTGTCACTGTCTGCGTTTCGGCTCGGCTGCGTTCCGTCCGCTATACTAGGAAGGAATCGTGTTAGTTGAGCCCCATGGGTAATGGCTGCATGATGTGCGATCGTGAGGGGATTTCCTTCTGACATACCGCAGCAACAGCGTCCAAACTACATCTCAATGCTTTCTTGACGAGTTAACGATTGGGAGTGGTTACGGGCGTAACGATACGCATCGCGCAGCGCATGACTGGTTGGGATGATGTGCCGTCTTCGCGCTGCGGCAGGATCGAGGGATCAGACAGGAGATGGTGCGAGTTTCCGGTATCCTGCAGGCACCTAGCCATGGCAGAAAAGCGGTGTCGGCCTGCCCCTGACGGCAAGTTACACAGTAGAACACATTAGTTACCAGGAATCCCCAACCTCCTCAGGGCCGATC